TAGTAATACATCTATTATAAATATTAACAATACTAATAACAATATAATAGAAGAAAATATAAATAATAACAAATTAATACATCTAATGAAAGTTCCATCTGTTGGTGATACAAATATACATGGAATACTAACTGAATGGAAAGTTTTAGAAGGTAGTCAAGTTATTGAAGATCAAATTATATGTACAATAGAAACTGAAGAAGTAACTATTGATATTCATTCTGAAGTATCTGGGAATATTATTAAACGTCATATAGATATAGGGAAAAAAGTTGAAGCTGGAGAAGATCTTATAGATATTGAAGTAAGTAAACCATCTAAAACTTTAAATATAGTAGAAACTATATCAAATACCCCTACAAATACGAATCTTTCATATATGCCTAAGATATGCTTTGAACACAAGATTAGTAAAGAACTTAAATCAAAAATAGATACACCCTCACATAAGATAGGTATAAAAAAAATAGACAGTTCTAAACATGAGCAAATCTCTGATAATAATATTTCACTTTTAAAAAGGAAAGAGTTTACTGAAGAGGAAATAGAATTGGCAAATTTGGGTACAATAGATAAATAAGTAGAAATAAGTAGAAATGCATATAAATTTGGGTTCATCTTTTTAATTTTAAACTTTGTAAAATTAATTGTAATTATATAGCTATTAGATAGATTATAACTAATAAAGGCGCTAGGTAATATTATTGATAGCGCCGAATATATTTGGCATGCTTTTAGATGTAATATTGTGGTTAACTTTTTTTTCTCATTATAATATCATACTGTACTATTATATCTTAAATTTATGATAATAGGGTAACTAAATAAATAGTCACTGATATATTATATATTGATTTTGAACTGTGGAAAAAAAAATGATTGTGAATGTTAATCAGTTTAACGAAGAACAAATAAATACCCATGAATGGGAAAATAATATAGCAAAAATTATTTATGGTAGCTTATTATATTTAAGTAGAGAGATTAAAAACATAAATAATGAAGATCTAAAAGCTTGTATAGGAGATATTGAATGTATAGCTCTCTTCGAAACTTTTTTTGAACCACTTATATTCAACAAGTATATTAATAAAATTTCATTATTTAAACAAAGTAATAATTCAGATTCAGAAGAATCAGAAATTGAAGATAAATTTTCATTAAAATCAGAAACAGATAACTCACGAAAATCAAAGTCTTTGAATGAATTACTTATTTTTGATAAGACATCATTTAGCGAAACAAGTGATATTTTCGACTTTGTTTTAAATATTCTTTATATTGGTAGATTTAATGTTGCAAGTTTTGTAATGTCTATTATAAATATAAAACAATTTTGTGAATTTACTGGTATTCCACTATGTCAATATACATGGCGTCCAATCTTTATAACTTCACTTATTTTATCTGATAAAATGTGGGATGATAAGTGTGCAAAAACTGGAGATATTGCAAAAATATTAGGTTTTTTATCACCTTGTAATTTGACATATATGGAACTACTTTTTGCAGTAAGTACTAATTGGAATTTTTTAATTGCACTTGAACTTATTAAAAAGCATATTACATTAATAATGGATTTAACAGAAAATACGACTTTTTTAAACAAAGTTTTATCTTCAAGATTTTATCAATTATATTACAATGAAAGGATTGAACAAAGTATAAGAGAAAAACCTTATCCAATCCATATAAATTTACCTCTAAAGTCTAATGAGATACAGAAATCTATTGAAACTAATGGAAAATCTGAAGAATATTTGATTAAAGAACTTATACCTACAAAATTAAAGATTATAGCACATAATAAAACTCCAATAAAAAATGATGATAATGAATGTTACAAAAAGAATATGAATATCCATAATAGTATTGCTACTAATGTAAAACAGACCCGAAATATGAGTGTTATAAGTATAGAATCTTATAATTCAAATAAATTAACATTACAACATAATAGAGAACGTTATGAACAATATCCTCTTAGTGTTAGAACAAATAATACCTCAGTACAACGTTTAAAATCATCCTCAATATCTCCAAATATTAATTATTCAATTCCTATACCAAAGAATTATGAACATTTATATTATAATATAAATAATGGTAATAAAACAAATATAAATTTAGTACCAAATATAACAAATAACTTTAGAAGAACAGTAGATGGAAATAGAGAAAGAGTATCATCTTTAACACCTAATAGACAAATGACAAATCCTCATAAACCAGAATTACAATTATTTGCTAGATCTAGAAGTTTGAAATGTATGAATTCTAGTCAAGAAAAGACAATGAAGAAACCTTTTGCAAATAAAGAGAATATCTTAACTTATGCAAAAAGTACGGTTAATTCTGCATTTTCATCTCTTGCAAAGTCCATTGGACTTACTCAAATAAAGCCTTCAATAATGAGTAATAATTCTTTAGATAATAAAGCTCAAATTCAAATAAATAGCACTCCAATTACTTCAAATAATATCATCCAACATAATAATTTCAAATTTAGAGATTCAAACTATAATTTAAATAATATAACTAATTCTAGAGGAAGGAACCCTTCAGTTCCAGCTGTAAATAATTCATTTGCAGATAATTTGAGTTATAGAGAAATATCTCGTGGAATTTCAACAGATAATAGATATGATAAATCTGTCCTTAAAAGTTTTAGATCACCTTCACAACCATTATATTCAAATAAATTGGGAAATTTAAGTAATATTAATCAACCAAAAAGAGAGCAATTGGATGATATTTCAAGTAAATTAAATATGAATAGAATTCTAGTACAGCAAATTAATAAAAATATATCACATATAAAACTAGATAATAATAATATATATTCAAATATACCAATTCCATTATCAAATATTTCAAATAATTTAAACCCATCACTTGCTGGTTCTAAAACTAAAGATCTGAATTTAAGATCAGGAGTACAATCAAATATAACAACTTATAATAATATTCAGAAAAAATCAACTGATAGTTCAAAACCAATTCCAACTATGCTCAATAATAGAACAAAATATTTATTACAAAATATTTCTAGACCATTAGGGAATATTCCACAAAATCCTTTATTTATCAAAAGTAATTATCTTCCTACATTTAAACAAAATTTACAACCAAAAATTGCATCTTCTATCCAACGGAGATTCTTTAGTCCAAGAATTAATTCTATTGGTGTAAAAAATAATTTAACCTAATTAAAAAAAAAAAAATTATTTTCTTTTATTACTAATTTCTAAAGAGTCACTATTTACTATATATGACCATATATTTGATAATATACCTTGAGTTTCATTTCTTCTTACAGGTACTGCTGTAATTGATGATGATGATGAAGATAAATTATAATAACGATTATTTCTATAAAATAAATTATTTGGAGTTGAAATATTTAAGTTATTTATTGAAGGATATTGTAATCTTGTTGTATTATATCTAAAAGTTCTTGCCTTTATAAAGTAATCTTCTTGATCTTTAAAAGTATTAGTAAAACTAGTTGGTTTTGAGTTATTTGATCCAACTAATGATAACTTCTTATCTTTTGATACTTTTAATAAAGATCTTGAACCTATTCTTTGTGTTTGAATAAATCTCTCTTTTTCTATATTATCAAACATATATCTTTGATCAAATATCTTCTCAAAATTTATCTTTGGTAATACATTATTCATTTTCCTTTCATAAATTAATGGCTTATCATTTATGGGGGATTTTGGAATATTATGTAAACTATTTATAGTATTTGAACCATTTTTTGAAGAAATTGTATTATTTATTCCATTCATTGTTGGAGTACTAGTGGTAATATTAGAATTCGTATTACTACTCTTTGTACTATAAAATTTTAATTCAAGAATTGAATTATTATCTTCTATTGTCTTAGAATCTATCTTTTCCTTATCTTTTATATTTGCTATATTTTTAAGTGACTCTTTATTCATATTCTTTTCATTCTCAATTTTTATCATCTTATATATATCCTGTCTTTTTGTAAGTGTTGATGCCATTAATGGTAAACAAGTCTTATTTGATTCTAATTCTCCACATTTCATCCATGGATGACTAATAACACTTGAAATACAATAACGTTTTTCATAATTAGGTTGAAGCATATTCTCAATCAAATTTAATACATCTGAAGAAAGTTTTGTTGCATTAATCTTTTTATATAATTCAGAATATTTACCTGCTAATATAAATCCCCAATTTGGATCTTTTGCAACCACAGATTTACCATTATATTCTAAATTCTTTGAATTTATTAATAATTTCTCTAATAAATTATTTAAAAATCCAATATTTCTATTAGATGTATTTACTTTCTTAGTAATCATTCTACATGTTTCAAATGGTTGAAATTTTGTCAAAGTATATAAAAGCATCCATCCTAAACAAAATACATCTACTTTAGTTGCATCATATAATGTATTAATCTCATATGCCTCAGGTGGACGAAATGATTTACCAAATAAAAATTCAACTTTTTGAAGATCATATTTATTATCTTTTAAACAATTTAAATTATTTCTTTGAAAATTTCCTATATTTATATTCTTATTAATACTTTTTATTTTACATGCTTGTCCTGGATCAGCAATTTTTGGTATTATTATTGAATCTCCAGGTTTCATAACATATATCACATTTTGATTTATATTATTCTTTTCACTAAACATTAATATATTTTCTAAAGATAAATCCCTCATTGCAATTCCATTATTATGTAAATGTTGTACAGCATAACAAATTTGACGAAATAACCATCTAGCCTCATTTTCTGTTAATGGTTTATTTCTTCTCCTCATTACTTCAAATAAATCATCATATTCTGCATATGGCATTCTAATAAAAGTATTTTTAAAATGATCTTGCCAAATTTCATCATATTCAACGATATTCTTATGTTTAATCATTAATTTTGCAAATGAGACTTCTGCATTAATATCCTCCATAAGTGAAGGTTTCTTTTTACGTAAATTTAGATTTAATATCTTTATAGCAATCATATTATTATTCTCATCAAATTCATACATTAATGTACTATTATCTAATAATTCACAATTATTATTAATTGTATACTTCTCTTTATTTAAATTTACAAATTTATTATTTCCCTCTAATTTATTCAAATTCTTATTTTTTGATATTTTTAATCTATATGCTAAAAAAACAGCACCATATAATGCTTGTTGTAATTTTTTTTTAATATAATATAATGATCTAAATGATCTTATTACTTTGCCAGTAAAATATCTTACTAATTCTTCACAATTTTTAAAATATTCTGGCATTTTCTTAGTTATATCTTTGTTATCATCAATTATTGGAACTACATCACATTTATTACCATTTACATAAATAAATTTTAAATTTATATTATTTAATTCCAAAAAATCTTCAGTATCATATATATTTGTATTTGTATTTGTATAAAGTATTTTAATACCATCTTTATTATTATCTAAATTTATAGGTTTATTATTTCTATTTTCTGAAATTTCTTTTTTAACTTCTTTATTATCTATATTTTTTAATATTTCAAGTTTTAACTCTTTATTTTCATTAACCCTTTTTGGTATTAATATTGTCTCTTTATTATTTAAAGAATTCAATTCCTTTAGATTATTAACAGAGTTATCAATTATCAATTTGCTACTATTACTATTTATTTTTATAAATGTCTTATCTGAAGGCGATAAAGAGTCACAGCTTTGATAAGATGTTGTTGTAGAAAATTTACAGATATCAATTGATTCATTCTTCCTCATTTTAGTATAATAAGCCGTAATATCTTCTTTTAATTCGCTTCCATATCTTTCTTTATTCATCCTGAAAATAATCAGGAATTTATATTAAAGTAGCTCTAATGGTTTTATTTCTCCTTATTGCACCATTGGAATGCAAATCCCAAATTTTTATTATCTAGCATGCCAGTATGCTTAGACATAGGGTACCCGCTAAACTGCTCTAAATATTACCGCCTTTTGCAATTATTTTAAATCTTTAAACTTTTTTTTTAAACAAAAAAAAAATTCGAACTTTATTAAATTATTATTATATGAATAATATTTCAAGAATAAGATATTCGAGTTATTATTATAAACCAGAATAAATATAATTAGACTGACTAGACTAAATATAATATTGGTAAAAGTTTATTTTTCCTAATATTTTTAATATTTGTACTGAAAAATTATAAATAATAAATTATTAATATATAAGATTAAGATTAAAATTTATTAATTTAAAGTTATTAGATCCAAAAGAAAAAAAAAAATAATCCTTTGGCCTTTTTTTTTCCTTTTTCTCTAGATAATATTAGTATTAGAAAATTTATTCATTCCTTTCTCTTTTTAATGCTTGAAAAAAATCAGAAATACCATTATTTCGACTATAAGTAATAGAATTGTTACTTGTATTTCTTTTTCTTATAATATTATCCCTTATATTCTTATTATTTTGGATATTATCCAAAGTATAATTTGTTAAACATTTACAAGACTTTATTGTCTGTTTACAACAAGAATAACCCCATTTATTTAATTTACGATCATACCAAGAACCCCATATTCTAGAATGTCCATTAATTAAAATATCTTCATGATATAAATTATATCTAACTGGTAATTCCTGTACTATAGAAGAATTATTTAGCGTTCTAATTTGATATCCATATTCATTATTATAATTACTATTTTTAATTTCTAGATATCCTTCCTGTTCATATGTTTCAGACCTAATATTTTTCAAAGTTCTCCTAAGTGTTTCAATTTCCCATTCTTTTTTTCTTTTATTTTGAAGTTCTAATTGTTTTTTCTCTATTTCATTTTGTTTTTCTTCAGCTATCCATACCTTTTCAAGATTTCTAATATTTCCAGGATGAAATGGTTTATGATTTAAGAAAGCTGCAGCCTTATTTCCTATTTTTTGTATAAACATGGACTATCCATTTAATAGAGAGTAATTTATATAAATTTGAAAATTTAATATTAATTATAATAATTAATAATATTTAGTAAATATGAACAGGGCGCTTAAATTTTGGATTTATAATTTTATTATTTTTTTTTTAACAATAAAGATTTGAATATATTTTTAAATATTTTTAATATAATAGATGTAATGAAAATTAATGATAAGCAAGGATATAATATAAAAATTTTTGCGAGAGATATTAGACAATGGGTTTATAATATTGTAACTAAATATAGAACGGATGGTATATTTATTAAAATAAATTTCATGGAGAATTTAAACATTTCTTCAAATAATATACAATTAAATAAATATTGTGGCATATGTATGGACAGATTAGATTTTTTTGGTATTGATTATTCTTTAAAATGTCTACATGTTTTATGTTGGTGTTGTATACTAAGATTACGTTATTTATTAAATTTAAAAGAATGCCCATTTTGTAAACATTCAGTTAATAAGATATTACTTACATCAAATATACAATATTTAAGGTATATTGTAAATAATTCATTAGATTTTGGAGAGAAAAATGAATTTTATCCAAAATTTGTATTATCAATTAATGATAAATTATTAAAAAAACTATCAGAAGATGAAGTAGATTCAATATTATTTAATGAGAAGATTGGTATATATTTTGAATCATTTGTATCTCGTTGGACTATAGAAAGAATAATGGAAGTTAGATGTTGGATTCCAAAATGTCGTCCGAAATATTTACCATTAAATAAGAATAAATTAATAAATGATTTAAAATTTTTATTAGAAAGTTCAGACAATTTTAAAACTATAAAAGAATTAGGAGATCATATATTTCGATATCATAATTTAAAATGTTGTTTTGTTTGCATAGAAAAAAGACATACAATGTTATTACCAGAGCATATGTTATATGAAATAAATGATATTAATCGGCATATGAAAAAAGGTGAACCATGGTTACAACCACCAATATTTCCACATATATTATGCCCTGTATGCAGAATTTGGTGTTTAGATAAAGATGATTTTACAGATCATGTTAAGAATGAACACTTTTCATGTAATATTTGTGAACAAAGGATAATGTCAAATTCTAAAGATTTAAATGAAGATAATAATGATTATATATTTTCAAAGAAGAGAATTAAATATGTTTATAGTGATTATAATTCTTTACAAAATCATTGGAGAGATGAACATTATCCATGTGATAATGAAGATTGTATGTTTATAGTTTTTGAGAATGAATCAGAATTAATTGATCATAAAGCTACTTGTCATTCAAGAAATAGATGGAATAATATACAAATACCAATTTTAATAAATTATACAGATAGAAGTGAAATACAATATAGAAATAATAATAATAACAACATTCCATTAATGAATTTTTCAGATATTGAAACTCCAGCATTATGTTTATCAGATGAATTATGTAATGAGATTATAAAAAAACTTAGAAATGATCAATCTTTTTTATGGAGAAATATTTTATTACATGATTTGACAAGATGTATAAAGATTATAACTGAAGAATTAGAAATTACATTAGGTTTAAAAGAGAAATGTAATGATTTTAGTTTTTGGAGTTTAGAAATGATTAATAACTTATTTATTTCAAATGATATTATTATTAATGGAATTAAAAAGATTGGTATTTTATATAAGGATAATAAGATTTCACCTATATCATTTTTATTAGAAGTAATTTTTCTTATATGGGGGAATTTAAATATTACATTACCTAAGAGATCACTTCAAGATTTGAAGAAGCAATTCGGTAATATAGCTACTGCTCCAAATACAATAAGAATATTTTTTTCTTCTATACCTGATCCTATTAATATATTAGGAATTGATAGAATAAATTATACAAAAGTTTCTTATCAGCAGATGGAGAATATTTTAGTTAAGGAGATTAATTGGTCATTATTATATTCTGATATAAATACAATGATTTTAATTTCATTAATATTAGGACTTTCAGATATTGAACAACGTTCTAAACTAATTAATGGAATAAGAATATTTAAAGATGCAATAAAAAATCAATCAATTATAATTATTCCATCTAAAAATCCGAGATTTTCTTTAAGTATAACTGAAGAATTAAAACCATATATATTTAAAAAAGATGAAGAACTTGTATTAAATAATAAGATAGTTAAAGAAATGAAATATATTTGTTTAGAAAAGTTTATACAACCTAATCAGATGTTACTTACATCAGGAACATCTTTTTTAGTTGCAATATCTTCTTTTTTTGAAATTATTTGGCCTAAAGTACAAATGATTGAAGAAATATTTAATTATCTTTTGAATAATGAAGATAAGGAGAAATTGGATAGACAATTTTTAATATTATGTAGTTCTCAAACAATTAATGAATTAAATACTTTAGCTTTATTATATCAACATACTATTTCAATAACATCTTCAGCTACTGTAGCTGAGAAAATACTTGGACTTAGGGCTCCTTATTATCGTTTAGCAGCTAGTTCATCAGATGAGAGAAATAATAATATGAAGAGTGATTCTTTAAGTTTACGTCAATGGTGGAACTTATGTGTAAAAACATTTAATAAAGTTAATATTACAGATATTGAAGTTATAATGATATATTGTCAATGTTGTTTAGAAATATTAAATAATTGTATAAAAGATAATCATTCTAAAGATAATATATCTAATGTAAAGAATTATAATTCTGTAATAAAAGTTGATCATAATGAAGGACCAAAGACTGTTATAGCAAGTAGTGAGATTATATATACACCTTTAAAGTCAAATTCTATAAAATTTTCACAATTTAACAAAGGAAAAAATACATGGTTTTCTAAGAATACATCTAGTTATTTTAATCAGAATCTAAATTTATCAAAAACATCCACATCTACAAATACAACTTCAACTCAAATATTATCTAATTCTTCATCATATGCTTCGAAAGTTAAAGTAAATATTGATAGAACTTTAGAAGGATTTTCTGAAGAGAAGAATTTTGAATTAGAACAATGTAATAATGAATTATTTAATAAAGAAAAGAAATTTCCAGTACTATTATCTAATAATAAGAAGAATTCTAAATCCAAGTTACTTTCATGGAAATGTTCTTTATGTACATATGAAAATTTACCATCTAGAAATAGATGCTTAATGTGCAATACCAAAAAGTAGCATTAAATTTATTAAATATTTGAAATTATAATTATTGGAATAAATGATGAAATAATTTATTTGTTTATAATAAATTATTTATTTATCTTGGACTATTTATATTAATATTAAAGATTTTATTAGATTACTTATTTAATGTAAATATTAATAATAAGATATGTAAATTCGATTTTATAATTGTTAATTAGATTTTTATTTATATAATATTAAGGATAAATAATATATAAAAAAAAAAAATATTATTGAGAGCATACAAATATTATTATAATTAAGGGAAAGTTTGAGTAAAGATAAATGATTTTATTTTTTGGGTATTAAAAAAAGATGAAGATTGTGACTATATGTAGTTTTTTTTATAAATATAAATACAAATGATTAATATTCTCTCTCTATTTTTAATATACTTAGTAAAATTGAGCTTAATTAGCGTGTTTAATCTTTAAATTTAAGGTAATATAATTTAGATATAGCGCTTGAAATTAATAATTGGATTTTTATAAAGTGATCTGTCTAGGAGTTCAACTAACTTAACTTAGATGTCTAAGAAGAATATTAAGAATCAAACTCCTATTGTGGAAGTTAGTGTTAATAATATAAAAAATGGTAGGTTTCAAGAATTAAAGGAAGATATAAAGATTCCTTTATTTAATATGAAACCTTATATGAAGACTCCTAAAGTTTTATTGCATACATTTTGTCAAAAAGATAAGCGTCAAAAGCCAATCTATCAGAGTCAATCTTGTAAAGGTGGGAATTTTAGGTATGCTGTTATATTAAAAGATCCAAAGAATAAAGATGAGAAATCTTTAAGATTTGAGACAGTTGAGAGTTTTCAAAATAATGAATTGGCTCAACATTATGCAGCATTATTAGCACTTTGGCATTTTGAAAGTGCTCGACCATATCATAAACTTCTTCCTTATCCACTTGATGAGGTATGGAAATCTTTGAATACTAATAAACCTCTTGTTACCCGACAGAATAAATTTTTATCAGAAAAAGAAAAGATACAAGATGAAGAATTAAGAACAAGAACTCAATCAGAAAATAGAAATAAGTTACTAATAATGGAACAAAAGCAAAAATTTGAGATACCAACTATGTATATGAGTAGTAATATTCGTAATAGAATAATAAATATATTAAGTAAATATATTCCAATTGTAGCAGAGAAATCAAAATATAAAACTTGGCTCTTTGGTGAATATAAACAGTTTATTGGTATACCTGACAATTTTATGTTACCTTATTTGGTTTCACTTAAAATAAGTGAGATGTCAGATTATTTAAGATTAAAATATAGTAAGTATATTCCAAAGTATGTAGATGAAAATAAAAAAGTAATAATTATATCTGTTTTACTATGGCATAATATTAATAAAGATGATAAAGAGAATATAATAAAACAGGTACAGTTATGTGGATTTGACAAATATAGAGTTGAAACTGCTTTAGAAATGATATTTATGGAAATAGAAAAGAAATATAGAGAATTTAAAGATATAAGTTATTTAAAGGGTGGTATTTATACAAAATTCAATGCTTCATGTGATATGCATATAATTCTGGATATAAAAAAGGATTATTATCCTACATTATATATATCATGGTTATGTGAAATGTGGTTAAGTTTACATATTTGTGATGATGATTTACCTCCACTATTTACATCTAAGAAATCTCAGATAGAAATAAAAGGATATAAAGATACTTCAAAAAAAGGTAATATTGATATTTGTTGTACATTAAGTAAACAACTTAAAATACTAATTTCTAAGGCACATTCTGATCCTGAAAAAATACTGAGTTTTACAAAAAATGAATCTTCTAATGAATATATTGAAGATATTAACAATAAATTATCCACTAAATCCTTTTCAGAGGCTAGTAAAAAAGAATTTAAAGCAAAAAGATATAATTATTTATCTGCTTCAATATATACTGATAAAATTATTGAAGAAATGATGAATAATCAAGTAATTATTTTACATGGAGAGACAGGTTGTGGGAAAACAACTCAAGTACCAATTTTATTATATGAAGGTTTGACTCAATATACAAATAATGGATTAATATACTGTAGTGAGCCACGTCGTATGGCTGCCACTTCAATTAGTATATATCTTAATTCTGAACTGTCTATGTACTATTGTGATAAGATAGTGGGATATAAAGTTCGCTTTAAATCTAATATTACTGATAAAACGCGTATAATATACTGCACTCATGGTATATTAATAAATATTGTAAAATCTGAGCTATTAAGAATAAATTCCAATCATGAAGAAAATGACAAGCACATGAATATTCCTTTAAATTCTATTTTAATATTAGATGAGGTTCATGAGAGGTCATTAGATATAGATTTATTACTTTTTTTTGTAAAACAACTAGTTATAAAGAGATCAGATATACGTATTGTAATAATGAGTGCATCTATTGTCCTAGATGAATTTGTACGCTATTTTAAAATAAGTACAATATTAAATGAAAAAAATTGTTTATACCCAGTTAAAGTAGGGAAAATTAAACTTCCAGGTAGGACACCCTTTCCTATTGATATAAGCTATATCCCTATAAATGAATCTGAATTAACTAGTGATTCATCAAGTAATAATCAAGAACCATTAAAATATTCTAATGGTGTTAATATATTTAAGAAATCATTGGATTTAGATACTGTTGCATCTAAGATCATTTCTATTATAAGTAATTTAAATAATAATGCTGGTTCTATTCTTGTATTTGTAGGAGGCATAAATGATGTTAATAAATTAGTCGAATTATTAAAGAATAATGAAAATAATAAGGAATTTTCAATGCCACTTTATATATTACCATGTCATTCTAACTTGAGTTATGTAGAACAAAGTAAAATATTTACTACTATTAAGAATAAACGTAAAGTTATTATATCTACAAATATTGCGGAAGTTTCATTAACTATTGAGGACATTAGATATGTTATTGATACAGGACGTGTAAGAATACCAGTATATGACTCTAGCAAGCACTTAACAATTTTGCAAGAAGTTTTCATTTCCCAATCAGAAGCTCAACAAAGAATGGGACGTGCAGGAAGAACAGCTCCTGGGAGATGTTTTCGTTTATATTCTGAATGCGAATTATTAAAGCAACAAGTTATAACTCCACCTGCAGTATTACGTCTTCCTTTACATCATATAATTCTTGATATAATTAATTATATATATTCAAGCTTTAATAACCTTAATAATAATCCCAATATAGAATCTATAATTTTTTTTGATCTAATTTACTATATTAGTGATTTTTTGACCCCTATTAAATTGTCCTCAATTGAAACATCACTCAACGAGCTTCTTAGAGTAGGAGCACTTGATAATATGATGAATATTACTCCTTTAGGAAAAATATTGAGTAGATGGCAGGTGGATTTACATATTGGAATTTTATTTGTATATGGTTTAATATTTGATTGTATTCAACCAATACTGACTATTGCTGCATTTTTAACATGTGATATTCCATGGAAACTAAAATCTGAAGACTTTTCTACTTGCCAAACTGGATGTGATTATATGATGTTTATTAAATTATTTGATTATTATATAAAAAATTGTTCAATGCTTAAAAAGTCTACTAAATTATCTACGTCTTTAGAACATGATTTACCATTTAATATAAAAACACTGGATTTGATGAAAATGGATATGATATGTGAAACTAGAGACCACTTCTGTCATATTTTAGGTATTGATAGAAATCAAAGTGTTATGCCAATAGATGAAATATTATCTATGTGGAGTTTAATTAGAGGTTGTATAGCTGTTTCTTTATATCCAAACATTGCAAGTATCAAACTTCCCAATACAATTAAATATGTATCGACAGGTAATGGGAAGTTTGCAGAACAAATCCTATTTAACAAATTACATATTTTTAAGAGTAAAGCAAAATGTGTTCAAGATTACATAGATCATTTTGAAGCTAACTTTAAGGATATTAATTTAGATAACTCTATTCCTGAAAGATACTTTAACAAAGCAGACCAAATCCATATTCCGAAATATAGTGCTTTATACAACAGAGTGGTGGATATTGGAACAGTACATTGTATTACTTATATGAGCCTACACAAATCTTATTTAAGTGATCAAACTATTATTAAGTTTCCAGTTCCAGTTTCCATGTACTTTCTTTTACTTTTGGCACCCTCTTCTTTAGAAATAATACCTATATCACTATTAGAAAAGATGAGTTCTTGTAAATTTGATTCAGAAAGCATAAATAACAAAGATAGTACTACATACTATGGAAATTTGTCAAGTGATAAAGTAATGAAAATGTCCACAAACTATATTCTGGTTGATGGATCAATATTGATAAAATGTTCTGGACAAATACAAAGCCTTATTTGGTACCTCAGATATTTGTTACAAGAAATTGTTCAGTATATTTGTCACATTTTAATTTCAAAGAAAGTTACAGATATGGAAATTAGTTGTTTCTCAAACAAAAATATATCTAAGAATTCTAATATAAAGCATTTTACTATTGAAGATATAGAGGAATTAATTAGTATAGTTAAGCTCACTTAGTTATACTAGTTAATTACTTATCAAAGTTGTCATATAGTTTTTTATAGAGTTTATGGTATATTTTATGTAATTTATTTTGTAGGTTCTTTTGTCTAACAACATTTAAATATTTAGTAAATAGTTGGGATTTTTTCTGGCATGAAAATTCAATATATACTGCATAATCATTATATCTATGACTTGAAATATTATATATGTGGTTTGGAAGCTGAGCTCTAGTATATTTTGGTAGTATTATATTATTTAGGTGATATATAGTGTTGTTATAGTTTGTTTCTTTTGGATGAATTATTGCACCATTAGACATTCTTGAGCAATTAGATAAATCTTCTCTTAAGGGTAGTTGGTACATTATATCTTTTATTCTTGTCATAAAATCAATATCTTTTGTTTCACATCGTATAAGTAATGCTACTAAGTACCTTGATGAAATTCGACTAGATTGTTGAAATACTCGTACTGGTCTACATTTAATATAAGGGAACTGAGCAACAATAGCTGCTTCACATTTACCAATATTAGGAATTATAAATAATAGTTCATTAATAAAATTGTCAAAAATAACATAACAGTATATTGGTGGGTGAAATTCCAAGTTGTTTTTTTTACTAGTTCTAATAATAAGGACGCTCATAGGTCTATGTTCAGATTCTATTTTAATTAAATGACGAATATGTGAATTTCTTAGAATAATTTTTTTATTTCTAAATCCAATTTTTTCATGATCAGAATTTATTACATAACAATCTTGAGATTCATGGAGATTATTACTTATATTAATGTTAGCAAGATCATTAGAATCATTTATTGAATTTATATTATTCAAAAGGTCAGCTTCTACTTCACTAATAAAAATCCGATTAAATTCATAGTATAAAGATTCTATAATATGAAGATTAATACATCTTGTACGTAGTTGATCAATGAATACTGAAGTAAAATTAAAACAGTTCCCTGTATTAGGATACCATCTTAAAATTGGATACCCATCTATCAAATTCCAAATATATCGCTTGGATCTAGTTGTATCCTCTAATGGTTCATGAATATGTTTTGACTTAGGCAAATTGTAAGGTGAGATAAGAAAATAATGTAATAAACTACAACTATCTCCACTATTTAACAGTAAAGTTCTAATTGTTTGAGCATCTTCTTCATACCATTCAACCATATTTTCACATATCATATAATTTACTCCTGATAACTGATTATAGCTGTAATCCTCTTTATTTCTACCTTTTTGGATAATCTCAAATATTATATTGATTGTTGTAGCATATACAAAATTCAAAAAATGTCGAATAAATACTTCTAGATGTTCCTTACATTTATAATATTCACTATTAGATTCTCTCAATATACTACATATAAATCCTGAAATAGCTAATAGACAAATTGGTCTTAGAGTACTGTTGTTATTTGTACATTCATATAAATTCATCATCTTTTCAAGAAGTTTCGGTAGTGATACCAAAAGAAGAAGCCTATGATCATTCAAATTTATAGGTTCTAGTCTATAAAGTGAAGTCTTGTAATTGTCTAAATTGTCAAATTTTGAATCATAATCTCCACAGTCTTTTATATTTTGATGTTTCTCAATTAAAATTTGACTAGCTATGAGTTTGGATACTTTGGATACTTGATCTGGGAATGTACTCTTAAGCTGCTCTTGTATTTGAACAATTTCATTTTTAATCTTTTTTGTCCCAATATATGGAAGAAAATCACTACAGTGTTCAGACTGCTTTAAAAAGTACTTTTTATCATTCAAAATTTGTTTGTTCCTGTTGAAAAGCCTCCATCCTCTTGGTAAAGACTTACATCTTTTAGTTCTTAAGAAACACTCCCTTTTTTTATTTTGTATGTAATTACTCCTTTCTAAATATCTTATATTATCTGAACTTAACTGAAATTCAAGTAAAGAATGACTTTTAAAATGTTGGTTTTGCTTCAATTCATCCCAGATATTTTGGTTACTTGATTCTTTAGGAACAATATAATTAGATATATTTTTCAAAGTATTCCATAAATTACTTAATAAAGAAGATTCTATTGGTACTTGAATTGTGTTCAACTTGACCCTACTATTTTTTTCATTTTCTGCTAATAAAGGACTATTTTCGCAAATAGCATTTTTTGAATAAATCCATGAAGAATATAAGTCTATAATACCACTTACAATAGAAATTTCTGTGTCATCACTGGCATTGTTTATAAGATTTATCATAGTATTATTTTCTACTTTATTATCTAGATCAAGATTACCAGCATCAATAAGCTTAGTCCAAATAAGGTATTGAAAAACAAAATACCTATTTTCATTATTATTCATATTAAAGAAAATTGTAAACTTGTAAAAAATATATATTGATGTTCTGTAAGATACATCTATATTCAAATTTTTAATTTGAAATGTCACTTTATCTTTAATTAAGATATTTTGTTTACCTTTAAAAATTCCTTGAAATAAAACCATTTCAAAAATTTGGTGAGTGATAACTAATTCAATAAGTTCTGATACTTTTCTAATTCCTAAAGATAAAATATCATCAATAAATTCCAAAATGTCTTCTATGAAGTACAAATTATCAGTAAGAGGTTTCATAAAATAGTCATGATAATCTGATGATAGATTCAATATTTGAGGCGAGCTTTGTGGTGATAATTGGGATGAGATTGGTGAAATTGGAGATGAAACTCTTGAAATATTTTGAGTATTGAACATAAATTTCCCTTTTTTAATTCTATTCTCAAATATACTCTCTTCAAAATTGTTGCAAGGTTTATTTATTTGGTTTTTCCAATTGTTAATATTAGAAATTTTTGGTGAGTTAGTTTCTTTTTTCCATTCTTGAAATTCATGCTTAAAAGTGAGACTGTTTATACTTGGCCATGCAAACTCTTCACTGCAAATATGTTCATCTAGTATATATATATGTCTTAATAGCATTGATACTAATGCTTGCAGTAAAGAAGCTTCTTTGTCCTGATCATTACAATTACTTATATTGGGTATACTCAATTGATCTTTTATATTTAAAAGTTCATGCCTAATCGAGGTACTAATATATTTATATTCATGAAGTATTATACAATTTAAAATAAATTCATCCCTTGTCCTTAAAATATTTAGGATAACAGTACGACTAGTATTCCTTATCATTGGATCCTTATGATTAACATATTTGCAGGCTTTTATCCACAAACTGAACTTATTAGTTGCATCATTATAAAAAAATCTCGCTGTTTCATTATTCAGCAATAAAGCCATTGTCCTGAGTAGGGTAACGTAATAAGAAAGCAGTTCTTCTTCTTCATCTATGATTTGTACTTCATTTAAACATATGTTTGAGTACTCATAAGGTTGTGATACTGGATACATTTCATCTAGGAGTCTAATTACAGTATTATTGCTCAAAAAGTAATATAGAGTTTGCTTTGTCTTTATATTCTGTAACAGTATAGATATTGTCTGCAGAGATTGTCTTCTACAGGCATATTCAAAAACACTATTCACTGCAATTTCAACTAGTTTATGAAGAATATTGTATCTGCAAAAAACTTCAAAGTATCCTTCTTCGTTATTCTGATCTCCCCAAAGTAGAATTTCAGCTACAGATCTAATATATTCTACAACATCACAAATTGTGTAACAAATATATTTGTCATTATTTAAATTATTATGAATTTCAAGATTTTCTAAACTTATAGATAAACTTTTATATATGAGATTGTAATCAATAGATTCTTTATTAGATTCTATACAATCTTGTTTAACATATGTTGAAAACTCTTGATCATCTCTCTCATCTACTTTGTACTTGTTATCTAAAACTCTGAAAGTATAATCAAATATAATTGCACAAATAAAATTAAAATTTTCGAATGTATAATTTACTTTATTTCCATTTGTTTCGTTACTTCTATTCAAAAATCCCATATTCAGTGAATTAGTAAATACAGGTGCAGCTTCATTGTAGTAGTATTTGAAGATACTTCTGAATGACTGAACCATAATTAAATATTCAAACTACTTTTCTTTAAAGTTACCTTTATTATTTTATTTTACAATTTCTCGAGGTACTGATTATAATTTATGTCTACATCTCTGATCTATCTAATAAATATACTGTGAAGTATAAGTGAAATTTTTAATATAAATTCAGAAAAAGTATAACAGAATATAGATAGGTTATTTATTTATATAATTGTGGTACATATCCTCAATATATTTACAAGTTTTACATTTAGACTTTCCTTCTAAACAATAATCTCCCTGGTTGTTATACATCATATTTGCATATATATTTAACAACTCATTTTCTAGTCTCTCAAGTCGTAATTTATAGTAATCACTATTTAAATCAACATTATTTTCATATCTGGTACATGAAAATAATAAGATCTCTTTTTTTGAAAGTTGATCAATTAATTCTTTATTCATATTTTTAAGATATAATATTTCATTACGTAAATTTTGTACGTATTTATGTTTAACTTTGTTGTTTGCATCAGTATAATTTAATACATCGCATTTAGGCCTAGTATAACTAGCTGTATCCACTGGTGACACAGGTGTTAAATAATTTGAATGATCGTTACAATTTCTAAGTAAGTTGCTGCAGTTATAACCTTCAAATTCCTGCAAACGCATATTTAAGGATTCCTTCTCTTTTGAAATATAAGTTATTAAATTTTCCAATGTAAATATTCTTTCTAGAAATCTCCGATTTTGATCTCTAAATTCCTCTAGATGTTCTCTAATTACACTATCTACATTACATTCTTGTGAATTATCTATTATTTCTATTCCATTCTGATATTCTATTGAGTATTCAACTTTCAAATAATTATACTTATCTAAATTTACACATTTAGATTCCATATCTCTTATATATTGTGATATAGTTTCTATTATATATGGAAGGTCAGTATCCTCACTTTTTCTAATGCAACTATTAATAAAATCCTTTGCTTGTTCACTCCCATAAAGTAACTTTTTCAACTCATTCCTTAGCTCTATATTTCTTAGATCCCTGCAATTTATCTCAGTCATCAAAGTAGTAACCTTAGTTTCAAGTGTAGTATTAAGTTCTTTTAGTTCGTTAAGATCATTCCTAGTGTTTTCTAGTAATTGATTGCGATCTCCCAATTCAGCAAGACATGTTGTAAGCTCTTCTTTTACCATATTCAAGTTATATTCCTTCTCACTAATAGTTTTGTTAATTTCCGACAACTTATTAAGTTCTATTTCCTTATTTTTAAGTTCAGAAGTTAATTCCTCCTTCCTGTCTTGAAGCTGTTTAAGTTTATTATTTAAATGATCAATTTCCTGAGAAAGTTGCATCTTCTCATTTACTGTAGTATTTCTTGTTTTTTCAAATTCAGAATTCAAACTATCCAGTTCCTCTATTAAGCTCTGATTCTTAGTTAACAATTCCTCACATCCACAATTTATAGTTATATCTGTCTTATTTCTTAATTCCTCCTCAACTTGAGTCAAACGACCTCGTAAACTATCGCCAATTTTTTTGCTTTCTTCTAACTCTTGAGTTAAGAGTATATTAATTTTATTTGCCTCAAAAATGTGAACTCCATATATTAAGTTAGTTTCTTTCAATTCTTCCAGCTCCTTAATAGTTGAATCGTAGTTTGAGTGTATATTAATCTTAGTTAACTCAAGTGTTGCATATTTCTTTTTCATTTCATCAATAATTTCCTGATTTTTTTTATTTTCAGATTCAAGATTAGTCTTAAGATCTGACATCTCACTGAGTCTAACCTCATTAGCTCGATTTAGTATTTTAAGTTCATTAATTTCACTTTTTTGTTGCTGAATAATCTGTTTCTCTATCTTAAATTTGTCTATTTTCAATTCCAAATTATTAATATAAGACTTCATCTCTTTTATTTCAGTCTCATTAATGTTTAATTTATCTTTTAATTGATTATTCTCAAGCCCTATACCTTCAAACTCTTTCAATAAAGCATTTGCTTTGGAAATTTCTGAAATTGTTTGCTCTTGCTTTTTATTTAACTCACTTAATTCCTCTTTTAATTTATTATTTTCAATATTTAATTCTGAGATATTTGTTTTAAGTTTTAAATTCAAATTTAACAATTCATTTCGTTCACTTGTTACTTTGTCTAATTCCTCTTGAACTAATTTATTAGTAAACTTTAATTCCTCAAAGTCACTAGTTGTTACCTGATTAATATCTTCAAGTCTTGATACCTCATTATTAAGTCTTTGCTCCACTAAATGTAAATCTTGGATATCTTTTTCAAGTTGTACATTTAGCTTCTCAACTTCAAGTAGTTTATTCTTCATATTATGATCTTCAACATACTTAATTCTTTCTTCTTCAGATATCTTCTTTTCCTTTGTTAATTCTTCAACCTGACTCCTTAAATTTATCAGTTCCATCTGATATTCATTCATTTGTTCTAAATGAATCTCAACCTCTACACTCTTATCTAAATTAACTTTATTTTGTTCTATAAGACATCTTTCCCTACTTTGTAATTCCTTAGTTAACAAATTCTGATCCTTTACTTGTTCCTTCAACAATTTGAATTCTTTTAGCTGATCATGCAAAATATCTACTTTTCTTAAGAGTTGTATACATTGGTTCTCTTTTTCAGTTAATTGTGAACATTTCAAGAGTTTCTCATTTTCACTTTTCATGTATTTTTCCTTCCATTGTTCAACAGTATTCAAGTTAGTGGAACTATTACTCTTACTTATCTTTTCTTTATTCAATAATCGACGTTTCTCATCAGAAAGTTGATTTCGTAATTCACGTATTTGTAATTTTTGATCCTTCACAATCTGTTGTAGATTCTCTAAGTCAGCTCTCTTTAAGAACTCTCGTTTATACTGTTTCTCTAATGTCGAATGCTCTCTTCTTAAAGAAGCTAACTCTGCTTGTAACGTTGATATTAAACTTCCTCTAGGTGTGTTAGTAATTGGTAAGTAAGTTGAGTTACTAGTTGATATAGCATTTACCTGCTCTCCAGAGTTTGAGGAGTTTTCTGTTTGGTTACTTATAGTATTATAATCCCCATTTTCTGCTTTTTTGCGCAGATTCCGAAGTTGTTTTTCAAGTTTGTTTTGTGAAATACTACTTGTGTCAGTTAATCCACCTAATTTTGTCAAATTTGGGAGAAACTCCAAATTCCTAGGAGAGGTTGACTGAAAGGGAGCTCTTGTCATTTTAAAAAAGAAATGCTCTATTAGAGTACACTCCTACATATATAGTCAAAGCTACAATAATTCAGAGTAGTTGGCATTAGTATTTATACTAAATCCTCTAACCTACCACACAAACAGGCGGCGTGAGAGTTGCGCGAGTTCTGCCCGCTCAAGACTCTGCAGCCTATGTATACTTTATAGTAAATATCATTCATCTAGTCCACATGGGAACCTAAAAATCTGAAATGCGACTTTTCTCGAAGACCAGATTATAAGGAACCACATATATATCTCAAAATATCAAAGACCTTTCAAAAAAGTAAGAAATTAGTGAAGGGTTTAATTTAATGCCCACCCTTAGGCTGCATATTATAATTTTGTCCACCTGGAAGATAAAGTAGCTGTGAGAGCTGATTTGGTGGTAGTTGTATATTAGGGTAAGAGGGGTTATCATAATGAATATATTGATGTGACTGTAACTTTGAATTTGTCTGCTGTGTTCTTTGAGTATTACATTGATAGCCACTCTGCTGCTGAACTTGCACATCACTTGACTGTCTATGTGGAACTAAAGAGTTGTTATCTAAGTATATATAACTGCTTCTATGGAATTGCAACTCACTATTATAGTAGGCTGGTATGTCAGGATTTAGGAACTCCTTTACATTTGGACTATATCTATTATAAGGGTACATAGTTATATCAGAATTCCCATCTCTATATTCACTCCTATTTGACAAGCCTAGTTGATTAGTAGATGAATAGTTGATACTTCCCTGTGTAGGCAAGATTCCTTTTGATTTCATTAAGTCATTTTGCTTATTTCCAGGATTTGCACTATCTGCTATATTATATCCATGCTGTTGGTATAGTATATTGTGACTCCTGTTATTTGCTATATGAGGAGTACTTTCACGTGGTAGTCGAGATTTTGATATACAATATGAATCATGCATTGTATTATGATATGCCATATTAGATGATGAAATAGATTTTGTAGGGAGTGTAGTTATATCAGAATGGGATTGATGAGAATTTCCGGCTGTAATATTAGGACCATGATTTGTTCTATCATACCCTGAGTAACTAAAATTAGCACCTGTAATGTGATCTACTTTAGCAATTTTATTGGGAATATTATCATAAAAGTTATCATAGGCTTGCCTAATGCTGCTACTATGGTAATTAGGTAGTGTTTGAATATTTTGGTATTGTAAATTGCTTATATTATCTATTGAGCATTGATTTGATTCTCCATGGTTATCACAGATAGTTGTACGTGAAGTAACAGTCCCCTCACAATTTGTCAATTCACTAAGATTATATGAATCTGTCTTAGAAATAGAAGAATAAGTCTGAGATAATTCTGAATTTTCTAATTTAGTTGAGATTGTGGGATTAGTTTGAGTCATTGATTTATTATTCACCAAATAGTTCTGAGGAAATCTGTTAAGAGAATTAGAAGCAATAGTATTGCTATTTATTATAGAACTTGAGCAAGATTGATATATATTTGAATTACTATTATTAGATTGAGTATATTTCGGATATTTTGACATATTACTTTGTAGTAAAAGAGGATGTTGAGTATATTTGGTAACTAGTTCCCTTAAAGGAGATAAATTTATGTCTGGGTACTCATCTTGTAAAGTTAAGGCTAGTTTAATATGGTTCTCACCAACTCCAAGTAAGAAGCTACCATCTACAGATAAACTACTATTAAACTGAACAAAGTCGTCAGTATCAATCCCCAGTAATCTCATGTCATTAAGTGGATATTTCATAAACGCAGGATAAGGATCAATCTCCATTAAGGCTATATCAATATCCATAATACTTTTTAGGAGTTGAATACTTTCTTTACCAATAAATCGACTTACAGATTCTCTATATTTAATAAAAGGTAATTGTTTATCAAAGATATACCAATCATCTACAGTAGGAGTCTTAATACAAGGTTGAGTAACAAGTTGTTTCAATAGCATTGAGAAAGGATCTACCTTGTCAGCTCGAAGTCTTTCAAGGTTCTCCTTAATTCCAGTAGCATCTGCACGGCAAATGTCAGCTAGTGTAGGACCCTTAGACTGACTTGGTAAGGTGGGAGATGAAGCAGATACTGTAGGTACTTCTTTGTTGTTACAGATACTAGAACTTCCACCACTTTGATTATATATATTATGATTAGCACTTCTCTTATTTATGTCAGATATATTGCTTGAGTCACGATCTGAATTTCTAAGTGACCATGGAGAATGTGAAGAAGATAACCTTGTTTCCATTCTCCTTGTTATCATAGATCTGTGATTTGAAGGATTTGGTGATTCTTGGGCTGGAGGTGATGTAGGTGTAGGAGTCCATATTGGTTGTGGTTCTGCTTCTGAATCACTTTCTATCTCACCTAGCCTTTTCTTCTCTTCATACTCCTCAATATTTTTAAAAGATTGAAGATATTTATTACGACTTGCTTCCTTACTTTTATCCCAAGTTTCTTCCAATATTAGACCCATCCTATATACAACTGTCCCAATTCTATTGTAGGTATAGCAATTGGTAATAATTAGTCTTATATCACTTTCAAAAGACTCAAAATCCTTATATTCTTCTTGAACAACTTTATTTCTCATTGTTGAAAAGTCCATAGGATTTTTAATAACCTGGTAATAGTCAGGAACTAGCTCAGCATTTACTGGCTCAGCAAATATTTGTTGACGATCTCTTTTATATAATCTACGTACAATTTCTAAAAGAATTTCATTAGGTCCTTTAGGTCTCTTAACTTTCAAAGGTTTATTTTGTTTTACTTCTACAGATTCTTCTATCTCTAAGGGTCTTATTCTAGGTCGACCTCGCTTTCCCTTGGGTTTATCATCATCAGCCCATATTGAGGTTATCCCAACTAACCCAGATAAGCCAACATCACCTCTATTTAGATTACGAGGTGGTCTACCACGTCCACGTGGGATCTTTATTTCAGGAGCAGCTACTACTGCTATAGTTGCGCTATTATCAGTGCTATTTATATTTTCCGGTTGCTTTGTTGTGTTATCAGTTAGTCCTGTCCCCTGTTTATCCTCTATGGTTTCATCTTGTAGTTCCTTATCATACATAAGATCCTTTTCTTTTTGCACCTCCTTTTCTCTAGTATTTGCATCTTCTTCAGTAATATTTTCAGTCATTTCCAAACTTCTAATATACTGTCTCTATTTAAGGTCTTTCTAGATGCAAACCTCAATAATTCCCTAATACTGGCAGAACATAAAATCCATCAACTAATTACTTTATAAAGTCTTGATCTTTAGTCTATTTTAATTACTTTTCTTTTTCTACCCACAGTCACTCCAATATTTGTCAAAACAGCTGTACGATACTTACCTCTTTATTAGCCCCTGATAATCATACTAAAATAAGGCGGTCTGGAGAGGTGGGTTTCTAAGCGCTTTTAAATTAATTTTTTTTTTTTGAAATCCTGACATTGAGTCTAATAACTTGTAGAAAATAATTATTGGCGCTTATATGAAACCTAAATTTATAATATTTCAGAAATTCCGCTCTAAGGCAATTTTAACAGAGTATATATATTTTCTAAAGCTTTTGAAAGTATCTTATAGAATACTAAAAAACAAAAAATTCCCTTCTTATAATTTTTTTAGTTAAATTTTCTGAATGGTTTATATGCTCTTCTCAGTACTTTTCCCAAGCCAGAGATGACTAGCCATTTAAATAGTAACTCAAAGGAGTTATCCCTAGATAATTTCTCCAAAGATAACTACTTCGGCACACATGGCGATGGCTTGATGGATGAAGCTTACAATGATTTAAATGAAGATAATAAACTAACTGAGAATATTATACATGACCAATTTTGGAAGACAAAACTTTGTTTAATGCATAGTAAAGGAACTTGTAAAAGAGGAGTAGATTGTCGTTTTGCTCATGGTTATGAGGAATTACGAAGCCCTGTGAATTTAAAAAAGACAAAACTGTGTCCTTTTTGGCTGAACTCATCTTGTACAATGGGTATAACCTGTCCTTATGCCCATGGCACCACCGAGTTACGAGTTACCACTGACTTCTACAAAACTTCTGTTTGCAGATACTGGAAAATGGGAGTAAAGTGCGATGCTGGAATCTTATGTAGACATGCACATGGTGAAGTGGAACTAAGACCAAAGGCAGGCCGATATATAAATAAAAAGAAAGATGATACCTCTTCATACTTAAATCCAAAGATGACTTACAGTAATAGCTATGGTATGTTGGCAGAAAGAAATACTTTATATATACAATCTTCTAGCCTACATAGTTTGAATGAACCTCTATTTAATGACTCAAAATTATATCCTGAGGCAAATGTTTGCTCTCATTCAAACAAAATGTATACATTATCTGACAATGAAAGTACTGCAAATCCCAATGAATATAATCACAAATCTGGAATTAAAGGGACTAGAATGAAACATGCAATGTCAATGCACTGTGTAAGAGGATGGGATTTAGATTTTAATGGAGTCAAAGAAGAATTTATTAATAAAGATAATTTTAAAAATGACTTATTTGTTAAACCAATTTTAAAACCTGAAGAATCTATACAAAAATTCTTTTCCAATTCTAATTTAGATGATATAAATAAATTGGATGATACACATAGTAATAGCTTTGTAAATTCAAATACAGTTGTTACTGGGGCATCATCATACAATTCTTTGAAAAGAATGGAAGGCAGTTCAAATTCATTAGTATCAAATATATCTGATCTGAGTATACATGACGATCTGATCTTCAATAATTGGCAATTGAAATACCCACCAAAGAAAAGTTTAATTTCTGAGATATCTCATCCAAATATTGATAAGACCACTACATTAGATGGAACATTTATAGATAGTTCATCAGAGATTGAGACATTCCACTTAATAGAGGATAAAACAGAACCAAATATTCAACAAGTACAACTTATGGGACAAAAAAAGCATAATTGTTTAGAAAATTCTTTATCTTCTAGTGTTTCAGAAACTTGGGATTTTTCTACACCAACACTAGTAGAAATTAAAAAATTAAACCCAACTGAAACTCCCTCAATGAAAAGTGGCTCAATTGCTGCTATATTACTTCCAAGTGATAATCAGAAATCTGCAACTGTACACTTTTTATCCAATTCGAGGTCTTTAATCTAGTTATAAGATATGTTACAAGAGTTCTAAAATGAAATATTTAACTATTAATTGTGTTTTTTCTAAAATTCAATTATATTATTGCTTTTAGAGATCTTAGATTAAATATAATTTTTTTTTTAGCAATAGTTAGAATATTGGGATTTTATTAATGTATATATGAAATATTTATAATAAAGTTAATATTATTCATTGTGTGAAATGATATATTAATCTATAGCAAAGATGTCTTTCTCTACTTATTTATTTATTTTCTCTTTTAAATTACTTGTTGGCAATATTAATCCACAAAATTTTTTCTATATCAAAGTATTTGATGCCAAAATATAGAATTTTGAAACTATGGCAATATAATTTGTATATCTTATCAACTATTATTACTATTGCAGCCTTAATTTGGCCTAGGTGTCAGTTGCCTCCATGCTTAATGCCCTCGAATTAACCGCTTGATGCAAAAAAGCCTATTGAAATAGCCAAGATTATCTCCTAGAATAATACTGGTGAACCTTTTTAATAGGGAATTATGTACAATGGAATTGGTTTGGCTACTGCTAGAGGCTCAGGCACTAGTGGATATATACAAAAAAATCTATCATTCTATAAGCCAAGGTCTAACTTTGAACGAAATAACAACTTTCTTACTACCAAATTATCTATAAAACCAGATCCAGACCTTTTAGAACATCAGAGATTACGCCAAATTGAACTTGAAGTTGTACTGTATTTAGAAAAACTTTCAGCAGGAGGTCTAACTGGTGAGGAGTTAGAAAATAAGGTATCTCAAAAGCGAAATGAGCTAATGAAAAAGTTCAATAATTCTGCACATATAGATTGTAAAGATATAAATGAAATAGTTAATCTTGATGCCCACCAACAAGCTTATATAAAGGAACAAGAACTCCATAAATTTAGGGAGGCCCTTAAAATAAACGAAGATGGTAGTTTAAGAAATAATTTATTTGCAAAAAAACAAAATAATAATAAGAAAAGTGATGAATGTGATATTGAACTAGTTAAACCTTCTAAGTATTCATCTGGTAAACAAAATAAGAAAGGCAGATATTTTAAATACTATGATTATTCACCAAGAGACACTATTGCTAATTTTAATTCTAATGAACAATATTATACAAAGAGTGGGAAAAGATCTAATTATGGTTCATATTACAACTGTAATGCAACTAATGGTAATATGGAAGAAGTCAGGATTAATAATGATTCGGAAAGTAGTTGTGGCTATACAGCTCCAGATAGTTACGGCAGAAATAAGAATCGAAGAGGACATAAAGGAAGAAACATATACAATTTATATTCAGACCATTGTGAATCAATATCTCATATGAGGAGACATAGGTATAGACGAAGGAGATCAAGATCCCCTTCAACTGTATCTAGATATCGTTCCTTAAGTAGAAGTCTATAGTTGTGATCGTGGAATTACCCGCCACAAATAAGGCGGCACTTTTTACGTGGTTTACATGTATTACTTACACAATCACATTTTTATTGTATTATAAATCCTTGAATAAATTAAACAAAATATATAATAAACGGATAAATTTGTGAAATAAATTGAGTTATAGTAATTTGTATGAAATTTGGTGTTAATAAAGGGAAATTTGGGAAATAACAGATACAAAAGATATTGGTGTTTAACTTATGCTATACTAAAATATGGGAAATGATGCAAGAAACTCCAAAAGTCTCGAACTTAGCACTCCTATATTAGATAATTGTAGAGTACAGCACTCTATATCTTCATTATCTTCTATTTCTCCCTTATCTAATAGTTCTTCATCATATTCTTTGAAATCCAGCTACTCAAGCTTACTACCTTCTCAAAAGAGATATAATCATCTAGAGCATTTTATTCACTTGAGAACTTCTACAATTAATAAGATTATAATTCCTTATAATTATATACAATTAATACCGTCTAAACAACGCTCTTTAATAAACAATTCCAACTCCGAATTTCAAACAAAAATAGAAAATAATATAAAATATATGAATACTAGAGACTCATTAAATCTGCTAGAATATCCAGTTTGTACTCGTGCTAGTGAAAATTATCTGGACAACAAGTATGAAAAAGCTGCTATTAAAATACAGAAGGCATTCCGTAATTATAAACATAAATGCATTTTTAATACTTCAGTAAATGAAAACTCAGAGTACATTAAATATACAGGGAAAAATAAATGTAGTTTAATAGTTAATGAAGTAAGTAATTCAATGATAAAATGTGATATTGATCATGAAGCAAAAACTAGAAATGAAGTTGAGTGTAATATAACTGAAACTTTTGAAAATAATAATATCCCACTCTTACAGTGCATTGCCTATTGGAACCAAGAAAGACAAGTTTTCAAAAAACTTCATGCAGTTTGGTTGGGATATAAAACTCGATGTATTATTTCAGGTACATTAAAAGGAACTTTCTTAAAGCATCCTTTTTACAAGGATAACAAGACTATTCCTTTAAATATATGCTACCACCTTCATCGTTTACTACTTTCAATATACGATCTTTATGAACTAATTAAAGATAGAGAACATAATAGAGAAGTTAAAGATATTTGTAATGATTCATGGATAAATGCTTTATATGAGCAAGTTAACCAATATAAGAAACAATATATACAAGAATTAGATCGGCTGCTAAATTGTGTGGAAAGCTGGGTATCAAATATACCGAAATCTAATGCATATGCAAAAAATATTAGATATGCTAGTAGGGTATTTAATAACTTACCAGGTAAATTATGTGAATTTAAAGATAGAAGAGTAAACCAAAACAATAGGTTAAATACTAACAATAATTCTCTAAGAATTAATGAACATTTCATTAAATATAGTGTAGTTAAGAGTTATGAGAAGGTGGGAGAACATTTGAAGCAGCTGAAATATAAAGTTAATGAAGAAATGAGAGACCAGATTGATCAGTTATTTAGCAATTTATACTGTGAATATCTTAAGACACCTGAGAAATCAGGAAATAACAATATAAAATTTTACACACCAAACAGCAGTTTAGCAGAAACTTCATCAGAAACTAGTACTAGTGATATATTTCATACACCCTTATACAGTGAAAAAGTAGCTACATGTGAGCTTAGCGAATCAGCTTATTTCTACTCTAGAACACAATCTAATTTCTTTCCCAATAGTAAAGATAATGAAAACAAATTAGTTTGTAATAATACATACCAAGAACGAAATGATTCTACTCAACTGAAACCTAGACCATACCTCAAAAGAAAAAGCCAAAGTGTAAAAGTCCCAAATAAAGTCCTTGAATTGAAGAATATAACATCTAAGTACAACGAAATGTATAAAAAGAAATCTATTGATACAAAAAAGAAGATAGTGTCTCAGACAAAAATTCCATCAATAAAATCTGCATCGAACGTTGTACCTAATGAAAAGTCAACTTATAAGTCGTTTTCTAGAATTCCAAAATGTCGATTAGAAAACTAAGTAATTAATAAGATCTTAACAATATCAACTCAATCAATTAATTAACAATTACTACTTTTTCTAGATTTACTTGTACCTCTTACTGTAATCCATCCATCATTATCCTCATTAGCTTTACTAGCTTCTTGTTTGACTGTGTTATTTAATTCCTTAGAATAAGATTTAGCTTGTGAGTGCTTATGGTTAGCATGCTTCTTTAAGTGTGTATTAACAAAAGTAACCTTATATTTTACACCTTGTATGTAGATTCCACGTTGGCAAAGAATTTCAGAAGATTGAGTTGAGTCTACTTGAACAATTATATTCTTATGATTTCTGTGGACTGCAATAGCATATCCATCATTTACACTTTTAAGTTGATTATTTATAGCTGTTGTAATATCCTTATCAGTAATTGTACTATTCGGAGCAGTTATAATAATTCTTATTTGAGGTTTTACTTTTTTTAATTTCTGGTCTTGATATGTAGGAAATGTTCGTGTTACTGAACCTCCATCACCTTCTGTATTATGCACATCTTTGTTAGTTATATTATTTGATAAATCTAAACTCTCTATCTGCCCATTATCCTCAGTATTATTATTATCATTCCGAGCTAATTTTTTTTCTAAAGATTCAAAGACCTTGTTATAAACGAAAAATATATTGTTCATAATTGTAAAACCCCTGTCAAGGTCCATGATATGAAAAATCTGAAAGAATGGGTAATTATTACCATTATTTATAATTGTTCCATGAATAGTTACAATATATAATTCAGATGTTACTTGATGAATGTCGAATATTTCTACGGGTATGTTGCAACTAATTGTAGGTAGACAGCAAAAAAGATTTAACACAGATTGATACCCAAAACTTCTTATGTATAACATATTATCATCTGTTAATGTTGATCCATGAGGTTTTAAAGATTTCCCAAAAAGTTGCTGAGGAAGTTGCCATCTTAAAATAACTTTTTCATTGCTATGTAGCTCACTCAAAGATTTCGGTGAATCGTTCAGTAATGAGTAGTAATTAGATATATAAGGTACTAATTTTGCCTTGACCGAAGTAGATATCAAGGAATTCCTTTTTTGAGAAGCATATGGAGTGTTATGAGGCATAACTTTTTGTGTTTTCCAACAGAATTACAATAAAAATTTTGTCAAGATTGAATTCAGGGGAAATTATAGCCTGAGATAACGAAAGTGGAGCCAAAGCTGATGTGTCAAACTTTTTTTCCCTAGAAAAAAAAATTATGCAGTTCAAGTATATTTGCAATTAAATGTAATATCTTGAAACTCCTACCAGAATTTAAGCTAAATTTCTATTTATTAAGAAAAATATTATTAGGTAAAGACGAAGACTATGGACAAAGATATTTTCTAGATATTCACAAAGTATTTAGTACTCAAAACTTATTTTAATAAGAACTAACTTCTATAAAGTATACAAAAGTACTATCTAGATAATAAACTCTCAATTTTCGGGATGACGACTTGTTTTGCATGGTTACTTGCTCTCTTCCTAATATCAGATTCCTCTCCCACTAATCCTGGCACTAATAGCATTGAATGAACTGCTAGTATACCGGCAAACTTCATCTTAATAAATTCTGATGTTGATTCTAAAGACATTAGATAGTCATTTACTGTATTTTTTTCATACTTTTTATCCTCACCCCCTGTGGTAATAGATACAAGGAGAAGTTTATCCTCAAGTTTATACGAGGTTCCATATGCAAATCCATAGGAGAGAACCAAATCTAGCCAGTTCTTTAATGAGGGAGGCATATTATACCAATACATTGGGAATTGCAAGATAACAAGCTCTGCACTAATTAAGGCTCTTTGTTCAGCTTCTATATCTATCTTCTGGTCTGGATAAAGTTGATTCAAGTGTCTGACCTGAATATTTTGGCCAAACTTCTCAACTAGAGTATCAATTATTGCTTGATTTGCTATTGATTTCCCTGGATGTGACAAGATTACCAATATATGTGCACCATCTGGACCAGTTACCCCATTCCTAGTCATTTTGTAAGGAAACTTAAAGTGAATCTTATGATTTAAAATAAAAATAAATGTTTCTAATTAATAAGCTATATAATTAGCTGAGTATAAATAAAAAATAAGAATTTATCATAAAGTGCTCTGATTAGTGGATTTGTGAGCGGTCTAGAAAAATATATCATTTGTAGATCTTATCAGAAGTAGGTGTTATTTATATTTCTGCTAGTATGTATAATAGTAGGATAAAGATGTTTTCTTTATTTATAAGCTAGCATTATATGCAAATATATGACAACTAAAGCTATCATTTATATATTTGGGTATAGTTAAAACATACAAAAATAATCTTAGATTTGTAAGATTACCCGCCGTCTACAAAGGTGCGGTTTTATTTAGCTCTAGTGAAGTAATTTGATCTGGCTGAGTTTTGAAGTATACAAGAAACCTGAAGAAACTTAGGGATTTGTTTATAATTATTTTAGAACTATTTTAAATAAGTCCTTAAGTATCATTATATCTTGAGGACTAGACAAATCTAGATTTTGTTTTCCTATTCTTGATATTATATAACAATGAGTCTCTATAATACTTGTGACTTACCGTATGAAAGTGATGGTTATTTAATTTCAAATTTTGGAGATATTACAGCTACATTGAGTCCTTTAAATCATGCAACTTCACCCCATTGTAGAATAAGCCCATTAGTTATACTGTCTATTTTGGATTCTCATGTTCGTCGCCAACTTGGACATCAACTGGTTTTAGGTACATTACTAGGTTATGTAAATGAGAGTGGAAATATATTAATATCAGACTGCTTTGTGGATAAGCACTCATTTACAGATGATGGGATGTTATCTATAATGATTGATACTCATGAAACTATGTTCGAACTGAAACAAAAAGTCAATTCAAAATTGCAGGTAGTTGGTTGGTATAGCACAGGAACATCAATTACTCCTGTAAGTTGTGCAGTACATAATTGGTTTAGGACAGATACTTTTAGTTCTAAATTTCAATCAACACCTTTACTTCTTGATCCAATTCATATATTAGTAGATTCTTCATTTTCTAATGGGAAGATATCTGTTTCAGCATATACACAAATTCCATTATCATGGTCTAGTTCATCCATTTCAGCATTCCAATCTATACCTTTGGATATTATGGCAAGTACATGTGAAAGGCTTCATATATCACATATAATAAAACCTTTATTAGATAAACACCATTATAATGCATTGGGATTACCTCCAAAGATTCTCCCACGAACAATACTGGGTCCAGAAGATGAATTGTGTACCGTACTTCCACTGAATAGTTTAGCAACTAATCCTTATGCTAATTTAAATACACTGATTTCGAAGTTACTTTTAATGGTACAAAAGTGTCTAGTTTACGTTCAGAAAGTACAAAAGGGTGAGATTGTAGCCAATTCAATTATTGGTCGTCAAATAGATCAGGCAATCCATATGATATATGACTTTGACCCTCATGCATTTAATGCGGCTAAGCAGGTTGGAATTCAAGATTCTTTAATAATTGGATGCCTAACAGAGTTAACGAAGGTACAATTAGCTTTAGCTGAGAAACTACAGACTTTGATGTTGTCTTAGAAATTTATAATAAAATACTTAGAAATATTAATTATATATGGACAATGCAGTAATTATTACTATTTAATTACTTTTATTTAAAATAATTCAAATGGAATTTGGGATTCTATCAAGTAATACTACTTCCATTTTAAAATAAGTTTTTATAATAATAAATAGTAGTTGGTAGGGGTTAGGAGATGTTATTATATTTTGTAATCAAGCTAGAATTTTAACTTGATTTTTCATCAGAATAATTTGGGAACATTATGTAATTTCATACCATATTTATCTATTCAAGGTAATATAGTTCTCTTCTTACTTAAAACTATTTGAAAATATTTATAATGTTTAGATACTTCTAGTTGATATGAAGATTAAACAGTCATAATTTTCAAGTAGAATTCTTTTAAAAAGTAATCATTTTTAATATATTTTCTTCTGTTTATTGGATATATATTTATACTTAAAGTTAATTATGACTTATTACTTGTATAAAGTGGCTTTATACTGACATTATAAAAGTTCCATCATTCTTTTTTTTTTTTTTTTTTTTTGATCTCTTCAAATATTATAATAAAACTTAAATTATTTGAATATTTACTTATTCAGGTCCAATATATTTTAATCTAAAAAGATAAATAAGGAAGTTATTAATAATGTCTAAATATATTTGTTTTATTAACATCTTCTTGATAGTTGTTTAAGTCATGAAAATATGTAATAAGTTTGATATACTATTAGTTTCCTTTTATAAATATACAAAACCTATACAATTAGTATATATAGGTTATGATAGTTTGTTAATTATTAGCTAGATAATGCAATGAAAAAAACTTGCAATTTATTTTAATAAATAATTAAGATCTGTATAAAATCTAAATAATCGCAATATTTAGTTAATTTGTCATTTTATCTAATATGAAATATATTAAATTTGATATTAATTAGATTGTCTTGTAATCTAGAATGATGATATAATCTTTTTAGAAAGTTATACTTGAATTAGTATTTAAAATGTTTGAGCATTATTTTACTAAGTTATATAATTAGTTTGATATTATGAGATCTTCTTTAAATAAATTTAAAATTGTATAGTTTGGATTATTAAATATTATAACTATTTTATCGAAATATATTTATATTAAAATTGTAGGTAAAATCACCTTAATAGTAGATTTATTAATTATAATCTAATTTGAGCTTTCTAAAATCTGTATTATATTAATTTGGATTATATTCATTAAGTTTTTGTTTAAAAGTAAATATATATTTTATAATATATATATTTAATTGAGCAAAATTTATCTTCTAAAATCAAAATCATAAAGAATCAACTATTAATTTATAAGTAGTTAGAATAATTAAAAATATGCTAAATTTATTTTACAATGAATTTATAACCATAATATCAGATAATATATTACGAAGTTGTAAAAAAAAAGTATTTATTAATTATTAGTAAAAATATCTCTATCTTAAAGTTTTTTTTTGTGTAAATTACAAAAAGATATTACAGAATAGTAATAGTAAAATCTTAATATTTCGGGATATGCTAATAATTTAATGAATATATTCAATTTATAAATAACCTTCAATAATATAAAAATAAACTTTAATAAGGTATTTTTTTATAGCATTACTAAATATTATAGAAATATATTCCATAATCTTGTATATTTCTCAACATCCTTAGTAGCTGTAAAATAACAAAATTTTTAAAACTTAACATTTCAAAAAAATTATATTATTAATGAAGTTTCTATAATCATTTTAAATATGTTAATATCTTTTTATAAAGTTAAATATATACTTTTTGATTTAAAAAAGGTTATCAACCAAGCTCAGGCTCAAGTAAAAACTTCTCAAGAAAAAGTTCCAATATACAATCTGATATTAAAACAATCAACATCATATCACATAAACTATGCTTTAAATTTATCCTTAGTTTCTTGGATTGCTTTTATTTCTTTTCTACAAGATTCTTGTAGTAATCCTATGTCAACCAAAGAAGGTGGAAAGAAAATATAGCGTACAACACTTCCCCTAATAAAACAATTTTTAAGAGAATTCATATGAACATATTGCTCATTTTGATTAACTGATATTTCATTAAGTTTTATATTTAAATATTGATCTATACTATGTAATGTACCAGTTATCTGTAGATCATTCTTTAACTCTACTGTTACAACAATACTTTTGTCAATTAAAGTTTGTAGGAAATTAAAAAATAGCTGAAAATAAAATATTCATAATTATTATTAGTTATAACAAAAATTAAAGAAAATAACCTCAATAATTATATAAGCTCTTATTCAAAATATAGCAATCTTATGTAAGGGCATAAATATAAAAATATAATTATTAAGTGGCTTACCATTATTGCAAATACTACAAATATAAATTATGTACTAAATGATAACTTCAAAATCTTTAGTATTGTAAGGTAAACTAACAATATCAATGAGAGGTCATACTTCTTAGAGCTGACAGTTTATTACCACTACCTTTTTTAAGGCGCTGATCAAAACCCTACTAATTGTGATTATCATGATATTACATCTAGGAAATTCTATTAAATAAAATATAAATTAGTTATATTTCAGTTTAAGAGAGGATTATTTATTAAAAAAGTAGGACTCTAAATTCCACAATTATATGGAGAAATACCGTCAATTTGCTGACAGCTCAACGGGTATTAATCCCTTTGTACCTACTTGGGAAACTAATAAAAAGAAGTGGATTAATATTATGGTGTTACCTATACTAATTCTACGATTTCTAATACTAGTACCTACATCTATTATTCTTGCATTATTTTTATCAATCTTAGACCTTATATATTTTGATTATCTTCGTGTAATATTTAGTTCAATACTTGTACCAGGACTATCAAGGATAGTCTTACTATTACTTGGTTGTATATGGATCAATGAAAATATAGAAACGAGATTCAATGATTTGCAATTAGATATTAGGAAGAATCAATTTGGGAATGAGAAATGTTGTAAATTAGTATTTTCAAATCGTCAAAGTTTTATTGATATATTAATATATTTAATTTTATTAAAAGATCCGAAATATATGTTTGCTAGAAAATCATGTTTAATTTGTATTAAAAATCCTCTAGTAGCTATTTTATATTCATTAAATATTCAAATTAGTTATAGTGTTACAATATTAACAAATTCTACAATGTTCTTATCAAATTTAAATAGCCCAAGATCAGTTGTAGTTTTTATGGAAGAAGCAAATACTAATGGTTCTTGTATACTTAAATGGAATCCAAATAAATGCCTTAACTTATCAACAAGAAATATAATACTTAATAATATTAATTTATATAGAATTTCTTATTACAGTCAATTTCATTATGGACCTCAATTTACAACTGGGAATATTACATACCATTTACTTAAAATGATATTCAGTTTACCCTTTTATATAACAGAAATAAAAATTATTCCAAATCAATATATATTTAATACTATTAATAATGTTACTTCTAAAAATATTAATAATCACGATCATATTGAAAATATGAGTGATTATCTAGATTATTTATTAAATATTCAAAGTGATATAAATAAAATACCTATTGTAATAAGAAGTATAGAGGATTATAAGAAATTTATTAAGTATTGGAATGATACTCAAAAAAAAAGTTATATATAAATATTTCATCATTTTGGAGTTTCTAAGCTGAAATTTGTATTACATCCACTTGAATTAGGTAATTTAGAATTAATATTGCAAATAATGAAGTTTTCTAATGGATTTTTAGTTTCTTTATCATAAAGAAAGGCAAATGTACATGAATCACACAAATAACTGGGATTCTTAGGTAGATTAAGAGCATTAAATATAAGTTTATTGGCTAAATTAATTCCACATATTTCACAGAAGGTTAGAATTGTACTTGGTGAGTAAATTTGCAGTGGATAAACATCTTCATATGGGCAATCAATACATTCTTGATATACTCTTATATTTGTAAAAGTAAATCGATGTTCACAATCACCAGAATGTAAAAATGAACATGGTAAATTGATAGGAATTGAAATCTCATTTAATTTACGTTTGTGCATTGGAATAATTTCCTCCTTATTACCTATTATGTTTACTGTATTACAATATCCTTTTAAATAAGTTGCATAATTAATTATCCCATCTTCTGTTTCTCTTAAATCTGGATATAATACCCCATCTATAAAAAAACAAGCTCCTTTTGTTTTTACTTTCAAAAGTTCTTCTTCTCTTTTTGAATCATCACAATTAAAAGCATCTCTGATTTCTGCTAATGTTTGATATTCAAGAACATCAAATTCTGCCATTTTCATTCCTCGTATTGGGTGATAGAAAGAAACTGTTATTATCAAACAATCTTTATCCACTTTTTTCAACTTTTGTTTATCATTTCTATTCTCTAATTTAGTTCTAGATATTTCATGAGGATATATTATACTATTCATACCAACGAATTGCCGTCTTAATCTGACATTTGAACATGTCCTTGTTAATAAATAAGAATTTAATACATTATTTATATCTCTATCGTCTATAATTTCTTCTATAGTTCTAATAGTATTTGGAATTGAACTGATTTTTCCTGCAAATCTAGAAGATCTTTTATTACAATTTCTAGATTTTTTTGACAATGTTTTTTCAAGTATTTCAGGTTTGATAAAATCTAAATATTTATCACTTTTCTCATCTAATTCCTTACTAATCATAAATTCGACTTCTTCAGGTATTCTCATCATTCTTATTCCATCTATACAATTATCAATATATTTGTTTATTTCATTATCTTCATGAGATTGAAGTTTTTCAAACTCATATTTTAGCAATCTATAGGTATTCTGATATTCCTGCTTAAAACTTAATATATCTTTATTTTCTTCGGGAAATGATCTCTTTATATTTATGTTACTATAATAATTCGTAAAATAACCATTATCCATTATATTAATTATTTCACAATTATAAAAATTTTTAAGATTTAATTACTAGTAAATCACGCTTAAGTATATGTACCATCGCGCTTATTATTAGATGACTATATAAAAAGAAAGAAGAATAATGGAATTGAAAGTAATATTAGAAGTGGAAATAATAAAGTATAGTAAAGATTTATATTGAATAATATTAAATATGAGACAATTAAAATACCATGAACAGAAACTATTAAAAAAAGTTAATTTATATTCTTGGAAACGTGAGTATAATGAAAGGGAGACAAAAATAGCTCGTCGTTACTATATACAGGATAGAGAGGATTATGTTAAGTACAATAGGTTATGTGGATATATTACAAAACTTGTTAGTGGTTTAAGAAAGTTAGATCCTAATGATGAATTTAGAATTAAGGCAACTAGTGAATTATTAAATAAATTATATCATATGGGAGTAATTTCATCTCGAATGAGTTTAGAAGTTATCGAACATTTACCAGCTTCAGCATTTTGTAGAAGGAGATTAGCTGTAGTTTTAGTTCAACTGAAATTCTGTCCAGATTTAAAAGATGCTGTAACTTTTATTGAGCAGGGACATATTAGAATAGGTCCAAATGTAATTTATGATCCAGCATATCATGTATCTAGAGATATAGAAGATTTTATAACTTGGTCTCAAGGATCTAAGATTAAAAGAGCTATAGATAAATTTAATAATACCTTAGATGATTTTGAATTATTAGGTAATTAGATTTATAATATAGAACTATTTTATTTTAATATATATAATAAATTTATTCATATATTTCAATTTAATAATATTAAATATATTAATACTTAGTAAATTATCTTTTGATAACTATTATCAATTTTATTTTATTGATATTATAAAAAAGAGAAATTGATATTTATGAAGTCTTTGCTAGTAAATTTAGACTTTAGATACTAATATATTCAAGTATGTATATATAACAATAGTAGTGATAATAAATATTATAATTATATAATATACTTTTGGAATATTATAATATTTAAATTTAAAGTCTATAACTAATTAAAATTTGGTAATTTTATTTGCTAATTAAAGTATATTCTGTTAGTAGTAGACGTAAACTATACCAATATTAAAAAAATTATGTAATTGAATTTTCATTATTGTTTATTATTTACTTTAATAATAAATCTTTTAAATTTATTATCAAGTAATTTATAAAAGATATCTAATAGATACTAATTTTGTGAATTATACTTTAAATGATTATAATTCAACCATTAATGTATAATAATTGTATTCTATAACAAAGTGATCTTTAAAAATTTGAAGTAATTTATTATCAATTATATCTTATTTGTTCTATAATATTAGTATTTCTAATATAATTGATTTTATTATATGTATACATATATTACAATAAAATATTGTCATAAACTAATAATATATCATTAGTATTTTATAATTAAGATTTGATCATTAATTTAAAAAATATGTCTTTTCTAATATTAAGAAAATATCTATTTTATATATAATATTATTATATATTATGTAATCAACTTATTATATATTACTTATTATTATTATTCCTATTTATCTAGTTTAGATATAATTGAAATTTGTATACATTTATAAATAAAATCCAATGACACCTTAAATATAATGAGTATTATTATTAAAAAATCTCAATATAAAGTAATACTTAGAAATAATCTTAAATAATGTAAGATTGTTTTAGCGTGTATTATTGCAGCATCAGATCTCCATATCTTCATTATAATATCAAAAGCTAATTATATATAAAATCCCATGATAGATCCACTATATTTGTAAAAGAATAATATAATAAATTTAATAATTTTTTTTAAATGATCTAAATAGATATTAGATATATTGAAAAGTAAAATATGGCATAAGTGACTGAGCGGTCCTAATACGTGTTTCTATTACTTAGAAGCCTATTATTAGAGAAGATATTGGGTATAATAAAAGTAAAGTTGGGACTTTTTAAATTTTAGAAATTACTTCTTAGAAGTCTTCTCTTTGGGAATCAAATAAATGCCAACTAATGTATTTCCAAGAGCATTATCTGTGGATTGTGAGATGGTTGGATGTGGTGATAAAGGACAAATATCTGTATTAGGTAGAATAGCAGTTGTAAATGACAAACTGGAACTATTAATGGATACATTTGTACGCCCTAGTTATAGAGTAACAAATTTTAGGACAAAATGGAGTGGTTTAACTTGGAATGATTTAAAGGATGGCGAATGTTTTGAAACTGTCAGACAACGTTTTCTTCATATAGTTGAACATTATAGAGAACATAGTGAATATGGACTAGTAATAGTTGGTCATGATGTAAGTAACGATTTACAGGTTTTAGATTGGAAACCTTCAGATACTGAAATTCGTGATACTGCAATGTATTATCCTCTTAGAAGAATGCTAGTTAATTCTTTATTAGATCGTGGATTAATTAATAAATCACAAACAGATGGATATATTAGACAAAAAGTTTCACTAAAAACTTTTTCAAAATATCTCTTAAATAGAAATATTCAAGAAGGTTCTCATTGTCCTGTTGAAGATGCTACTTGTACAATGCTTTTATATTTGAAGGCCAGAGATAAGTGGGAAAATATTATAAAGAATAGAAGATCACTTTGTAATACATCATTAAATTCTGTATTAATGAGTGATGAAGATTTAGGATCAGCAGTTAATAATTCTGATTTAAAGAATATTAATGACAATTCACACAATAATAATAGAAATCGTTCTACAAATAATAATAGATTTAGAAAGAGACGTAAGAAGAGTAAAGGTATGATTAAAAGTCATTAATAATTTAAATAATAATTATTGATATTTATTACAGTTTTATTTTAATTCTTATCTGTATATTTATATTCATTAAATATTGCTCTATAGTATTTCATGTAGTTATTTGATTTAAATTCTTCTTATTAGTTTTAATATTCAAACTTATATATATATGATACTTTAATATATTTCTAATAACTAGTTAAATGTTTATTTTAATTTGATTATTTTAGAGTTTCTTTAGATTTTAGATTTGGACTTTAATAGATGTATTATAGATATTTAATAATAATAAACCATATAGTTATTTAAATGAAATAATTAAAATATAATTAAATATAAGGTTATTTGCATGTTTATATTAGTTATGCTTCATTAATAGATATATTAACTTTTATAATATCCTAATATTAAGTGCATCAAAACTTCCAAATATTAAAATAGTAACCGCTGACTTCAATTTTACTAACAATAGAATCCTTTAAATTTATTATTATAAAATATTCTATGGTCAGAACCTATACATCAATACCACCTCCAGAAGGTTGGGAAATTGTAAAGGATCGACTTGAAGAATTTGAAAAGATGATGAGAAATATTGATAAAGGATTACACCAAGGTAGAAAAAAAAATGAGTTGATGTGGCCTATATTCCAAATAAATCACTTAAGAAGCCGTTATTTATATAACTTATATTATATAGATAAATCAATAAATAAAGAATTATATGAATATTGCTTAAAACAAGGCCATGGAGATAGGGAATTAATAACCAAATGGAAAAAACCAGGTTATGAATACTTATGCTGTATGAATTGTATAACTAATATTAATACAAATTATGGAACTACATGTATTTGTAGAGTTCCAAAAGCAGATTTAAATAATAATATATCTATAGAATGTTCAAATTGTGGTTGTACAGGTTGCTCTTCATAATTTCCTTTTTTGTTTAATATATATATCATTCCATTATTTTCAAATCAAAAAATATTAAATATATGATATAGCTTTTTTAGCTGTTGAATCTAGATCAGTACAAAATGTTATATTAATACTATCTTTTTTCTTATCCATTAATACCTTTGCTTGTTCAATATTTGTTCCTTGTAATCTCACAACAATTGGTTTCTTTATATTCAATGTTTCAACAGCTTCAATAATCCCTTCAGCTACAACATCTGCTCTAACTATTCCAGCAAAAACATTTACCATGATAACTTTTACATTATTATCATTATGTAATATTTCTAAAGCCTTACAAACTTGTTCTTTTTGAGCAGTACCTCCTAAATCAAGAAAATTTGCTGGTTCTGCATTATAAAATTTAATTATATCCATTGTAGCCATAGCTAATCCAGCCCCATTAACTATACAACCAACATTACCATTCAATCGAATATAATTCAATCCATATTTAGCAGCTTCAACTTCAATTTGATCTTTTTGTTCTACATCCTCTATATCAAATAATTCTTTTTGTCTATAACTTGCATTATCATCAATATTTATCTTAATATCACAAATTAATAAATTTTTAATAGAATCATTATCTCTTAATTTTGGAATATTCTTTTTTAAAACTAAAGGATTTACTTCAATAAGAGTACTATCAGTCTCTCTAAATAACTGATATAGCTTATTAACAATTTCATACATTTCATTCTTTAACATTTCTACTTCATTCATTTTAAATATTTTATCAAAGTATTTCAAATTCTTTTTATTTATATTCAAATTCAAAAAATTGTCTGATTTCATATCTTTTATATTTCCAAAATATTCCCCTAATAAAATATTACTTATTTTATTAGTAATATCTCTTGTTAAACCTTCTTTAGGATCAATACATATTTTATGGATATTATTTGGATTTTCTTTAGCCTTATCTTCTATACTAGTACCACCTTCAGGACAGAATATTATGCATGTAGAAGCACTTTCCCTATCAAGCGCAATTGCTAAATACATTTCTTTTAAAATTGGTATCTTCTCAACAATTAAAACTTTCTTACAAATCTTTCCTTCTAATCCAGTTTGTTTAGTAATCAGTGTTTTCCCAAGCATCTTTTCACTTATATCAATTAGTTGATCCAAATTCTTACATTCTTGAACTCCACCTTGAAAATTATTCTCTTTAAAATATCCCAGACCTCTTCCTCCTGTTAAAACTTGGGCCTTTATTACTAAATTAAATTCTTTATTATGACTTTGTTTTGCAAGTTCTTTACCTATTTCTTTTACTTCTTCTAAATTAGTTGCAACTCCATGTTTAGGAATAGCTAATTTATATTTCTTTAGGAGTTCCATACTTTGATATTCATGAAGATGTAAAAATCGTTTAATACAATTTGAATTAGTAAATACTTTACTTTTTTTTTTTAAATTAATGACTGAATATAATCTTCTCATATTTTGTTAGAAATTTTAACTTCTTATTAAATAATGTAAATAATAAAATTTAAATGTAATTAATATTTCTATTTTATCTTATTAATATAAATAAAACTATTAGACTTCTTATTGTATTCAAATACTTTGATTATGTTGTTACTAATATTATTAGAACAATGATAAATGTATAATTTCTCGCGTAGTCTTGCAGTATCTATAAGAAACCGAGACTTTATATTAATTGAATAATTTAATTACAATAGATTTAGTAATAATTATAAAGTAATATCTCAAATATTTCATATCAATCTAGTTCATATTATAAATTTAGAATTAATAATATTTTAAGCTATATTGAATTTAATATCTAATAAAATTTGAATAGAATATATAAATAAGTAAAAAATAAAATAGAAATATCTCTTAATTATAAAAATTAATAATAAATTTGATTTTATAAATTCAATATAAAATCTCCTTAATATATTATAATAGATAATAGTTGAATATGACAATTTAATAAAATATCTATTTAATATAATCTAAAATTAAGCATTTTCATAATATTTGATATTATGATCTTAAAGTATAAACATTGATTGAAATATATATTTCAGCTCTAATTAGAATAATTATTTAATAAAATCTGATTATTGTTTATTAATAATTTTTTGTTAATTATAAATTTAAATGATATATATATAATAATTTAGCTATTAAATTATTTGATTTCTTCAACATCACTATTAGATTGATTAAATTCTGAATATGAAATTCCCTTTTGATTTAAATCGTGATTATTTCTAAATATTTCTGGGATTGATCCACTGTATTTTGGGATTCCATATATTTGTTCTTCGATTGCATTATTTTCAGTAATAAACCATTCTGTAAGAGTTTCTGATTTATATTTATTGATTTCATGATTATCTAAAAAACTTGGTTTACTATTGTATTCTTGATATTCAAAATAATTAAAAATTTGATTAATTCTATAATCAAAATAATTCTTTGCTGATACTTCATACCACTTTATTGATAATTTTCTTAAATTTAAGAAATTGATAAAAAGTTTTCTATTAAGTATATTATCATTTATCCAGATTTTAAATGAATGGCTTGTCCTAATTTTAATAAATTCAGACTCTTCTAAAAGTAATAAATCTAGAAGAATATTAAGATTCCCATTTTTCATAAAATTACTTTTCTTAAGTTGTAAAGTAATGGATTTTTGTTTTTCTAAATGAAGTTTTGATTCCAATGATTGTTCATGTGCTTGGTTAATTAGAAAATTATTATATCTTTCACTTTTTATTTGATTAGCATAATTAATTGCAGAGATTTCACTTGTTGGTGATATAACAGAAGCTTCTATTGCATCACCTAAAGAAATACCCCATTGTTTAACTAATCTGGCAACTGTAGTTATATTTGACTTTTCAATATCTTTATATAAATAATTTGTTCCATAAAATCTCTCTTTATTGCAATATGGGCATTCAACTTGGGTAATTTCTTCTACTTGATTACCAAAACAATCACTTATAGTATAATCGAATTTTTCTTTATTTTCACATAATGGGCATATTGGAACGTTATTAATAGATTCACTTTCAATTTTATTTCTAATAGTGAATAGTACAATAGTAAATAAGTGAAGTTATGTTTGATATTAATAGATCTTATTAAGAGTTAAAGTTACTTACTTTTTTTTTATTATAAAACAATCCAAATTATCATATTTAGATTTCACATATTTTCTAGGCATATAAACTTTTGAATATACGATATATCTAAATTATATATTAAGGTTAATACCAGTAGTATCCTTAGGCGTGTTGATGCCACACTTCACCAGTAGTAAATGTAGGTCTAATAAATAAAATTAAATATTAAAGATAAAAACAAAGAGAATAGGAGGGGGAAAGGGTATGATTATATTAAGGTAACCTTAAATAATATAAAATTTTCTTAGAAAATAATTAAGTTTAAATTTCTCGTATTTAAGACAACTTTTAATTATTAATAAGTCCTTTAATTAACTGAATTATTTAGATAAGTACCAAGTTATAACAATAGCTCCTTGTATAAAGCGCCTCGAAATTCCACTTTTCCCCCTCAAACTATGCACTGCAAGAATAATATAAGAGTTCACACATTTACGAAATATAATTTAGATTTATTCAAATAGATATTGTATATATTTCTACTATATTAAGAAGTTTGGTGTTTTTCTTTACTATTACAACTTCTTTTTTTAGTTGAACAATAATTCTGGAGTGAAGAATTAATGTTTTACAGTATGCAGTATTAGTTTCTTACAATATCTATAATTGTATCTGGTAAATCTTAAAAGTTAATAAAGTAAAAGGTAAAGCTAGGACTTTATTATTTTGTATATATATGCTATCAATAGAATTACTTCAATAATGTATCCGATATGGACAAATTCCAATTTCCTGGACATTACAATAGGTATAACATGGAATATATCCTCTGATATATTAGATTGTGATGCAGGAAGATGGTTTAATGTATGTAATAGTGCAAGATTTTATGTTAACATATTAGATCATCTTATGCAAGATTTTAATTCAATATTTTCAAAATATACACCTGGTTATGATATTTTTTATGTTAATAGTATTAAAGAATGTATAGGGAAAGTACGGAATTCAATTTCACCTATTTCAGAGGAATCAACATGGATTAGATTAAAATCCTTGTATGAAAGATCTATTATGAAAAGATCTGTGGATTATGAAGAATTTCATCATTTTATAATAGATTTAATAACTAAAGTTCGAAATATTGAATCTGGTTCCAGCGTAGTTTTTCCAGGAATTATATCAATTGATTATTCATCAAAGCCAATATTTGTCTTATATATTATTTCTAAGTTAGATTTTACCCAAAATAATGTATATAATGGATATATATTTTCTTTGGTAAATGTATCTGGTTATGGTACAGAATACCATGCTTTTTCTAATTCTTTATATAGTAAGAATCCTACACTGTTATTACGTGATTCTGTAATGGTAATTTCAGATATTTACCCTGATCGTCTATTGCATTCATCATTTTGGATTTGTTTATATAGATTATCTATTATTCCCTCAACAAATAATATTCATTATCTTTATACAGTTTTATTACCATTTTTGAATAGCAAACAATTATTAAGTAATTGGATATATTCTAAAGAAGATGAGATTTTGGAAATTGACAATAATTTATTACCTAAAGAAGATACAAATAAGTTATTTAAGGGATTAGAAAATCCCTTAAGAAGTGATAATACTGTGGAGAAATTAGATTTAAGATTTCATTTAAGTAATATTTGGATTCCATCACCTAGAAGACGATATGTAGGTTCTAGTAATAAACTTTTAAGATCAGCTTTGCAATTACTATATCAAATTTATCTTGTAAATAGAGTTTCAATAAACATGAAGTTTGCGTCAAGACAATTTCAAATATACATAGATTGGATACTATTAAAAATTGTAGAAGACGATTTGAATAGATGTATATTATCTAAGTCTAATAGGATGATATTTCCAACTAATATTATATCTACATTTATATCAAGATTTTGTAGAGATATATCTAATTACTCATTAGAATTATCTATATATGAAGATTCAATTAAAAATAATGTATTGATGAAGGATATTAGTAATATAAGGAATATACCTAATTTACCTTTTAAAGAATGGTTTGATTATATTAATAATTTTAAAGCTTTTTATGAGCAGAATCTATCGGCTAATTTAAAAGGTTATGGCATAGGATTATGTACTTTACCAAAATCCTTGGCTTCATCTCCTTTAAATATATTGAGAATAAATGGAGCTTTTGATAACTGGGGATCTTTTCGTATTGATGGTCCAAATGTAATGTTACTAGCAGGTGAAGGTAATGAGCCTTTAGTAGATATTCCGGTTGAGATTGATAATATACATAGGAATATTGAAAATATAGAAGATGTGGTAATTGTACTTGAAATTTGTAATAACTGTTGTCTTCTTTTAGCAAATCAATCTGAATTTATAAGAAATAGTTATTTACTTCGATTTAAACTTATTCAATATATATTTCATCACTTAATACCATTTCCATTACCTTGGGATAACCCCAAAAAATCAAAATATTGCTTTTGGGCTAGAAAAGGAAATTTAAAGCGATCTCAACAGGTTTATTTACTATCTTTACTTTGTAATATTGTTAGACACTTTGTAACTTGTTCTTTTTCAATTTATTCATTAGCAGAAGTACCAGATGCAAATAGAATTGTAACTTTGGGAATTATAAGTTGCATTGCTGATAATATTGCAAGATGTTCTACTGTTGATTATAATTCTCCATTGAGTATACATTTATTGGGGAATCATTTAGGTCCAAAAAATTGGTTTTATATTGATCTAATTAACTTCCAGGAAATTACGGATTATGCTTTATTTCCAGATCCTTCTATCATAATAATGAGAACGATGGTATTAGATTATTTCTACTCAGTTAAAGAATTCCCAATGAAAAATAATTTGGATAAAAAATTATTCCAAATTTTTTGTTTTGAAGGGAAACCAGGGATAATAGATGATGGTACTCTTCAACTGCTATCTGAAATATGTACTGAATATGGATTCCCAATATATGAACAGAGTGAAGATAATAGAAAAGGTAATACAAGTAATCTTCGTATATGTTTATTACCACTTTATTTTACGGGGGAAAATCGAAATCTTATGGATATTATTCCTGAGTTTTATTCACTTAGAGATATAATATTTTACATGAAGTTATTCATTTCTCAAGTTTCAGATGCGACTCCAAATATAAATAGATGGAATCCTGGAGAAGCATATTTAAAATGGACTTACAATTCATATAAAGATATTTTCACTGTTAAAGCCTTTGATAAATTTTTAGAATGTGCCTATATTTCTAAAAATTATCAAGGAAAAAATACAAAGGGACTTTGGTCATCTTTTGCAGGTTGGTTTACCAATTCAGATGATAAAAGTAATTCCAAAGTTTTTACAAAAATGACAGATCCTACAACTTTGATTTTGTCTATAGAAAATATGAATAATCAATCCAAAACAGCTACATCTAGTTTGTCTTTATCCTGTCAAACATCTATTTCTAATGAAACGGATATTCTTTATATTAGATCTCTTCCTCATATTAGTGATTTTTTGCAGCCAAATGAAGTTGAATGTATTCTACAATACCTTACAACTCCATATATTAGAATACCTCTCTTATTGCAATTTTTTTGTGATGAGGGCCGGATAAATGCCTTATCATCTATACCAGTTCAGCATATATTATGGGCCTCTTTGACTGAACCTTGGCAATGGCAAAGCCCTAAGAATGATAATAAAGATCCTATTTCGTTCTTGATTCCATCTGATGATTTATCTATAATATCAACTCCTTGTGGTTTGCTTTTCAATGAATTAATGAATTCTTCTTCAATATTGAAGTATGTAGAGGAGATGTTACTTATTGCTCTTGACAAGGATACTGGCTCCTATTGTGGAGATAATTCAATAATTATATTATTTGTTCTTCGCTTAGCAATAATGGTTACAAATTACTGCAAGTATATAATAGTACAACATAACCATTGGGCAAATATTATTGAAAATAAACAGAATTCTCTTATTTCACCTCTTTTACAGCCTAAAAATGACCCTGATGCCTATCAAAATGATCATGCAACTGATTATATGCAAAAACCACCACTGGCTTGGTCAGGGTCCTCTTGGACATGTCTCTGCCGTGGATTTGAAAATATTATTAACTTACCAGTAGAAGATAACCATCCAAATAGTCTTAATATTAATTTTAAAACTATAAAAACAGGTTATAGACGTATAAGATATGTTATTGAAAGTATGTATGTAAAAGTAATTAAAGATTGGATGAAAAAGGCACTTAGTGACTTGAAAATTCCAAAATTATGTGTTCTATATGCTCATATTGCATATATATATGGTGAAGTAAGAAATATTGATGAGTTAGATTTAAAAAAAACAGCAGCTTTGCTTTCTTCCCTTGTATTCATATCAACTCATTTTGGCTGTAAATTGGAATATGGAAATTTGGTAGCTAATAACTGCTCTTCAGAAAAGTTGAATTTCCAAAAGTCCTTTGAAACTATTGGATCTACTACATACAATTTAAGTAGCAATTCTAGTAATGCTGGTTTGAACTTGGGAATTCCATGGGATTTTACTGTATTATTTCAATTAGGAGTATCCGAAATGGAATTAGCTGATATACAAACAAAAGCTAGACATTGGATTATTAAATGGCTTGAAATAAATTCAGGAGAGGCTAATTTAGTATTAGATACAGTTGTTAATGCTGTTACACTTAAAGGTATAGGAATTATTGAAGATTACCCCAAATTAGAGGATTCAAAGGATTCAAAAAAGCAAACTATTGAATTAAAACCATGTACTAGAGAGTGGATTCAACTTCCGAGCATTAATGGTAAAGGGAGATTTGTACCAATAAATGAAATACCAGCTGATTTATATGAGTGGATTAAATGTGATAATATTCGCAAATTGGATTTGATTAACAATAAACTGGATACATTTCAAAACTCCAAAAGTTCTGCATATTCTTCAGCAAACTGGTGGAAACTGAAACGTCTGATGAAATTGAAGAGAATTATTGGAAGTTCTAGTACTAATGAAAATAGTTTAAATGAGAGATATGATATTTCACAATTTGAATATTATGAATGGTTTAAGACTATGTTATCTATTAATACAGAAACAGAAATAAATATTCAGTTATTTCTATTTTCACTTAAAAATAATAATCTTAAAATCTTGGGATCATGGATAAATGAATTTAAAGATTTCATGGATGTTTTAAGAGAATGTGAAGATGAACCATCGAATTTAAACAAAAATAGTACTAATTTAACTAGTAATGGTCAATATCAATGTGCTGAAATAGCAAATAATCAGAATCTTTATTGGTGCCGTTTAATTGGTAGTAGAATTGATCTTTATAGGTGGGAACCATTTCAGAAAACAATTCAAGTTACTTTTTGTAGGAAATATTGTGTAAACAATCTACCTACTGGATCAGAATGGATGACTGAACTGTTTGAGCCATGGAGAGTTATTTTTTTGAAGGGAATATCAACAATATATATTGAGGATCCTGAAACTGACAAGAATAATCAAGCACAGTCAGGGTGTACTAAAAAACTAGATTTGACGAAAGTTGTAAGATTACAGTTTTTATATCCTTTATATAATTCTGGAGAAGGTCCAAGTTCTCCACATACGAAGACTGGAAGTATAAAATCTATTTCTGAAAGTGGAAATAGCCCAATTCTTGAGGCTGAAATTGTAACTCATTCTTTGAAGGAAATTGTTGTTTATAGGTTTCCACCTGTAATCATGGTATTTGATATAGTTGAACATGGAAGACTGTATTACAAACAACTGTGTCATACTTCAAACATCTCGTACTCCCTTGGCTATTGCAACGAAAAATTTATCACTCCGTGGCTAGGAATAACTGAATCTATTCAAGATGAAGATCTTGACAAGTCCAATACTTCTTGTTACTTTACAACAGGGAACAGTAGTAAATACACCTTAGGTGCTGGAATTCCTCTTAAAAGGGGGCAAAAACCTTGTCAATCTCTGGTTATTATGCGAGATTACTATCCTGACCCTGTAGGTACCGAAATGTATATCCCTTCAAGATTTTTATTTGGATTGTTGCCTCAAGCTTTAATTGAAACTCATGAATTTTGGCAAAGCCAAATAACAGGAAATATTCGTGGATATCCTAGAAAGAATACTAGAAAAAATCCCAAACAAATAGATTCTCATAATATTGATAATGTATCTAAAGAGAAGGGGGGTCTTATTCACCAAAATGATTTGTACTTGATAGATATTTATGTAATCCCTACTTCAAAAGTTCCAGATAGGTTTGGACTTATAGGAGATGCAATTTCTTTAATTGAAAGACGCTATATCTATGATTCTTCAATTGTTCATACTCTTATAAATATACAATCACTTTATGATTCAACAGGACGAATGAGACAACTATTTAATACTATACAGCGACTTGAAGATTTATCCCACATTCTTTTATGGTCAATAAATAAACAGGGCACAGAGAATTCAAAAGCTAATAGAGATCTATCTCTTGAACAAACAGTAGATATTATTGAATTCCCAAGATTACATTTGATATTCAACAGGAAAGATAGAGAAGGTTTAAATAATAAATTAACAGCACTTAATTCTTGTACTGCTAATCCAATAACAGGCACAGTGAGATATGTTTGTGAGCAACATAGTGGATTATACATAAGTTGGAGAAATTTGTTTGAGTCTCCTTTAGCCTGTGAACTACTCTGTGGTATCCCTCACTCTATTTTACTTGAGAATGATGATGGAGATCTCTTTATTCTTGTGCCAGCTACAACTAAACCTATCCTCATACCTCCAGTATATGGCGAATATCTTAGAAACGAACTTGAGACTTCATCGAACTCTCCGACATGCTCGTCAGGATCATCAACAATCTTATCTAGAATTCCCACTGTTGATCTAGATGCAATCTCCTCCGTTATATCTCAGACTACAAGTACTGCTAATATTATAAGTGAAAATTTTGAAGCAATCATAACATCTCCGGGTCAATATGTTGCTTCTATGGCTTCTATAGCTTCTCAACGACTTTACGATATAGCTATAGATGCAATAAGCAAAAGTACAAAGAACATGATTGACAATGTAGTTAATTCTGCAACTGATTTGGCTGCTTCAACTATATCTATAAATTTTGTAAATTCGAATTCTGTGGAGAACCTCTCAACTTCACCATATGAATATGACAATCGAATAGATAGTTTAGGTTCTCCAACTTCAAGTAACAAAGTTGCATCTTTTCTATATAGGGGTAGTTATATTTTAGATCGTGGAGATGATGTATGGTTATCAAGACTTGGTCCAACAAAACACTATCTATATCCAATCCACACATCTAAATCTTTCGTTTTCATTAATTCCGTAGTTTCAGGCTTGTACTTGATGTTATGGAGATTTCTTGAGCAAAAATTCGAATCAGTGATTTCAATTCTTGATACTGCAACATGTAGCGATATGGAGAACTACTCTTCTGTTGGAGAAAATAGAAATAGCGAAGAAGATCAACTTTGGCAGTTATTCAACAGTTTGAACCACTTTTGGGATTATCACCCAGATGCACATGCTTGTAGACTGAAGCTTTGGCTACACTGTATCAGAAATATATCATCAAATAATTCAAGGAGTTCCGGAAAAAAAGTTGGAAAGGAACCAGAATTTAAAAATAAGAAGTGTGCAGCGAATAACACGAACAATAATCCAAATGTGACATCATTTCTTGCTACAAACTCCTCTTTTATATGCACTTGGGAAATAACTAAAGATATTGAAGCATATTGCTACAAATATGAACATGTTTCTGCTAACTGCCGTCTTTCTATGGAGGAGGAACTAGAAATATTGCAAGCTTTTCCCCACTTTGTAAAGGAAAATCAAGATTTAAATAATCGTTTAAATTTAATTTCGACTGTGTTAGATAAGCAGAAGGAAAGGCTAAAGCAAGATTGCTCTCTTTCAAAATATATTGAAGTACCATTTTTTAACCCTCCAATACCTCAAATAGATGATTTTGATAGCTGGGTAGATACGACTTGCTTAGGAACTCCTGACGTAAAGGGATCATCAACATCAGTTTGGAACCTATCAAATATTCTTGGAACAATTTCAGCTCCTCCAAGCATACGTGATAAATTTACGGGGAAGATTGTTGATGGAACAAATATAGCAAGTTCTTCTATTGTAGGATTAGCAGCTACTGAATTTATAATGAAGTTTTTGAGTCGTGGGAGTATTGGTAAGTTTATATCAGATACTATTTCTAGCACTGCAGAAACTCTTATTCCTGATATTGCACTTTCATCTACAACCACTGGAAACCAGTCAACATCAAGTTTAGCTACTGGAACTAGCTTTGTATATCTCTCTGATTGGCTATTTATATATGAGCTCCTTACTGGATCGTTTCCTATACAAATTATCCCTGGTGAATCAAGTTATATTTGGGGAATACTATTTACTCGATCACTACCAGTTTGGGACTGGAAATCCCCTAACATACTTGTTTCAATCCTTAAATTATTAATACTTAATCCTGAAATATCTTTAAGTTCCAAGATGCCAAAGTACTTTGAAGACAAGAAATCAATGAAGCTACCGATGGGAGTAGTTTTGAAATCACAGGAGTCATTTCAGAAACTGATAAAAGAGGTCATTGATATTCTAAAACTTGAATATAAGAAAGGCCATTTGGTTATTGAGCTGAAAATACGTGATACTGATTCAAAAGTGACAAGAATTAAACAGAGTACTTCTAATATATTTAAAAGTGTAGCTTCTGATTTTGGCTTGTTGACAAAAAATTTAAGTGGTTCTTGTGATAAATTTTTTATGGTTGTTCCTTGGAATAAACATTCACGATGGCATATATCTCTTAATCGTGGTGATTATAATTGCCAACAAAGGCAACTCAAACCTATTATTATATCATCAGATTCTATTCTCAGTGAAAGTAATCTTAAGGCTTTTTCAACATACCCTAATTGTATATTTTTAAATTCTAGCAAGTTTATCACCCCAGATTCAAGTATTCCGGAATATACTCAGAACCTCATTGGAGAATCTTGGAATTTACCTGATCAATTAATGAAACACCCTATAAGTAGCACTACTATTGGGAGGACCTCTCTTAATCGTTACAAATGTGATATTACAGAGTACCAAAATAAAATTAAGTCAAAAACTGAATACAACATCTTAGGAATAAATAAAGATAAACTATACAGCTCAATAATGAATTCTGTAAACATGAAGGATTCTAGTTACAATAAAACTTCAAATAGGCAGGATTTATCTTGGGATCAAATACGCCAGGGAATAATGGATTTGAGGATGTCTTTATTGCAGCTTTTTTACAATGATGGTAAATTTGTAGACAGTTCTATGAAAAAACTTGATCAAATTTCAAACTACAACCAACTATTTAATACTAGTGGTCCCGATTATTACTTATTTTGGAGTAATTGCTTTGGGAAAATAGGGGGTTGTGAACCAGTACTACGCTTTGACTATCTTGTTTCTCAACTTATGAACTCAAATTCCTTTCAAGATATAAAGCTTTTAAATCCATTTATTTCTGAAAGTGAGGTTGATGTGATACATTCATTAACAGCTGCTATAATGATGACTGTTAATCGAAGATCTCAAATTAGTATGGCACTTATTCAAATAAGGGATATTTTATCATATATGGCTTTTACTCAGAATGAGGTCCACTCCAATCTACTAACTAATTCGAAATATTCTTTAGATAAACAAAACAAGAGTGCTAGTGATGATAAAACCAACAAACCAAATTTGGACTTCTTACTAAAACTTTTGACATGTTTGGAAATGAAACTAAAGAATTTAGCTAGATTACTAACTTCTCAAAGGTATTATATAAGTCTAAAGGAAATATCAGAGTTGGATGTTTCAAAGTTTGATAAGCAAATAGTTGATCATAATGATCTTTCCAATAAAAGAAATAATTCTCTAATAGCTTTATACGATCCCAGATTTCTTGTATTTGAATTTGCTTATAATATACTATTAAGAAAGGACCAAGTTGAACTAATTCACAATTTATATAACTCAGCTCTTAATGGGCAGAGCATTTGCCACCAGATGATTATGGGAGCAGGTAAGACGACTGTTATATCTCCCTTACTTGCATTATTATTAGGAAGCTCTACACGTCTTGTTATACAAATTGTTCCTCAAGCTTTACTGGAATTCACGAGAAATGTCCTTAGGTCAAGATTTTCTTGTATTATTAAAAAAAGGATTCTTATTTTCCAATTTCAAAGAAGCTCAATTTGCACTCCAGAGCTTTATAAGAAGTTGGTACATGCTAAAGAACAGAAAGCAATTGTATTATGTCACCCCACTGCTATAAAGTCATTGTTTTTAAAGGCAATTTACTTGTTTAGGTTACTAAGATATTGGAATATTGGTAGCTCAAACGGTATACTATCTTCAATTAATTCAGGACTTAATATTATTTCCTCTGCAACAAATATTAAAGCTTCATTACCATTAACTTCTCAGTCATCCCTTAAGCAATTTTTTGGGTGGAATAAGGATTCTCCATACTCCAAAGGAAATAGAAGATCTGGTAGAAATATCTCTAGCACTGAGTTTAATTCTGAACTTGAGATAGCAAACAGCGAAAAGAGAGAAGCATTATATTTACAGTTTAAGAGAGAGTTGGATCTTTGCTTAAGAATATTACACATATTCAAGCTTGAGTCTGTTGTACTTGTTGATGAAATAGATTTAATCTTACATCCCTTGAGGTCAGAACTACATTGGCCAATAGGTACTAAGTATCCTATTGATTTAGGAATACAATTATATGAAGCAGATGACTATTTACTAAGTGGAACTAATGAAACTAATACTTCTATAACTTCTATCAATACTTCAAAATCTTTTCAAACTTTAAATAACTCGAGGAACCAACTAAGTTCCAATGATTCACTTTCACATTCACTTTTTTGCGGAATTCGCTGGTTAATTCCTTGGTATTTGATAGAGGCTTTGTTAACCCCTGCATTTCAAATAAAGAAAATATCTCATGAGCAAGCACGGAATAGTGGTATTATTAAGAATTTATTGGTGGAAATTCAGAAAGTAGTGCAACAAGGTATAGAAGAACGATCATTCCAGAATAATCCTCATCTAATACTACTTGATACAGTATACTATAATAATTTCTTGAAACCCTTATTAACTAAGTGGATCATCTTTTTTATTCGTAGCTCTAAGTTTAGTGGAACATCAGATATAATTGCTGAAATATATATCATGAATAGGGGGAATATTAATAAGGAATTTCAAAAGGAGTATTTAGATAAGTTTAAGGTTAACTTTAGTGATATTATTAGAGGAATTGATAGCTTAGATGAATTAAATATGAAAGTTTTGAATTTGACAATGCTTTGGATAAATGACTATATTCCACATATATTCCAAATGGTCCATCGTGTGTCTTATGGTTTATTGGACGAACAATTTTGTACTCGAAAAGACTGGCTAGGAATTAAGGAACTTGAACAAACTTTCGAAAGCTTAAAGTCCCCAAGAAGTCGCCATCTTCTAGCTATTCCATTTATAGGTAGAGATACACCATCTTTAGCTTCTGAATTTAGTCACCCAGATATAGTTATTGGGTTGACTATTCTTTCTTATAGGTATCAGGGGTTGCGAAGGAATGATCTTTACTACACCATTAAGAATCTCAAAGAAAATTTTGAGGATGGCTATGGACCTTACAAGGAAAGGCCAGCTGCTATTGAGTTTAATAAATGGATTGAGCTAGCAGGAGGACGAGTAAGAGGAACAAAGAGAGGTAAACTAAATATTCCAGATCATTTCATGGAAAAAAAGTCAAATGAGATTATATCTAACTTTCAGAGTATATCTTCTGTTAAAGTTAGAGAGGACAATATCCAAGATCAAATGAAGCTTCTATGGTCCTTAGATGTACTAAATTTAAATGATGAAGAACAATTAAGTCAGCTTCATGGTATTTTAGCATATCAACCATATGTTATAGGTGCTTATTTGCACAGAGTTATCTTTCCATTACTTATGGAATATAGTGAGCATCAATTATCTGCTTCAGGTCAAGAGATTGGTGGTGATATGCTCTTTTCTGTAAGAATTGGATTCTCTGGAACTCCAAGTGACTTGCTTCCAATAGAAATTGGGAAATGCAGATATGAGAAGGGAAGCGATGGGGAGATGATTCATTATCTAACTAGTGGATCTGTAATATCATCAGTGACAATTTTGGAAATTGGCTGGACAGTCGAAGGATTTCTTCTAAATATTTGTAGAAGGAGAGAAAAAGAAGATATTCATGTACTTATTGATACTGGGGCCTTTATTACAGGATATACAAATCAAGAGGTAGCTGAGTTTTTACTTAGAAATGGATTAAGAGAAATAGAGGCCGTAGTTTTTATAGATAATAAAGATAAACAAATGATAATGCTGCGAGATGGATTTAGAATTATTGAAATATCACAGTGTGGAATTTCACTAGATAAGAGATTTACTTTCTATGATCACATACATACTACAGGTCAAGATATTAAACATACTCCTTTAGCAGAGGCTATTTTGACTGTTGGTAAAGATATGGTATTTAGAGATTTCGCACAAGGAGCATATAGGATGAGACAGCTTGGACAAGGACAAACTATAAATATTGTCATTCAAGTTCAAGTTGCAGATCTAATTGAAAAGAATTCTAAGATTTGTGGTATACTAGATAGAAATCAGTGTTTATTTAAAGAAGTACTTAATAAAAAAGAGGTTGTAAATAATGGAAATATAGGCTATGAGAAACTAAAGAGTAATATCTCTAATAAATTGGATCAAATATATCATTTGAAATCTAATATAACCTTGAAGGATAAACCTGGTGAATTAATTGATATGATGGAACACTTGTCGAGTGAGTTTATAATTCCAGATTTACTCATATTCCTTCGATGTTTATGTGGTTGGCTAATTATCCAAAGTATTATTAGTGAATCAGAACAAAATCAATTGCTTTGTAGTCAGTCACTATCAAATATTTGGAGAAAGTTGGCATTCCAAAAAATGGTTGACACTTATGTCCAATGGGAAGATGAGAAGAACTACTCTGATAGATTATTAGAAGTATTTATAGAAGCTTTATCATTTAAAATCCCTGCGACTATTCCATTGAATACCTCTTTAAAGGAGGAACTAATTCAAAAGGTGACTGAAAATACGGACATTTTAAATATGGTTCATTCTCCTTTAGGTGTAGACAAGTTTAAAGATACTATAAACGAAACACTTTTACAAGTTGATGAAATGTCTGACTACAAAAAGTTTGAAACTTCATTTGATAGAGAGATGGAACAAGAGCTTGAAATGGAGATTGAACAAGAACAAGAACAAGAACAAGAACAAGAACAAGAGAAGGAACAGGAAAGAGAGCAAGAAATTCAACAGGATGATAGTGTTGCCATTCAAAAGTGGATAAGGCTTGAAGAAAAAAAAGTATATTGGACTCTTGATATTCTAAATAAAACTGCATCATTTTCAAGTAGCAAAGATGAGACTTATAAATACAGTTTAACTCCTTTCGCATCATTTTCTGCAATAAATAATATAGATAAACAAGCTACCTTACCAAGTAACTCTGCATTCTTACCCTTATCTAAATATTGTATCCCTTATTCAAAAGGATATGACCGTGAGGATAATGGATCTCTATCACTTCCTGAAAATTTAAAATTTTCTATAAATCTTTACAATCCATCGAGTATTACTAGTAGCCATTCAAAAAATGCATGTCAACGTTTAAATAATTTTACTATAATTTTAGAATGGGAGCCTCTTGAACTTAAATCAAGAAGCAGTGAACAGGAAATAGGTACAATGCCAAGTAATTATTTAGAACAGCTCAAGGAAGCCTTCGCAATTTTTGATGGTAAAGCAACCGGAAAGATATCAATAAGTGATCTTGGGGATTTGCTCAAAACTTTGAATTGGGTCGAAAATACATCATCAATAGAAAGGCATATTGTTAGATTACTTGATAAGAAATATGGAAAAAATTCTAAAGAAAACAATACCCATACACAATCTTGCAAATTTAATGATCAGGATACAAATACTAGTGTTGAATTACAAATATTAACAGTCAATAATTTATTAAATATCCCTAGAAAATCTACTTATAGTGATAATTCCAACTATCCTCAAGAATTCAAGCATGATATGAGCAAAGATTCCTTAGATTTTATGTACTTCCTTGAATATGATCATCCTTGGAATAGCACACAATCTTCTGATAACCTAAACAATTATTCTAATGTTAATACTTGTAATATAGATACTATCTCTTTCGATGATCTTTATGATGCACTAAATATACTCTTAAGTTGTACATCAAATTGCCACTTTTCAGCAATTAGTCTTGAAGAAGCTCAGATGATAAGATGGATCATACATCAAATAAAAACTAAAAAATTAACAGAAGTTCAGAAAGTAAATCTACCTAATAATTTGGAAGCGAAATTTGACTTAGTATATCCTGATATTACTTGCAATATTAAGCTTCATAATTTACATTATAATTTTAGTGTAATAGATGAGCTTGGAAATATTCAAAAACAAAATAAGTACAAAATAGAGCATGAAGATTCTTTGAATAGTACTTATTTAGTGAATTTATACGCTCAAGCTATATATAGGTTTATAAATTCAGAATCTGTATTTACAGATAACGAAGTAGGTGCTACTGTACGTATTTTACAAAATAGTTCTTGCAGAAAACGTGAGGAATATTATCTTGAACTAAGAAGATGTAGGAGAAGAAAACAAAATATGGATTGGAAAGAAACAAACTTAGCTATAATATTAACAACTCCTAATGAATGTGCAGTTCTTCAATGTAGAGGATTAGCAAGTAGATTAAACACTAGGCTTCAATCACTAAATATAACATTATTAGATTTTTTCAAATCAATAGATAAGGATCATACTGGTCAAGTTTCAGCAGCTCAACTATATGCATCTTTAGATTCTCTTCAGATCGCTCCAAATCCAAGAGATTTTGGTAGAATAGTTCGTTTTGTATTCCGTAACAATATTGGCCAGGTAGATTTCATAAAAGCCTTTACTCTAGATTCAATTGAAGAATTTAATGATGTTATACATGAAGTAAATGATAAACTTTCTAGTAAAATCCCCAAAAATAGCTCAATACCTGAAGTTGATGAAGCTAAAGTTAGAGCTGCAGCTATTCAACTTACTGCAGATTCTTCTTCAATAGCATATCTTGAATTCTCTAATAAATTTGATTTAAATTTTATATCTAAGATAAAGTGTAGATTTGTTCAACATCATAGCTTTTCGAAAGTATGGGAACTACCTTCAATACTCTCTGTCTGGTGCCCAGAACAATTAGAAGGTAAGTATCGTGGTGTTATGAAAAAAAATCGAGAAAGAGTTTGTCTTGGATACTATGTAACACTAGGAAATGATATATGTGGAAATAATTCCTCAAAGAATATGCAACCATATATACTTGAATTAGTTGATAATAGCTGCTCAAGCATGTCTGAAAGCTCTGAGCTGAAAAGGTTTATTGATATCATCCTACCTTATCCAAAAAGATATAAACCTTTATTTAGAGGATCTTTACCTATTCCAAATCTAAATATGGATAGTGGAGTTTTTACAATATGGCAGCCTATACCCCCTTCTTCAGGCTTTACTTCAATGGGAATTGTTATTACTAAAGGAGACATTACACCACTACTCCAATCTATTAGATGTATTCCCAATAGTTGGTGTATAATATCAAATATACCTACGAAATTCATTGGTCATTTAGAATTTAAGTATATTCAAACTAACTTGGGCAACAAAAAAGATTTGAATCTTAATAAAGGTAGGGAAATAATAGGATTATCTATGACTAATAAATACTTAGATAAACTAAAATATACTCCTCCAGTTACTTTTTGTTGCATCTCATCTATTCAAATTCTTGGAGTTATTATTGATATTAAAAGTTCAAAATTATCTGGAGCAAAAGTACCTAATTTGTCATCATCTGCAAACATATCTGGAAATTTTATCTTGGAGGGCCATCTCTCATCCTTAGATGACCTACTTTATGAACCTATAAATAAGAATACTAATTCAGTTAAATCTATTAGTAATAATACAGAAAATATTTACTGGATTGACATTGCTTCACATGAATTTACTCTATATTTCCCTAAATACTTTAACTCAAAGAGAGATGTACATGAAGAAACTATTGTTATTCCAAGAATACAAGGTAAAAGAACTAATGGATATATTAAAAATAGCTTTTCAAATTCAAATTCACTAGGTATATTCGGTCTTTAGAATTTATTAAAATATTATCTTTATCTAAATGATCAGGAAGCAGTTCTAGGCTAATCAAATTTGATATTTGATATATTCTAATATTTCAAATATTTATTTTAAAAAGTTATCTTTATATATTAAACTAATGTCGAAAGTATATTTAAAAAAAGTCAAAACTTTTATAAGGAATTTCTTACAATTAATTAAGATTATATTAACCTATCAGGTAATTGACGAAGTAGGGGAAATCTACTATCACAAAAATCATGATAATTACAACTACACTTCTCCAAATCTCCTTTTATATATCTCCTGAATGTTAAAGAGACTCTTCTGTGTCTTTTAATAATATTTCCATCAATATTATCTGTATATCTCTTCTTAATACCATGTTGCCAACAATATCGAATATTAGAAGACATTGTATAAACACTATTTTTAGGAATATATATTGAATGTTTCTTTTGCTTTTTAAATGATTTACTGTCAGATAACTGTAATTCATAAAAGTCCATCCCAACTCCACTTCCTAATGATACAACAGCAATATAGTTACCAATAGTATGATGAGAATCTATATGTGGCCCAATACCTTGTCCAGCAATATACTCATTAATTGTTATCTGATCTGGTCTTGAAGTTACTATATTGTGAAGTAATAAACGATTTATTATCATTTCTATCTTTATAGGAATATCTCTTACCCATTTAGGTGAAATAATTTTATTTTTATAATCAAAACCAAATCCATAATGTTGGACCCTTCTACTTAAGCCTTCTTCCCAAATACCATATTTATCAATCCAATCAAGAAGTTTTTCGCCTTCTCCATCATCTAATATATTATTATAAATATTTAATCCAAAACTATGTAAAGTATTTATACTAGAACAAATACTCCATTGCTTTGAGTCTATAATTTTAGATTTACATATTAATGAAAATGAAACCTTAATTCTCCTACCTAAAAATAATTCAGAATTACTAGAAGAATATTTCTCATATAATTTTATTGCATCTTCGATATTTTTAAATGATACAAAAGAATGAGATCCTTCACCGTATTCAAAGTTCTCTACATCTCCATACTTAATTAATTCAGATATAATCAAATTCTCAGATAATTTACCACATGATTTACCAATATTTCCTAAAAATAAGTCTTTACTTTTGTCATTTGTACGCTTATACAAATTTCTAAATGACATTAGAACCCTACCTATAATAGTACAAACACCACTAGAGTTCTGATCTATGGCGCAAACTATTAAAAACCCTAAATACATTTAATATTGTCTATTATCAAACATAAAGTTTATACATAATGATTTCTAGATTGGATGAATTTTAAAATAGAAGCTGAGAATACTTTAAATGATGATGAAAATGCATATACATGTTTTAATTGCAATAATAAAACTTCTAAACATAGGGAAATTCAATTCTTACTTGAACATTTAAGCCTTCAAAATGATGCATTTTCATCATCAAATAAGCAGTTAATGATCATATATAAACAGTTACAGATACAAATGAATTATTTGATGAATTTGATAGGGATCATTTCATATATTACAACAGAACCTTTCAATAACTCAGATCCTTACCCCTATTTCAAAGAAATACTCCCAACAATATCTACTACTTACTCTACTAAGAGTTGTGAATCAAATATAGATCTTGAACATTATAACTACAATTATAAAGAACTTTTAAATAATTGTAAATTATTGTGGTTTCAGACATTTTATAATATACTGGAATTTTATTTAGAAAAAGAGGAATGTATTTGTAATAAATTTAGAGCAAGTTTAATACAAGATGAAATAAAACCTTTATATTTTGAATTAAATATCAAAGTAGAATCTTGTGAAGAAGTCAATTCTGATTTTGTTATTAATTTAATCCATAATGAGATCATAAAAACTGCAGATACTATACAAAATTCTAATTATATTAAGGAGATTCTTAGAAATATCCTTAATTTTTTCTGTGAAGATGAAATTACACTTTGTAATGTAATTTTATATTCAGATAATAATAATATTGTAAAGTACACAAATCATTATTTTCAAAATAAAGTTGAATCACAGTCAGCCTTTATATTTGGAATATGTAAAAAAAATATGATTTATGGGAATTCTTTGACTGATTTTAATCATTCGAGATATATAGAATTCTCGAAATCTATTATATATAATAAAACAAATCAAAGGTTTTTAATTTGTAATAAATCCAAGGAGTTATGTTGGTCAGATAGAGTTAATGATATAAATCAACACCTAATTGAAGATTTTTTCTTTTTATTTGCATTGGAGAATAGTAACATAAAACTTTATAATTCAATAATATTATGCTTTAATAGTATATTGTCAAGATTAATTAGTGGTTATTTAGAATTATCAAATGACTCTGAAAACTTTGATAGATCTAGTATATTTGAGTTTAATAATATGAAAATACCATCCCCATGTTCTAAATTTCTAAATAAATTTATATCTATTTTAAATACAATTTACCCAATAAATAACTACAAATCCTATTATAATCAATACAAAAGAAAATCTTCATTTGATAATAATACAGAATATAACTCAGAAATTTTTCTTAAGAATATTGACACTTTTAATAATGATAAAGAAAAGTATCAAAATGAAATATTAAAAAGACAAGAGACACTTAGTGATTGTGACATTGATAATATGACAACTGTTTCAGATTTTATCTCTAGTTACAGTGCAGCTGAAGATAATATTGATTCTACATATACTTTTTTACTAGAAGACTTTTTCTTAAACAATAAATATTCAGAATTCCCAAATAGTGAGTGGATAATTTTAGATTAAAATTGCATGTTTAGTGATTGTCTCACTACAAGGCGCTTGCGGGATTTATGTGGTATTTTTTGATTTTTATAAATGAGTAAACTACTTATAGAACTTTTTTGAAATAGATTGAATATCAAGTTTTAGTACTTAGATGCTTTAATTTTTATTTAAATTTGTGGGATAAATATTTGGGGATTTGATACTTTTTATTTTTCTCTGGTGGAAAAAGAATTTTTAGATTCAAGTACTATATATAGACTTGTAAATTATGATATCTGAACTAATTAAAATACTAAATTTACCAACAGAGACATCTGTAGATGAAAATAAATTTCTTGAATCTAAATTAATTGAATATATTAAAGACTTTACTACACAATTTGCTTCTCAAGATAAATCATTATATAAGAAATCTTTAGAATCTTTATTTATGATATGTAAATCATTGGTAAAACAAGGGAAAACTTTATTAGCTATTAAACAAGTAAAAAGATTTTTATTTGCAGAACCATTTAGCATAGAAAGCCATATGTTTATTTCATTATTATATGCAAAATTTGGTAATTTTACTAAGAGTTCCGATCACTTGTTGGCAGTTAGATTTATTACTAGTGACTCTAATTACGATGCAAAGATAGCTTCGTTAGCTATTTTAAATGCACTAGTAAGCCAGATATGTAAAATACCACTTGAACTAAAATCTAAGTCATTAGTTGGCTACAAAATTACTGAAGAGCTTACATATGATGAGACTGGTGAATATCATTATCCATATTATATGGAAGATAATGATACCCAAATAAATGATGATAAGACAGACCTTGCTTCATTTATTACTCCATTAGCAAGCTGTCAGATAAATGTTGGAGATTTATTACATGTAGAACAGCCATATGCATTATCTACTGAAATTACAACTGATTTAAATATTCAAACTAATTGTTTTCATTGCTTAATGGAAAGAGAGATTTATAATCATGCATTTAGCTGCCCAATTCATCCACAAACATGTCCATTTGTTTTCTGTAGATGGGAATGTATGATAAAACATAGCAGAAGGCATGAACTTGAATGTGACTTTATTGGTACATTAATTGTATTATCAAATAAGACTATTTTGTCAACATCATTTTTATTATTAGTTTTAAGATGTTTAATTCAGGGATTTTTGGATATTAAACATTATAATACTACAAAAGATGAGGTAATCCTTAAATGTTTAGACTTACCTAATTATAAAGGTATATTAGAAATTGTATTTCCTGAACTACTGGAATCCTTTGAAATAGTCGCAGAAACATTGATGGATATACTACCAATAAATTTACGTTTATTTTTAAGTAAAACTGAATTAATTAAATTTTTCTGTGTAATTTATTCCCATAAACTCCCTGTAAGTTTTACATCACCTTCAAGTTCATTCAATTCTTCTCCCATACCAATATCTGCTGGCTGGGGATTTTTTTACAATACTTGTAAATTCCAACATTCTTGTATTCCTACATGTGTTTATTATTTGAATGAATCAGGTAATTTATGTATTAGATCTGCATATAATTTACCTGAAAATATGCCATTAACTATATCATATTTGATGGATTTATTTATTCCGACTCAAAAAAGGAAATCTATAAGTAATTCTATGAAAGTATTTTCTTGTATGTGTGCAAGGTGTATGGATGATACTGAAAATAACTGTTTTTTAGAGGGTATTCGTTGTTTTTATTGTATTATTGGTTTTTTTGTCCCATCCCCTTATACTAAAAGAATTGAGGCAACAGATGAAAATAAAGTTTCAATATCTATTTCTGATACTAATATATCAAGAGATATACTAAATAGAAAAAAAGAAGATTCACCAATGAAAATTTTGTTTAAAAAGTCTCCAGATTTTAATCATCTTCATAAAAGTTCAAATAAAACTGTAGCTAATGATTTAGAGAATAGTTCAAATTATGAATTACAGATACTATGTGAAAGAGCAAGAATAAATACAGTACTTGGAGATATTCAAATCCGTTGGAAATGTAACAATTGTGGTGAAACTAATAAAAATTCTAATAAATATTGCGTATATATAAATGATTCAATGGAAGAACATTATGAATTAGCAATAAATACTTACATAAATGGTGATATAATTGAGAGTAGAAGATTATTTGAAAATTTGATTGAATCATATTCTCTTAAGGTACATAGGAATCATTACCTAATATACAATTCTAGGGTTTATCTTGTTGGAATGTATAATGCTACTAGTGATAATAATGCAAAGTGTAGTTTTCGTCATTGTAAATCGGCTGTAATATCGGCAAATTATGTTTATCCTGTATGTTATTATGAAAAGGTTCATTTATTATTAAATTTAGTTGATTCGATATATAGTGAAGGTATGCTACAAAAGGTAGCACAGAGGGGTTCACAAAAATATTCAACAGATCTTATTATGGAAAGTCTATGGTTAGCATTATGTAATAGTTTAGTATGCTATGGTTCTAAAAGTTCTGTTTGGTACTATTGTATATATAGACTAAGACTATATGCATCTATTTTAAATATTGCAACACCTCCAAGTAATATGAGGATTAGAATAACAGCTATAGATATGCATGCAAAATTAAGTCGTGAAGTTCTTGGTCATACTGAGATGCTATCTGGAGGCTATTTAACTTCATTATCTGACTATAGTGGATTAGTATTCACAGCTTGTAGAAAAGGTCACTTAGGTGCTATTACACAATTAATAATTGGTGATGCAAAAGACTTATTGTTAAATAAAGCTACATATCTCCCTACAGGTTTTAATTTACTTGGAATGGCCGCATCAAATATACAGAGTGGTGTTTGTCAACTATTACTTGATGAAGGAGCAGACATTTTTTTTTCAAATGAATTTGGAATAACTCCTTTGCATGCATTATGTAATTCTCCATATAGAGAAGATGAAGTAGATATTAATGATATATTTGATAAAAAATCAGTTGGCATTGCTAGGGACATGATTAGAAGAGCTAGCTTGTTAGATAGTGATATACTAGATGAATATTCTATAGAAAAAAGTAAAAGTAATTTATATTGCTCTGAAAACTTTAAAAATCATTCAAAATTATCTAAATCATCTAATCGTTACAAATTACTATATTCTAAGACAATTAAATGGTTGGGTGCTAATACACCACTACACTTAGCAGCTTCAAATGGTAGAAGATTACTTTGCTCTGAATTAGTTCATGGAGGTACTGATCCAAATATTGAAAATATAGAATCTGCGATTCCATTACATTTAGCTTCATTGAATGGACATTATAAAACGGTCAAAATCTTAATAAGAGTAGGTAGTGAAATAGACCATCAAAATTTTCAAGGTAATACTCCACTATTCTTGTCAATGTATGGGTTAAAGCCTGAATCAATGAAGATACTTCTTGAAAATGGTGCTAATATTAATCATCAAAGTCAAGTTACTAAAATGAATATTTTACACTGTCTTGTTCTAGGTTTATGTTGTAATGTATCATTAAATTTTCAACTACCAAAGAAAATTGATGATTTACCTTTGCTTGTACATTCAGGTTATAATAATAAAAATATTAGGAATTATATTTATTCTATTGGTACGGGACATACGGGGTTTGGGAATATCCTAACTACTAAAGTTTTGTCAATACCTGTACATACCCCACTATCAGAAACATTATATATATCTCCAAAAGAAATGTTAATTCGTATTAAACATTGTAATGAGATGATCTCATACTTAATGAATAAATATGGAATTGAACCTTTGTTATCCCAAAAGGATATTAATGGATATACACCATGGGAGCTACTAGATTCATCATGGAATATATTTTTAAAAATTAGAAGTGAATCAATGCTAAGACCAGGATTATGGTATACATCTTTATCAGAAAATGATAAAAATTCAACACAAGAATTATGGACTCATGCTATGCAAAGAATTGAAAATTTGATAGAAATACTTAAAATTAAAAAACCGATATATGATGAAAATCTTGATGATACTAATCAATATTTACCAATTTTAAAACCAAATCTTCCTGGTATCCCACCACCAATAGATTTGACTGAAATAAAGCCAATTAAAAAGGATTCAGCTGATCTTATTGTATCTGATGAAAAATTATCAGAATCTAAGACTTCCTCTATTGCTATAACAAATACTACAGATAAAGTTACAAATATTTTGAAAGTTCAACTACCTGCTATGGATATATCCAAGAAACAAATACCAACTATTATGAATAATAAAACTTTAAATATTAATAGAGATGAAAATTCAAGTATTAAACCAAAATCTACAGATAATAATATGATAGACTCTGTACTACCTGCATCTCCAAATAATGTATCAAATATAGAACCTACATTAAAACTAAATCCATCATCTTTTCCTTTAAATAAAACAGCTCCTATAAAAAAAGTTTTGGTACCAAAAGTATTGGAACCAAAATCTGATCTGATGACTGCAAAATTAAATGCTAAGATAATGATGATGAAAAAATCACTCTTAAAACTATAAATTATAATTAGGAGTTATATTAAACTTATTAATCTAAAATTATATTAAAAAGCAGACATTTCAAATCTTTAAAAGGGTGATAACTTCATCTTACAGATTTAATAATATATTATCATTGTATTATAGTTTTATTGAATATAGTATTAGTATTATATTAATTAGAAGAAATTATTTATAATTATATATAATATGCATATATATAGTTATTTGATGATAGTTCACTTATTATAACGTAACCACAATATTAATGTTACACTTTAAAGTTAGTTTAAATTCAGAATTAGGAATTATTAAAGATTCCACGGGTGCAATTAGGCGCTTAATATAAAGATGCTCAATATTGTAACTAATATACTAAAGTCTAATCTTTGAGAGACAAATTAGCAAGAAAACTACATTATTTAATGAATGAAGTAGAACTAATAGCTAGAAATCTTCAATCGGTACGTTTAAATGTCTATAATAAAGAGGATTTTTTAAATCATGGGAAACTAAAATTCCACGAAGATGAACTTGCCAATAATAACAAAAATCTAAATATATGGTTAGACTATATAAAACGAGTAATTGAACTTCTTCGTCTCATTATGGATAATAACTCGGTGGATGAGGAATATTTGAATGAAATATCTATTTATAGTGGAGATTTTACTGTACCAATAAAATATAGTGTGTCAAATACTACAAACGGAATGTCAAAATATAATATTCAATTATGGTATAGATTTGATGCTGTGATATTAATTATTATGCGTGCTCTTAATATATTCCCTTCAATCCGAGATATTTGGAATTATTATTTACCGTTATTAGTAGAATATGAAGACTTTCTAATGAAAAATAATATTAAAGAGGAAGAATTAAGTCTAGATATTCCATTAGCATACGAGACATGTTTGATATATAATAGAAAAGAAGTGAATATATGGCTAGAATATGCACAATACTCATTTTACAAGAGAAATTGGATAACTAAAACACGTCACATATTTGATCGTAGCTTATGCAATGTAGATATTACAAGCCATGATATTATATGGAATAGTTATTTAGATTTTATAACAGCTATAAATATACCCATAGTATCTGTAAATGTATTAAAACGGCTTATAATGTTTGGATACAAAAATTCAATTGGCCTATATATTTCAGAATTGTTAAAACTAGAAGATTATAAAGAAGCCATGAAGCAATTATTATTTATATTATCAATACACAATTATATTAACAATAACAATAACCCTTTAAGAGGTGATTATTCTGATTTATTTAGAATCGGTGTTCATACAAGTTCAGATTTATTATCTATATATAAATCATTCCCATCTGAAGGAGTCATTTTAAATTTAAAAACTATTAAAATTCGTGGATTTGAAGACCTATGTTTTTTATTTACCCAAATTATATTTAAAATGTTAGAAATAAAGCAAATAAATACTTATTTTGCTAAAATAACCATCAAACAAATTATTGACATATTACAAAATAATACTGAATATGGAAGATATTTCAAAATACTTGGAAATAATGAAAAAAGAGAATTAAATAAAAGGGATGTGGAGTTTGAAATCCTTGATAAGTATGAATTATGTGCTGGGGATATTTGGTATTCTTTATGTGAATATTACATGAAACAGGGAGATTGGTGTAGAGTTTATGATATATATATGGAAGGTATTGAAAATATTTCTACAATTTATGACTTATCTACACTTTATGATTCTATGTTAATGTTTTATCAGTGTTATATAAAGACATTGCTTGATAGATCTACTATTACATCTGATAATATATCTTTAAATATAGAGTATAATATATACAAATTAGAAAGGTTAATTGAACAGTATCCATTTACTTTACAAAGAGTTAAATTAAAGAATGATATTAACAATGTAGCAAAATGGATTCAATATATTGATATACATATAGATCATATAAAAGATAGACAACACCCATCACTTCAAGTTATAATGTCATTTGAAGAAGCTTTATTAAAAATAGATCATACATCAGTAAAAAATAGAAACATGTGTATATTATGGATATATTATGCATTATATATGGTAAGTTTATATGACAATATGAATAATTGGGTAGAATTAACGAAAGAACAAGATAAGGAGTATGCTGAGGATTTATTAGAGTTGGCTACTGAAATATTCCAACGTGCAATACAGGATAACTATATTAAGGATCATACAATGATTTGGACAGAATGGATTGAAATGGAACTAAGATTTAGAAGATTTGATAAAGCTCTTGAATTATCAAGAAAATGTTTAGAAATTACTAGACAACAAAAAGAGAGTAATACAAGCTCAAATTTAAAAATTTGGCAATTAAATTTTGATTTAGAATTAAATTTTGGTACTCTTGAAACAGCAAAAAGTACTTTTGAGGAAATATTTAAAAATGGAATTTTAACAACAGGGATTGTTATGAGCTATGCAAAGTACTTATTTTCTAATCAATACTTTGAAGAGTCCTTTAGAATATATGAAAGAGCTATTGCTATTATACCTTGGCCATATATAAAGCATGTATGGATCGTATACTTAAATAAATTTGTACAGCATTATACTAATAAAAGAATTGATAGAACTAGGGATATATTTGAATCCTGTATAATATCTCTTTTAGAATGGAGAAAAAATTCTAAAGAAATGAAGAAACGTGATGAATATCCAAAATATGAAACTGATTTAAATAACCCAAAAGTTACATCTAATAAATCAGTTAATGATGAAATATTAACTGGAAATGAATGCGATGATACTACTTATCTTATATTTATTATGTACACCCAATTTGAAGAGGAGTATGGTAGAATCAAACGCATGTTTGATATTTATAAAAGATCTTCTGAGGCTCTACAATATACAGAAAAGCTACAGAAAATGATCTTTTTAAATTGGATATACAGAGCTTGCAAATATTTGGGTCCTTTCTATGCAAGGACAATTTTTGAACAAGCTATTCAGGTGCTAGATAAATCTGATGAGCTATTAGAAATATGTCTAAATTATGCTATATTTGAAATTAAAGCGGGAGAAATCGATCGTGGAAGGCATCTATTTATTTATGGTAGTGATTTTGCAATCAATCAAGGAGATAAAACATCCCTATACAACGACTTTTGGAGAGAATGGAGTGAATTTGAGCTTGAATATGGTAATGAAGATACCTACAAGGAGATGATTAGGATAAAACGCAATATATTTTTGAAATATTCACAGAATAGCATATACTTTAGCTACTATAATACTGATGAACCAACTAAAAGTGATACTATATCAGATAACAATGCTGTAATAGACCAGTTAAATTCTGGTGAGACTTCTCAAGATTTTAGTCATAGTACTAGTGATGAAAATTCATATAGCAGTGACAATGACTCATTTTCTTCACATTCGTCAATTAAAAAAGTTTCATCAAATAATTCTGGAGATAATTATTCTTTAAATGTAGAAAATGATAATATTATAGAATCTGAAATATCCAAATCTCTCAATACATGATATATATAATCTTTTTTTTTTTTTTCAAGTTATATGCACACTATAACACTTTGTTACTAACACACATTAAGAATTTGTATTTTTCTAAAGTATACAATCCTAAATTTAGAAGTTGTGTGATAATACTTAAGGATAATTTTCTTCAATTAATGAATGATTGAGCCTGATAGAGCTTTGGATGATATTATACAAAGAATTGAAATTGTTACAACTCATCTTGCGACATTATTTTGTGTCCTAGATAAGGAATTAAATAGCCTCTATCAGATAAATGAACAATATAACATAAAAAATAAACATCTACATTATAATAAAGATACCAATAGTATTAGATCAGCTCTATCTGAAAAAATCTCAATTATTATAAATAGAAATAAACAAACAAATTGGGAGGATTCTCTTGAAAACGCAAATGATATCATAGCAACACTTGATGATACGGTCACAAAACTAGAATCTCTTTCTACAATAGTTACTGGCCTTGAGTGTATACAAAATTGTGTAATTGAAGATAATTTAAAGGATAAATTAGTAGATAATTATATTAATGAAAATAGCTTACTTTTAAGAATATGTAGAAATATAAGTAGATTACTACTACACAAAGTAAAGCTAGAAAAGTATGATACTGAAGTCAATGACGAGCTTGATCATTATAAAAATGAACGATTAAATAATTTAGAAAGAAAACTTAGAGAAACTGAAAAAGAATTATGTGCTCAAAGGCAAATTTGTAATGAGTATATATCAAGAATAGATTACTATGAAGAATTACTACAAAATAAAATAGCAAAATCTAATTTTGAAATACTTGACAAAAATTCAATCTTACAAGGAATATTCTCTGATATTTCAGATTATAATAGGAATTTTCAAATACAAAATAATAAAGTTAATTATGAAGAATTATTTTATATTGAAAATACCCAAAGATCATATCATTTATTACCAGTATCATTATCATTGGATCCAGCAGTTGTTAACTATAATATATTACCTAAGAACAGTAATAGAAATAATCCTAATCTTGAATTTTTTTATATTAATAATCAAATGGGATTTGTAACTGATCAAATAGAAGTTCTGCAAGATTGTAATTTTCAAAATTCAAATATTGATGATACAACTACTTTACAAAGTTATGAAGATACAGATTTTACTACTATACTAAATCTTAGGGATCAAGTACAAATACTTTCTAATGATCTTGAATTGGTAAAAGAGGAAAATAGGAGATTACATAAACAAAATGAAGATCTTAAAACTTCCTCACTATTACATACAGACACTCTTGAAAATGATCTTGCCCATATTATAAAAGTTGTAGATGATAAGCAGACAAATTATAGATTAAATAATAAATTGCCTGAAACTGCTATTTCCAGTATATGTAAACAGCAAAGTATACATATAGTGGGACTCATAAATGCTAATATTATCAATGAAACGAAACCTTATCTTGTTATGTGGGAGCCAATAGTAGAAAATAAGTTAGCTAGTATCAAAACTATTCCACTACGATTAGCATCCTATGGACAATATCGCAAATCTATGATGAAAAGAGAAATCAAGTTACAATGTACTATGGAGAAATTTAAAACCTCGAGGATTGTCACTTCAAGGAAACTTCTCTATACAGATCTACATCATGCTAAGAAGTTTACAACACAAAATAATGATTCTTTATAACTACTAATTATTGATTATTTTATTATTCAATGTATATATTTTTCATTGTTATATACTAAAATTTATGAATTGAGACACAAATCTGACTGTATCTTGTAATATCATATGAAATATTTAAATCTTTAGTAGTACAAAAGTCTAAATATACTGATCACAATACAAAGTACTTAATAATTTCAATATCCTTGTAACTTCACCTGTATTTCGCTATCATATTGCTAATCTAACTTAATCTCAATCCTAATATCTAAATTCAGCGGGATATATTTTCACGTCTGAATATAGAGTGGAAGACGTGTGATGTTTTAATGGGTATCGTGGATTATGGTATTGAAGCGCTGAAGAATAAAATGATGAGAGGGGAAGGGGGGGTCTTTTTCTCAGTAACACAATTAGGTAGAAACTTTGGAACTATATTATAGGTAAAATGGCGAAAGGCTTACGTTTTCTAAATTTGATCAAACCGGCATTATGTGTTCTCCCAGAAGTGTCTCCCCCTGATAGAAGGGTTCCTTTTAAGGAGAGAGTTTTGTGGACATTAATATCATTATTCGTATTCCTAGTATGTTGTCAAATACCTATTTATGGTGTTCTAAGTAGTAAGAGCTCTGATCCATTCTATTGGATGAGGGTTATCTTAGCTTCAAATCGTGGCACTTTAATGGAACTTGGTATATCACCAATTGTTACTTCCAGTATGGTTATGCAACTACTAGCTGGTAGCAAGATTATTGATGTTGATCAAAGTCTCAAAGAAGATAGGGCTTTATTTCAAGGGGCTCAAAAGTTATTTGGACTTTTAATTACACTAGGAGAAGCAGTAGCATACGTTATTAGTGGTATGTATGGTGATATTCGTACTATTGGTGCCTGGAATGCAATTTTAATAATTATTCAATTATTTTTTGCTGGTGTAGTTGTTATTCTATTAGATGAACTAATGCAAAAGGGATATGGCCTTGGTGCAGGTATCTCACTATTTATTGCAACCAATATATGTGAAACTATTGTATGGAAAGCATTCAGTCCAACGACAATAAATACTGGACGTGGAACAGAATTTGAAGGTGCAGTTATTGCCTTATTTCATTTACTATTTACAAAGCCTGATAAAATATCAGCACTACGTGAAGCATTCTATCGTTCCCATGCAACAAATATGACAAACCTATTAGCAACAGTACTAGTATTTCTTATTGTTATCTATTTCCAAGGATTCAGGGTTGATTTAGCTGTTAAATATCAAAAAGTACGTGGTCAACAAGGTTCATTCCCTATTAAGTTATTTTATACATCTAATATCCCGATTATTCTTCAAACTGCATTGGTATCTAATTTGTACTTCTTCTCACAACTGTTATATCGTAGGTTCAAGGCAAATATGCTAGTAAATATACTTGGTCAATGGCAAGAACTTGATGTAGGTGGGCAGTCAATTCCTGTTGGTGGCATTGCTTATTATATATCTCCACCTAATTCATTAATTGATGTAGTATTAGATCCAATTCATGCCTTCATATATATTACATTTGTTCTTGTTTCCTGTGCACTGTTTTCAAAGACATGGATCGAAGTATCAGGATCATCTGCAAAGGATGTTGCTAAGCAATTAAGAGATCAACAAATGGTTATGAAGGGATATCGTGATAGTTCACTTGTACAAGTTTTAAATCGATATATTCCAACTGCTGCTGCATTTGGTGGTATGTGTATTGGTGCCCTAACTATTATTGCTGACTTTCTCGGTGCAATTGGAAGTGGTACGGGTATTCTTTTAGCAGTTACAATTATTTTCCAATATTATGAAATGTTTGCTAAGGAGCGAGAGAGTGGTAACATTGTCTTCTAAACTTAGAAAATCACTTATTTTGTAAATACTTGTTACAATTGAATCAGATTTGAGCTTACTTTTAAATATATCATTAATTTCAATAAATTAAGTTGATTAGGATTTACAATTTATAATAAATTGGATATAATACCAAGTATCTGGAAACAAAACGTTAGTTACATATCACAATTACCTAGGAGATCCTGTCATACCTGGGAATAAATACTTAGTAGATAAAGCCATAGTAATTATTTTTACTATTTTGTTTCAATTCCTAGGGGCAAAACTTTGCACATTTCTATATCAAGACTGACCTGTTAACTATATAACAATTTTATGTACTTATTCTATTCTCCTTATCTCAAGTCTTTCTATAAATTACTTTCTAGTTATTTTATTAAAGATTATTAATATTGAATTGAGTTCACAATAGGTATAAAATGAACTATTCACTATATTACCTATGTACTCATAAATTTCCATTTTCTCTTTATTGAAATAGGTTACTAAAGCAAATAACTACAATTTTACTACAATGTTCCTTTAGTATGTATATGTTATATAGATATAACTTAATATTCTTATTTAGTCCAATATATTTGTTACTGTTTAAATTTTTAAATAATTTAAATCTAATTACCTGAAATCTATTGAGATAAATATTACCTTTATAATAAAATCAAAACTTATTTTTTTAAATATAATTATTAATTATCTAGGAAAACAAAAAATTTACTCATTTACTTAAGGTCCAGTATTTGTATCTAGTTACAATTGATATGTATGTTCAATATGATTTGTTTCTAGATTATGATCATTAGTTCTTATCATATATGATTATTTCAAAAAGAGATATTATATTTAAACAAATTGATTAATTATTATATACTGAAATTACCTCATGTAATTCAGAATTAACTTATTGCTAATATTTACTTTCTTACTCATGCTACAAGATATATCGGTATAGTTATTTCTAGTTAATAAATCTAGCCAATAAATCTTTGTTTTAACAATATATATATATTTAAATAATAATAGATTTTTCCAATTTCTTTTTTTTTTGCAAATATTCAATATATAATGAAAACGAAACTCATAAAAGAAAAAATTGATATATATAAATAAATAAAATTTAACAAGTATCCTAACTTGAAATTAAAGATTTAAATGTATCATTATTTTTTGAAAACAAACTAGAACCTAACTATGTAATACTTAAATGGCTATTTAATATATTTATCAAGATATAGATAACTTCAGTATGAACAAGAATATGTCAGATATAGAGAATTAAGTAGAATGATCTACACTAAAAAATTTTGTTTTGAATTTATTTAATCCAACTTTAAAACTTTAACAAGTTAGATTTTACAAAATTAAGTAAATATACTTAAGATAATTTAACATCTGTAATTTGACTTATTGAAACTAAAGTAATAATTTATACAAAATTCATCTAATCTAAATGTCTATAACTAAAAACTTTCAGTTTAAATAAATTTGATATAAATTTTTATATTAGATACTCTTGAATAAAAGTTAAAAAAAGTTAACTTTATAAGTAATAAAAAGACAATAGTTTGATATACTAAATTATATTGTAAAATTATATTCAATCAATAGTACTTTATGCTAGACATATTTTTTAGGTTTTATATAACTACTTCTCAAAGTTGTAATTAACTAAGAAGAATTATATTAGTAGTTAAGACTAGTTTTACTTAAAATAAGACATTTGTAAATTTGAATCTTGCAAATATTAAGAATATATTAAAATTACAAAGTATTTACATATAAAGTAGTAATTAGTAATTTAAGTAAATTCCTATAAATTGGATATATATAAGCTATTTGGGTCTAATAAAAATACAATTGTAAGTCTGATTATTTTCGAGGTGATTGTCATTACTATGACTTCATAAATTAATATAGCTACAGATTTGTTACTTGTTTATTAGTGCTGATATTTTATAATACAAGATATTATAGATTTTTTCCGAGCTTGTTAGTTTGCAACCTGTAATGTGTGCTCTGAAAATTATTAACATAAGACAATTTAAGTTTTAGTGAAAGAAACTCACTAAACAATATTTTGAGAATTTATTAAGATTTAAGCTTGAATTAAAAAAAATTAAGCTTAGCTTAAATAATAAATAGAAAAAAAGAAAGGAGAAATATAGTTCAGTAGGTGAAGTCTACCAGTATTCGGGATTTTTTAGGGCGTCCTTTGCGCCAACAAGCTGTGTAAGATATTTGGATCGTTTTGTCCTGAAAAGCTTTTTTCTTTAGTATTTTTTTTGGGATGGTGTCATTAGGTGATATAAACCATGAGAATTCTACAACTGAGAGTTCAAATAGAAAAATTTATGACTATGATAATGAAAGTGGTAGACATGATATAGAATCAAGAGAAAGATTCTCTTCAAGATCGCCATCAAGAGAAAAGACATCTCCTCAAAATGAACAGACAGATTCAGTTTTGCAGAATGAAGAAGTTGAGGAGCAGAGAAGAAGATCTAGGTCACCTGATAATAATACAGGTGAACCAATTGAAGGTTGTAGCTTATTAGTTCGAAATCTTCGATTTGAAACATCTCCAAGCCGTGTACGTCGTCATTTTGAAAGGTATGGTACTGTAAGGGATGTTTATTTACCACTAGACTACTACACAAGAAGACCTCGTGGATTTGGATTTGTAGAATATATGGATCCAAGAGATGCTGAAGATGCGGTTAATAATTTGGATGGTAGTGTACTGGATGGCAGTACAATTCGTGTTGTAGTAGCTCATGACAGACGTAAAAGTCCAGAAACTATGAGAAAAATACAGAAGGATGCAGCAAGATTTTCAAGGTCAAGTGGATACTCATCAAGATTTGACAGACCAGGGGGACACCCACCTGCAATTGATTACAGAAACAGGTATAGAAGTGAGCCATATAGACACTCCTCTTACCGGGAGGATGATAGGTATTCAAGATCTAAGCGTAGATATCCAAGTAAAAGTGCTAGTAGATCTCCTTATAGAGGCAGAAGTGGAAGCCGCGATAGAAGTTGTTCAAATAACCGTGATACATACCAGGGCAAAAGATATCGCCATTAGTACCCCCATAAACACTAGATAAATCGCTAAAATTAGGAGTAAGTTTAATAGTATACAGAGGATACCTTAGAAGCAAGTAAATCTGCTCTAAATATTTCAAATATACTAATATTCACAACTTATTATCACTATTGTATTATATATATATATATATATATAATTCTATATAAATATTTCCCTTATAATATATATCTTAAAATGAAATGTTTGGTATTCAGTCATTCTAGTTTTTCGATATTATTAACTATTTTGTCACAAAAAACTGAATCATCAAAAGTTTGAGTTTTATTAATATCATCTATTAATTCCCTCTTTAAGATTGATTGGACTGGTGGTTTTATCTCTAATGGTAAGAGACCACTATTCTCAACATTAATATTCTTTGTACCTATTATCAAATTATTATTATTATTATTATTACTATTTTGATAAACCAATTCTCCATATGGCTCTGACATACTTCTACAATAAGATGATAAAGGCGTACAGTTAGTATAAGTGATTGTCCCAGTTGGTAGATTACTATTAGAATCATTTGAATTATTTCCTCCTCCATTTGCAATAGAATATCTACTCCAAAGAATATATAAACCAATCATAATTGATATAAAAAATGTAGTTAAACATCCTATAAATGTAAATAAGTTTGTAATAATAAATCCAGTAATAATTGGATGTGATCTAATAATATCTTTCCAATAAGGTAATTTTGTTTCAAATATTAAATTTGCACCAGCAATGTGAAGAGCAGGCTTTATTCGAATTATTGCTCCACATATATTAACTGAAGAATGAATAGATGTATCTAGATTTTCATTATTTGAAAATAAAGGAAAATTCTCCGCCATTTTAATTCTTAATCCTTTTCTTAATCCAAATCCAATATTATTCAAATTAAAACCAAAAATGAATGGTAATACTAACAAATATTCTTGTAATTTTAAGGCAATATTTGGTATATAATCTAAAGAAACAGTTTTTTTAAAATTTGTAATAATATTATTCACATTAGAAGTTTCTTCTATTGAATTTTCAACTATATTAGAACATTTCACCAAATCTAAATTAATCATTAAAGGTGGAATATTCAAATTATATATTGTTGGAAAATAAAGTAATTCCGTTATTATATCAACATTATATCCATATGCACGCTTCTCTAGTTCATGTTGTAATTTTGTAGATCTTGAAAATAATAGTGATATATTATTTATTAATCTTTTAACATATCTCAATGGTAAATAATGTATTATTAGTAACTTTATTTTAGAAAATATTGTAACATCAAACAAATTTAAATTTAATTCAGGTTTATTGTAACTATATAATTTTTTTGTTGTCCAAGATACATTTTTAAAATCAATATATGCATCAGCTAATGACATCTGATACATTAATTCAGTCCCCATTTCTTCACTATGTACATGATATACAAGATTATTTTTTATATCTGCATTTTGTGTCATTGATTTATAAAATTCATAAGTATTATTTTCTTTCAGATTACTATAATAAGAATTAAAATTATTATTAGGATATGGTGATGTAAGTTTATAATAGTTTAACTCTATTGGAAATGATGATATTTTTGGGGGTATCATATACCAGTAAAATGCAATATATAAAATCCAAGTTAATACAAAAATAATTATACTAATAGTACATGTAATAAGTAAAACTGGAATACTATACCACACGAGTGCATATATCCAATGTATCAGAGTTGTACTCTTATCTAATAATTTTTGAGGATATATAAAGCATGTATCATAATATTTTGTAAAAAATTTCCACAGCATTATTTTTTTTAAGAAATATTAATGGTAAATTACCAAGTTTAAATTTGGGATCTCCACTAGCTGCTCCTTATTTAGATTTTAATGTAAAAAGGTTATAGGCGGGAGTATTCAAAACCTTATGCCCCAAATTAACAATTAAGCCAAGTGTAAGGACTTGACTGTACGTCTCTACTAAATTTTATTTTATAATCGGATCTTTAAACAAGATATATAAGTATTAATATTAAATAGGTCTATATAGGATAGGATCTATAGAAAATGGCTATAAGTGAGTCCTTAAACTCTTTACCTAATAGATGCCAACAACAATTTAAACAAATAGTACATCTCTATGACCAAAGAGTCTATAAGAGAGCACTAAAATTAGCAGATGGAATGTTAAAAAAATATCCTAATCAAAGTGATATACTTGCTATGAAAGCATTTATTCTAGCTGCCTTATATACAGATCCAAATGATGCAAGACATAAAGAAGCATATGAATGTGTAAAAAAATCAATAAAATTAAATATGAAGAATCCAATGTGTTGGCATTGTTTAGGAACTTTATATCGTAGTGATCATGACTATAATGAGGCTAATAAATGTTTTAAGAATGCATTAAAATTCGATAAAAATGATATGGTAGTATTACGTGACCTTGCTACTGTATATATTCAAACTAGAAATTATACTGGATACAGAGAAAAAAGAAATGAAATTTTAAAACTTCGTCCAGACTTAAGAGTAAATTGGGTTGCAGTTGCTATTGGGAATCATTTGTGTGGTTATTATAATAGTGCAATAAGTTCGTTAATGTCCTTAGATAGTATAGGACAGAGTTGTGTATATATTGATAATAAAGAAAAGGATAGAATACAATTATTTCCATTTTTAGATTCTATACAAGCATCAGAATTGATTTTATATTTTGTAATGATACTAATTGATGCAGGGAGATATCAGCAAGCTATAGAATTTCTCAAAGATAATGAAGCACAGATATTGGATAGAACTATATATTTATTTACTTTAGGTTATTTATATTTATATTGCAATATTAATATATTTAGAGAATCTCATTTAGTATTTGAAGAATTACTAAAATTATATCCAGATGACGATTATGTTATTTTAGGTTTTATGATGACTTCTAAGGATTTAGATGGGATTATAATTCCTCCAAAGAATAATATATTTGATATAAAGACTAAATGTGGTGAGATAGAGGAAATTAGGAAACAGGAAGTAAGCTGTACAATTAGTAATTTGAAAATAGATGTACATCCTTTAATTAAAGTAACACATCAATATTTCCATCCTAGGAGTTCATCTGGAATTATTTACTTTCCTTTATTTGGCAGAATTTTAATTGATGAACAGGATGAAAATTCACCTAATAATATTGATAAATATGGATGGAAAGAAGTTGAGAGGATATCTAATAATACTTTTATGATTATAAATTGTAATGAGAACAATGAAGTATCATATGACTATTCAATGGAAATATTGAATAATTTCTTTGAAGAATTGGAAACTCGATACCCTAAAAGTGATTCAATAAAAAGGATTGCAATGGCCGTACTTTCAGAAAAATATCTTGAGAAACGTTTTAGAGAATATGTTTTAGTTAAAGTAAATAAGAATGTATCTACATTATTGTCAACATTTAAATATATATGTGAAGTTGATTTATCGAAAAGAAAATTAATTCATAAGATACTAACTAAAATGGTTACAGAAAAGGAAGATAATTTAACATCAAATTGTCAATCTGATAATATAAATGAGATAGTGGCTTCACTTTATAGTATATATGCTCAACATCTAGATTGTATGGGATATCCTTTGAAAGGTTTAGAATTTATAAATAAAGCTTTATCTTTAGTTGATGATAGAGCAGATTATTATAGTATCAAAAGTAAGCTATTAAAACACTTGCATAAATTTAAGGAAGCCTCTGATAATAGTGAATTTGCTAGAACTCTTGAAAATAATGATAGATATCTTAATACAAAAGCTATTAGTGCTTATCTTAAGAATGGAGATATTAATAAAGCAATTGAACTTGCTAAAATTTTTACAACTCAACCAGAAGTTAATAAAATTAATAAATTAAAAAAAGAGTTATCTAAAGATAAGAATGAACATAGTAATAATAATGAAAGTATAAATCTACAAATAATCTGGTTCGATAAAAGAATAGCATCATGTTATGAGTTATTAAAAGATCAAAAAAAGTCCTTAGAATATTATTTCAAGATTTTAGATTCTATAGATACCATGTTTCATGATCAATATGATTATCATTTATATTGTTTGAGAAAATTGACATTATCTCGATATATAGAGTTTCTTAGAATGCAAGATAAAATATTCTCAATGAAACAATATCGTATTATTTCTGTAAGAGTTTGGAAGATACTTTGGTATATATTATACAGTAATATAAAAGTTTGCCAAAATTTAGAGGATAATTTGCAAAATCACAATAGTAAGTCATCTAATTTTAATATACAAGAAAGTACAAATAAAAATAGGAATAACAAAAAAAATAAAAATCTGGATAAAAATAGTCAAACAATAACTAGTAGTAAGCTAGAAGAAAGAGTATTTCAAGATTATAATTTTACTTGGAATAAATCTCATGAAATAGTTCAACATCTACGTAGTGATGCAATGTTCTATTGCAAAAGTCAAGTTATAACATATATACACTATTTTTTATCATTTAAGATCAATAAAATTTCAAGAGAGACATCTTTGGCAGTTTGTAGTCAAAGTTTACATCGTCTATATATTCTGGAAAATTATAGTGTTAATATTCAAGATAATTTTGGCCTATTCCCAACTTTATTAGGTCATTTTTGTTTGAAATTTATTCCTGAAGTATTTTCAATTGATATAAATGAAGAATCCTCAAACTTAAATTTTATATTAGATCTTATTTATAAACAGATTTCTGATTACACAGGTGGAAGATGTGTTGATCAATTAACTGTAAAATCATCTTATATAAATTTCTTATATGATAAATATATTAAAAGATATGATTGTAAATTAATTGGTCCTCTTATAGCAATTTTAAGACTTTATTCTATATCAGAAGATATAAATAACATATATTATCACTTTATTACTAGTACTGATATTCTTAAATTGTCAGGATCTACTCAAAGCGCAATATTACTTTACAGATTACTTTTACTTATTAATCAAATAGATAAGGCTCAAATAGTATTGGAACATTATGACTTGTCAATAAGATGTTTTGTTGAGGGAAGTCACTGCAATATTCCTTTAGGGTCATCCCCCATTATAGATCAAATTAAAGACATTTCAATATTGATAAATATACCTGAGATGGTATTTTTAGAATAATTGATCCATAGTATTATATCTTATTAACAAGTATTGTAAAACAAACAAGTGTCCCAATATTATTAGCTTCCCCAATACTAGGTGTTCTGGTTTGTCTAATACTTTATATTGCGTCCCATACCATACATTATACAATCAATTTTAATATATAATTGCATAGTTCAGCTTATGACGCACTTTCCTTCTAAACTTCTACTATAGCTATATGTATTAAATTATTTATATTATTACCCTGAATATTTATTCTATCTCTCAAAATTTAACCACACTGTTTGGCGCCATAGTAAAGTGGCGCTAAAAAAAAATCTGATCACGAGTATAATTTGCTAAGATTATATTGACTTTACTCTTATTTATACTAAATAGGTATATTTTATAAATTTTGACTATTTAAAAGTAAGTGTACTTAGGTATAAAATGGATCTATCTAAGAAACTAAGTATAAAAGATATTGTATCTGAGGTAAGTTTGTTTTTAAATTGTTAACATATAATAACATGTGAAATATCCTCTTCTTAGTTAAGAGATAAAAGGATTTTTATTAGAGTGGATTTTAATGTCCCGATTAAAAATGGAGTTGTATCTGATAAAACCAGAATTGTTGCATCTATTCCAACTATTAAATTTGCATTAAATCATGGAGCAAAATCTGTTGTATTAGCCTCTCATTTAGGACGTCCAGATGGTCAAAGAAAAGAGGCCTTTTCTCTCAAACCATTGTCCCCCATTTTGGAAGAACTTCTAGGGTGTAAAGTTGAGTTTTTAAGTGATTGTGTTGGACCAGAAGTAGAGGCAGCTTGTGCAAATCCTAAACAAGGAAGTGTAATACTACTAGAAAATCTACGTTTTCATATTGAAGAAGAAGGAAAAGGTGTAAACTCTCAGGGAGAAAAAATAAAAGCTACAGCTGAACAAGTAGAAAAATTTAGAGCTTCATTAAGTAAACTAGGTGATATATATGTTAATGATGCATTTGGTACTGCTCACAGGGCTCATAGCTCAATGGTTGGAGTTAACTTACCTCATAAAGTAGCTGGTTTATTATTACAAAAAGAATTAGAATACTTTGGAAAAGCATTAGAAAATCCAAATCGTCCATTTTTGGCAATCTTAGGTGGTGCGAAAGTTTCTGATAAGATTCAATTGATTAAAAACTTGTTATCTAAAGTTAATATGATGATTATTGCTGGTGGTATGGCTTTTACTTTTAAAAAAGTTATTGATGAGATGCAAATTGGTGAATCTCTTTATGATGAGGAAGGAGCCAAAATTGTTAAAGATATTATTGAAACAGCAGCTATAAGAAAGGTTCAAATCATATTACCTCAAGATTTTGTGATAGCTGATTCATTTTCAGCAGATGCTAGTGCAAGGGTAGTTAAAGACTCAGAAGGAATACCTGAAGGTTGGAGAGGATTAGATATTGGGCCTGAAACTTCAAATATCTGTAAAGAAGCAATTTTATCAGCTAAAACAATTGTTGCAAATGGACCCCCAGGTGTATTTGAGATGGACAAATTTTCAAAGGGTTCTAGATCTCTTGTTGAGGCTTTAGTTGCAGCTACACAGGCTGGATCTATTACTATTGTTGGTGGTGGTGATACAGCTTCTCTTGTAGAAAAGTGTGGTACCTCATCAAAAGTATCACATGTATCTACAGGTGGTGGAGCATCCTTAGAACTTCTTGAGGGTAAGCTACTACCTGGTGTTGTAGCTTTATCTAATAAGGAGTAATACAAGAGTTTTGGTATTTGTCTTTTATTTTTGAGGCATATGATTAAGTATTGATTAGAAAATTTAAGAAGAAATTTCTTTTGAGAAATTATCTTTTAGATAGTATTTTAACTATTCTAGAGATTCTAAGTGTTTCTACTTTTTGTTTCTTAATCTAATCTCTTACTGTAAAGTACAAATTTTATCTATTAAATATTGTCCCCCCCCCCTCTTATAATAATATATATAAGGTATATTTCAGATTTATAGTTTTATTATCTTAATCAGATAGTCAATAATTTTACATCCTATTACTTAGTGAGATATTTAAATGAGCGGTAAACTAAGGCGCCAACAAAATTTCTTGTTACAAATGAGTGGTAGAATAACTATTTTTATGATACAGCAAATTAAAATTGATACTTCTATATCCCCTATGTACCTCTCTCAAGAAATTGGATAAATGTTGTCAGATGTATTAGAAGATTATGATCAAATGACTTGGTCCTCTATATTTGAGGAGATACGTCCCTCACAAAACATAGTTTATGCATTAGACCCAAGATTTTTACATAAATTACGTAATATCTGTATTATTGCTTTATCTGGGAATATATTAATGAATATTTCGATGGTACTATGTATAATTTTAGCTATATCTGAAGATATTCTATTTCCAAAAATTACAAAAACAATTTTGTTCATTGTACTTGCTACTGCATCAATTATTTCTTCAACAATTTTATACAAAGAATATAAGATAGTTAAAACTATTATTGGTGAGTATCCAGAAATTCCCTTTAAATCTAAAATTTGTCTTTATATTATATGCCTTATTATGGGGTTTTTTGGTAGGATTGGTGATGCATTAGATACATGCTTTTTATTAAGTCTCTGGTTTATATCCATCAACTATAGTTTAATTATTTATCCAATATTTATTTTTTCTAATATAGTAATCATAGTTATTAAATTTCGTATGATTATAACATTATTTTTATCTAATGATTTATTTATAATTTCTAAACCTTCAACTTTTTTGTCACTTTTCAAAACAGCTAATATGGATAATATTGAAGATTATGAGCTGGAATCTAGAAATAGAATAAATGAGGAAGAGATAGAAATGTCTGGAATCTCTACTAATTGTCAACATAATGTTAATAATTGTATAGAATCAGTTTCAAATAATAGAGATGATAATGAAAACAATACTAGACATGTATTATACAAGTGTATTAGAAGATGTAAAAAATTGTTTGTAGATGATGATCTCAATATGTATGAATATAAAGAAAATAATAACAATTTAACAGGTGGAATTATTAATGTTGAATCTTCTAGTAGTTCTTATCAAAATGTCAAAGTACCATATACAATACGTCCCTATAAGATTCTACAATTTTCAGATACACTTCATATATTTCATCTTCATTTAATTCACAATATTTTCCGTGACTTTTTTGTAGTTCCAAATCATATTGAAGCTCATGACTTTAATATTTCTTCTTATTTTTTATGGAAATTATTTACTAATGATGCCTTATTATTATTATTAAAGCTTATAGTTTTGTGTATTACTGGTGGATATAATAATTGGTTTCTTACTATATCCATTATATTTACAATATTATATAATATTCCTATGTTTATTTATCTTCATATAAATGAAGCAGTTATCCAAGACATATGCCAAGAATAGTATGATTTTAATAACCAAATTTTGATATTCAAATATTAAAGATAAATTGGTATATTAGAAAATTAGTAAAACAAACTTTTATATTTAGTTCTTTTGATATATAAATATATTAAAAATAAATGAAATAAAAGATTTTATATAACTTATCATTAATTTTCATAAATATAGTCAAATCTAATTTGTTTTTTTTTTTTTTTTCCTTTTTTACTTTTATCCAACTATTAATATTTTAAAGAAATAAGGTAATTTATTATATTTGTCACTTCAATTCCAGAAAATTAGTCTTTCTTCTTTTTTCATCACTTTGATGAACATCTTCAGGAACAGTGAAATTACCAACATGCCTAGGAGACCATATATTTACTGTATAACTATTATCAATAGAAACAATCATTGTAGAATAAAGTTCATCTTTTAAAGGTATCATATAAGTATAATCTATTGGAAATAAAAAATTTTCTATCAAATATGATTCTTTATATACTTGAAAATCCTTACTAGTATTCATATCTTGTAAATCACTTGATTTAGAACATTTTTCTATATTATTTAATAATTCTTTATTATTATTATTATTATAATAAAGATTTCGTATATATAATTCAGAAAAACTCCTTAATTCTTGATTATCTTTTTTGTTTCTATTAATTGAAGAAAAATCTAAATTTGATGGTGGAAAGCCATTTATAAAGTGAGCAGAGTGAACAAATACCAAATTATTAGGCTGCTGATAATAAGACAATCCTGAATTTATTACAGAAAATTCTGGATTATTTGATATATCCCAAATTCTTAAATGGCCTGTATGGTGAGCACAGCATAATATTGAGTAACCTGGATATGGCATCCAAGAAATCTTAGTTATAGGACTTCCATATATATTTAAATTAGTACTACTTGTAGATTCTAATTTACTATATTTGCTAGTTTTACTATTTAATAATCTATTCTTTTCAAGATAATCCAAAGTTAAAATTGAATTATGTTTCGAATTTTTGATAGATGAAAACTTCCTAAAATCCCATAAAGATGCAATCCCAATATTATCCCCTAATGCAAAAAAGGGATGTATAGGATGCATATCTAAAGATATTAATTCATAATTAGATATCTTAAATTTTGTCTTATTCTTTGGATTTTCACGTATATCCCAATTATATAAAATTCCCCTGTTAGATATACTACAAACTAAATTTTCATTAAACCAAGAAATATCATTCAAAGATAAATTATCAAAATCATTATCTTTATTTATAATATCACTAAACAAAATCTTATTATAAAATATATCTGATATAAATAATTCTCCTGATTTGCTACAACTAGATAAAATCTTTGGATTAAATTTATTCCATGATAAACCATAAGCCAATTCTTTATGATTATTAACATTATTATATATATAATTACATAAATTATTCTCAGATAATGAAATATCTTTATTTTCTTTATATATATATCCAATACTACCATCTATACAAGAAACAGCTACAATTGTTTGGTCTGTATTATTGTTATTTAATAATCTAATACAATTACTAGGTAAACAATTCATATCTTTATTATTTTTAATTATATCTTTTTGAGATAAATTAATAGATTCATTTAAATCATTTTTATAATATTCGGAGTTTGTCTTATTTATATTTTTATCAAAAATATTCATTATATTAAAATTTGGATAATTAGAATTTAGATTATAATTCTCATCATCAAATTCATCTTTATCCCAACAAATTTCTAATATATATATATCCATACTATTCTTGTCACAGTACATGAATTGACTTTTAATTCCATTTGTCTCAGTATTACTTGAATAACATTTTATATTACTAGATATTGTATTATCCAAAGAAATTTCTGTTATACTACTACGTAAATATTCATTTTCAAATCTTAATTTTTTATTTTTACAAAATTTTAAAGGGCTTGTCTTTAAATTATTATTGGGTACCTGTATCTCATATAGTGAATCATATAAAAATGGTATATTTCTAAGCCAAATACATCGTAATTTTGTCCATTCAGATATTTTAGATTGCATTATATAATCTTAATTCTTGTCTTTTATATTTATATTATACTATTTTGTACTGAATGTCCTAATATTAATAATTTTGCATGAATCTTTTTAAGAATATCATCCTATAGTGATGTGCCTTCACCGCTAACGCTTTAGAAAAAGAAAAAGAAATTAATGTGGTATTTACTTTTTTAATATAACTAGTGAAGTTTTTAGAAATATTTATTGTGAATCGATAAAAAAAAGATAATAAGTATAAGTAATATTTATAACATACAAAAGTCAGTAAACTTATTTCATTAAATTCTAAATATATTACTTAAATGATTTAAAATAAATGAAAATCATTATATTACAATCATAAATATTAAACTACGTATTTAAATTATTAAAAGTTATTTATAGTAGAACTTCACTAGATCTTATACTTCTATTGAAGAATTTGAATACTGTTAAGATTTACTCATATATTGAATAACATATAACAAACGTGAATTAAAATTGAAATTGGATAAATTAAAGGAAGTGGTTAACTGATCTATAAATGATTTGTTTAAAATGAATATAAATTCTTTAATTTGTAGTTCAAAGTACTTTTAATGGTCCTACACTTTTGATACTAATTTTGAATTAATACCAAGAAAAAAAAAGTAATCAGAAATATAATAATGCTAAGTTTATAATTAAAAGTTAAAGATTTCAGAAAAAAACATTTGTTTTATAAATTCAATCTTTACAATTATTGGATTCATATTTCTACTTTATCACTTTTTTTTTTTTTATTAAAAAAAGATATATGAGACTTTAAATACTAATAATATATTTGCAATAAATAGATTATTAGCTAACTCTTATACATTATGAAATCAAATATATTTCTTAAGTAATATGAACATTTCAAATAGAGTTAATAATTACGAAACTATAACCTTAATGGAGATAAAAAAATTTTATAAGCCAACTTACAGTTAAATATATTAAGTACAAACAACAATATAATCATATATTTGAATTTTCTTTTATGTGTATTACATATAATACTTAAATAGAATTTATAACAGACTATATATTTGATATATTCTAGATAAAAAAGTAATAAAAATAATTTATGGAAAGAAAAAAAGAAAAATTGAATATATATATTGAATAATATGTTAATATTTATATTATTAATAGTTAAAATGATTTAAATTTCAAATTTATATGATAATAAGAATATTTTACAAAGATATAAATAATATATATTTCAAATATTGTAAAGTAATTTAATTCAAGTTATTTTAATAATGAAAGACCTTTAAAAAAATGTTGACTGAGATGAATTGGGTATATTAATGAATTAAATTTGAATATAAAACAATTGATATATTGATTATAAATATATTAAAGATATAAATAAATTGAAAGATATTAACTGAAAAAAAATACAGATTTAGAAATGATTTAATAACTAATATATTTTAAGTAATATTTAGAGTATTTTATATCTATTTAATATTTATATTGCATATTTCACTTTCTATTTCCATTTAACCTAATATAAACAGGAATATGGTTATTAATGAAGATAATTCATATTTCATTTTACAGATTATAAGAGTTATTATACTGATATAATAAGAAATATTTTCAAAAAGATTTTTATGATTAATTATATCAATATTTTATTTCACAATTTGTTAAGTATTAATATAAATACTAAAAAGTTTTTTTAGAACTTCTTAATATTTTGAACTTTGTTAATTTTAAAGGAATATGAAAAATTTTCAAAGTATATTAGGCATTATGGTATTTGTTTAAATCATTTTAAGATGGTTTGTATGTTAAAGTGATATTTACTTCTAGAATTTTTATCAAAAATGAATTAAAAAAACTGGGATTATATAACAAAGAATCTACTTAAAAAATATTTAAGATCAAAATTAACATTAACTTGCAAGGAGGTATTTTTAATAATATGGAAAAAGACTGAATATATCACAATTTTTTTAAACAAATATTAAAAAAAAAAAGTGAAATTAATTTAACTTAAGATAATAATACTGAATTTGAAGAATACCGAAAATGATAGATGTGAGTAGATTTTATTTATCCACTAAATATTCAAAATTAAAGAGTTGGTATGAATTTTTTAAAGAATAATCGGAAATATTTATTTAGCTAAAATTTATCAGACTTTTTAAATATATTTTAAAATACTTACATAATAGTGCAATAATACATTGTAATTTGTATATTTCGAAAACCACATTACTAATATAAATTATTATATGATTACAACTTTATTAAAGTTTAATAATATTTTCAAATATTTAAAATATTTTGTGGTTTTGTCTAGCCTACTTCTTTTAATATAAAGATAATTATAACTTGATTATAGATAAATTAGAGATTTTTAGTTAGGAGAAAATGTGTAGATTAGATCTTAATATATAATATTTGAAAATATAATAATACATTATAGAGTACATTTATATTAATAGATATGAATATTTATTTGTTACATTGTATAAAAGTGAATATTGATGAGAATCAGGAAACATTCTGGAATAATTTAATAAAATAGTATAGTGGAAAAATTGTAGGAGATTAGATTAAGTGATAAAAACTTCAATTATATAATTTATGATATAAATAGTATTTAATTTAAATAAATAAATGATAATAAAACTAATACCTAATTAATATATTATTATTCTAATATAAATATTATAAGGGATCAAATATTAAAATACTTAGATATATACAATAAAAAAAAGAATCCTATACCTTAATAAATATCTACCAATAACAATTGAAAAAAATTTTGATTTATTTATCAAAGATTAACACTAATATCAGTAAATATGTGATCATTTCTAAAATATCAAGATTTTAGATAAGTACTAATAAAAAATAAGTATTTGGAACCTAAAAAATTTTAACTATATATTAGAAATGTCTATCTAAAAACTAAAAATTCAATAGTATAAAACTTGTAATATAAATACACTTTTATTTGGATAAATATTTATTAGATAAAAGCAAAGATGATAAATGATTAAAAAAAAATAAAAATAAAATTGTACTCATTTCATAAGTAAAAGTTACTTGAGGAAACTAATTAGAGTTAATAGAAATATAATATATACTAAAATAGAAGAAAATGAAAGAAAGTAGTTAGAACGTATTATTAATATTTTAATTGATTATATCAATGTTATTATGATATTATATACGAATATGAACTTATTATTATTAATTACTATTATCATTGTTAAATTAGTTATTATATATCAATAGTCTATGATACTTAGTATACTTCAATGATTCTATTATTAGTATGATAAATCTTTATGATAAATGAATACTATCTAAATTTGCTTATATTTTATTTCATAGAAATCTATTAGTGAATCTTTAAAAGTTAATGATATTCAAATAATTATAATTAATCAAATATTATTAAGGTATTTAGAAATATAATTTATGTTTGGTTAGGTTAAATTAAAATCTATTATTTAAATAGTAACTGTTTTAGTACGATGATTTATTTGAGTATATATTTAATAGATATAAAAATTCCTCAACTTTTTTGGAAATAATAAACTAGAATAAGCCCTATAAGATTTTATATTAAGAAGTATTAGGTTTTTTAAATGATAATTCTATGTAACTGATAAATATTAAACTAATAGAAAAAAAAATGATGATCAACGATAAGTTGACATAGTACTTGTTTGGTCTGAGTCACAATGATGATTGATATAATTGATAATTTTGTTTCTCAGTGAAATAGGAAATTTCAATTCACAATTAGGATATAAAGTACCTATATTATCTAAAGACATTATATTTCTAAAATCAACCAACTTTATATTTCTTAATAACCATTTCTGTGTTCTTGATACTACTGCAATTTCTATAGCTTGATTAAGGGATGTATTTTGTTCTTTTAAATTTTCAAGTTCTTGATTTTGACCTTCATTTATTGGTATCTCTTTAGCCTTGTTAGTTTGGAAATTATCCTTTATGGAATTAATATTTAATATATATTCTATAACAGAATAATCGCATACAGATTTTGTTTCATCATAGTCTTCATATTGGAGAAATGGTTTAGCTCTCCAATCAACACGATCATAGCTTGCTATTTCCAAAAGATCCCAAATATTTATAACTAATTTTTCTATAGAATTTTTAAGTAAACTTACTACATCATCTTCAATAGAAAATCCTGGGTGTATATATTGTTTAATAAAAAGTTTGATTAAAATTTCTAGTTGGTTGGGGAGTATTAAAGTAGGATCCTGTTGTTGATTATATTGGCACTTTTTGTTCATTACACCTCCTTGTTGGGGTAAAACTATTTGAGACGAAGATTGACTTAAGAAGTTTGTGTAATACCAATTTTTGGCTTTGATTACGAAGTCCTGCTTAGTTATTTTTTGTTTCTGTAGTATAATATTTATAGCAGTATCAAGTCTTTCAGTGTTTGGAGTGCCTTCCAAATATGGACGAAGAAAATCTAATTGTCCAGGAAACTGATTATATTGATTAAAAATATACATCCATGTAATATTTTCAAGAGACATTCCATGTTCATCAGGAATTAACTGTGACTTATTAAAAGTAGGTACTTGAGATTGATTGTTATGAGAAATAGATGTATTAGATGACTGTAAAGGTTGAGAATAGTTTGAATAATTTGGGACTTTATTGATATGAGAAGACTGAGTATGGAAGGATTGAATATTATAAAGTTGAGTGTTGTGACTTGATTGATCATAGGATAATTGAGGATTATAAGATTGAATATTATAAGATTGAGTATTATGAGATATTTGAGGATTATTAGATAATAATTGGGGATTATGAGATGATATTTGAGAATTATGAGATGACTGGGGATTGTAAAGTTGAATATAAGATTGTGAATTATGAGATAATTGAAAATTGTATGAAGATTGAGTACTATGAGATGATTGAGAATTATGAGGTTGAATATTATTAGATGATTGAATATTATTAGATGATTGAATATTATTAGATGATTGAATATTATTAGATGATTGAATATTGTAGGAAGATTGATAATTACGAGGTAATTGAGGATTATGAGAAGATTGAGAATTATGGGATGATTGGAGATTACGAGATAGTTGAGGATGAGGTAATTGAAGATTATGAGTTGGTTGAATATTGAAAGGTTGAGAAATATGGGATGATTGAGGATTATGAGATAATTGAGGGTTATGAGATAATTGACGATTATGGGATAATTGGCGATTATGAGATGATTGGGGATTATAAGATTGAGGATAAGATGATTGAGGATTATAAGATGATTGAGGATTATAAGATGATTGAGGATTATAAGATGATTGAGGATTATAAGATAATTGAGGATTATAAGAAGATTGAGAATTAAGAGGTAATTGAGAATGAGATAATTGGGGATTAAAAGAAGATTGGGAATAATAAGAAGATTGAGAATAATGAGGAGATTTACTATGAATATGTTGAAGATGTTGATTTGATTTATCATGGGATTGTATATCATAGGGAGGTTGTGAATAACTCAATTTCTGAGTATTACTATCCAATTGGGTATAATTAGAGGTTTGAGAATAGTTAGATTGTTGAGGATGATTAGCTATCTGAGTATAACTAGAAGTTTGAGAGTAATTTGAAGATTGAGCATATGGAAGCTGATGATAATTAGAAGTTACAGGAAATTCTGATTGGGAATAGATAGGTTGAGTAGAGGATTGTAAATAATTAGATTGATTATTTAGATGTTGATAATGAGTTAATTGAGAATCCGAAGATTTAATATTAGGAGATAATTGAGTATGCAAAGTCTGAATATGAGATGATTGAATATGAGGTGATAATTGTGGATGATTATTAGAAGTTTGGAGAGATGTAGTTTGCAAATTATAATTATTCATAGATAATTGGTTTTGATGCAAATTTTTTCGGGTTATATTGTGGGGTTGATGTTTATTATTTATAGAAACTTGAGAACTCTTTTGTGGTTGAGATTGTTGAGAAAAGTAAATATGCTCATTATGCATAGATTTAGCATATTCAGAGGACTGTATATTCTGACCAATTTGACTATTTTGATTATATTTGCTTTTTAAATCAGATTTATTAATTGGATTCGGTTGATTATGTTGTTGGTAGGGTTGATAATGCTGAGAAGCTAAGATATCATCCATACCTTCTAATTGTTGTTGAGTATAATGTCTATATTGTTGATTATGCAAATTCTTTTTAGTTTTATCCAAATATATTGTAGAACTATTGTCTAAAATAGGTGAATCATAGCAAGATGCAGATCTTTTTTGGCTTTTTCTTTCAATAGTTTCTAAACTACCAGGAATACTAGACCCACCCAAATCATTAAAAGATCTATATAACTGTGATGGATTATGGTATTCACTTTGATTATTATTTACTGTTGAATAAGAAGGTAAACTATATTGAGACTTATCAATAGGACTATAAGTAGACTCTTTAACATCTATTATACTACCTGTTTGTAATCTATTAAGATTATATGAAGGTTGAATTACCGAATTATCTGCATGAGAAGAACTTAAATGTGTGATCATAGATGTACTTGTATTAAAGGTATTATAATTACCATTTATTGATACTGGAGAAAAACTAGTTTCAGTAATATTCTCTGGGTCTAGACAACTATTATCAAAATTTGGATTTTCCTTAAAGATATCATTGTCACTATTATTGGCCATTTTTTTATTTACATAATTTCAATATACTTACATATTTAGAAATTCTACTAATTATAGACCCAAATTCCACGCTAAGGGAATATCAGAGACACGTTAGCGCCAGAAAGTTGTCTATGTAATTCCTAGCGATATAGTTGAACCTCCACTTTAAGAACAGGGGATTTTTTCAAAATACCACTTTTTATATATATAATCAATTCCTTAAATTATCAGAATGGATCATGGAGACGAGGTTATCTGCTTAGGCAAGGGGGGAGTTTACAAAATTAGAGGTATAACATCAAATAATTCTAATGAGAATATTATAGAAAAACCAATGCCATATTTACCGGGTGTTGAAATATATACACATGAATCACAAGGACGAGGATATTGTTATGTACCGGCTGAATCCAAGAACTCTGTGATTATAGTTACTGATAAGATGAATAAGATACTCAAGGTCGAAGGTAATTTCCCTGTTAGAAAACTCCAATATTCCCCCCTAGGTAGTTATTTACTTATTTTAACTGTCTATGAGCAAGGTAAAAATGAAGATAATTTATGTGTATATAAGCTAGGAAATGAATTAAAACTGTTATTTTCTTTTCCATTCCGAACAAATAGTGCCAAAGTTTTAAGTACTTGGCCCCCTTATCGTTGGAGTAATAATGAACTTTGGGCATTTAAAGTACAAGATACATGTTTGTCTATATATGATGGACATACAGAGTCTTTAGATAATCCTATTGAAACATTAACATTTAACAAAAGTATTCAGTTATCTTTATCAAGTGAAATTTCAAATAAACAAGATTTAAATAATACTTATTTAAATTTTGCTATAGTAGCTTATTATTCAAATCCAAATGTAGATATTTATATTTATCATATTGAAAGGAATCTAGATAATATATCATCTATATATTTGATTAACAATAAGGAATTAAATGAAGTTCAGCAAGCCCAGTTATCGTGGAATTACAATGCAACATCTTTATTAGTATTCACACAAGTAGAAGGAGAAACATTAGGAAAGTCATATTTTGGATCATCAAGCTTACACTTATTTAGGATAAATAATACTAAAACAGTTATTCCTAATGATATATGGTCTAAAAATAAGACTTCTGAATCTAAAAATAATATTTCTGTGTCAAATAAGTATAATGTTAAATATATTGAAGTTGTATCTTCAAGTGAAGGGCCTGTTAATGATGTTTCCTGGTCTCCAATTGAAGATGAATTTCTACTTTGCAAGGGTGTAATTCCTCCTGAATTAACCTTAAATAGTGGCTATGATGGGTCTCCAAAATTAAGCTTTGGAAGATCAAGACGAAATACAATAAGATGGAATCCTTCTGGAAAGTGGTTTGCCTATGGAGGATTTGGTAATTTAGCTGGAGAATTAGATATATGGGATGTTACTAAACAAAAACTTATTGGACAAACAAATGCATCTTGTTGCATTACTCTTGAATGGTCTTTTGATGGAAGGTATTTATTAGCATCTACTACTTCACCAAGACTAAGAGTTGACAATGCTATTAGAGTATTTCGTTACAATGGGGATTTGTTGGGTCGTATAGATTTCGATACATTATATTCAGCTTTTTGGACACCTTCATTATTAAGTACTAGAGAAAATATTATTTATAGATCAGTTTCACCAGGTAGAGAGTTTAAACCTAAAGTAACTCCAGAGAAGCAAGTATATAGACCTAGATGGGCTACTAGTGACTTTGCAGAAAGAATGAGAGTTGCTAGGGGTATACAAGATGTATCTAAAGATGCAAACAATCAAAGAAAAGCTAAACCTGAATACATTATACCAGGTTTACCTACTTTAGAAGCTTCTGTAGCCGCCACGAAGAGGAATGGACCAACTAACTTTATTAAACCTAAAAATAGATTTAAGAAAAAATTTGAACAAAATGATTTAAATGTGAATTCTATAAATGGTTTAGTGAATAATATGTCTCTATAGTAATTGGAATATATGAATAATTATAAATATTATATGGGATAAGATCGGAAATATAGACGAAAACAATTCCCTAAAGGCGTCTTATATTGATCGCTAATAATTTTTTGGATTTAATTCTTGTGCCATTTTTGCGCCAATTCTCTTTGGATTTTTTTTTTTTTTTTTTTTTGCTTTCTTTAGATAAAATGGATTGATCTGGTAGAGCCCGCCAAAAACCCACAAATATGCGTTCTTGTATAGATTTTTCTATATTATATAGATGAATGGGAAGTCAAGATATCAACAAATATTGGATGCTTGGATTGGTAAGTACTTGGATTTGAGAAATAATAAGTGCGTGGGAGTAGTTTCAAGCATTCCAAAGGTAACAGACTTACTTAACCCATTAAGTGACATGGATAACTTTGTATATTTAAATATTATGGAGTACTACCAACGTTTACTTGCAGAGTTAAGAATACGGCTGATTGAAGTATTTAATTCTACATCTAAGGAGTATGGTATACAGTATAAGCTTGATGTTGCAGATGAGAGAATGTTGCAAATTAAAGAATTGGGTGAAAAAGTTTATAGCTTAAATGTTGACGATATTATAAACTTAAAGAAACAAGATGAAAGTGATGAGAGTCTATTAATAGAGAAATTGATTCCAATTAATGATATAGTTGGATGCGTAATTAGTGAAGAGGAGAATTTATTTCTAAAGATGCTACATTCTAAATCCAAATGTAAATTGGAGAAGATACAACAAAGATTACTAGACTCCCAAGCTAAACTAGAAGCTTTAGAGGATAATTTAAAGAATGCGCAGGAATCATCTAATAACTTTGTATTGGAAACTATAGAGACATTTCATATATGGTTAAATAATGCAACTAAAGTAATATCTGCAGTTCAACAAGTGTAAATAATTTATCCTTTTTTTTTATTTTAAATATAATGGTTTTCAGACTTAATTCTGAATATTAAATTACTGTATTTGAGGCTATAATAAAATAGATCTTATAAACTATGACTATACATGATTATAGAATATTTCTAGATGTAATAAATACTAGTGTTATTTGAATATTTTGATTTTACTATAACAAATCACTTATTTTAATGTATAGAATTGATAGTTTTATCTACTTCTTTAGATGTTCACTAATTGACTGGCCTGTCCTGTCTTCTATTTCCTTAATTAATAATTTGGTTGTTTCAATTATCACTTCAGAATAATCATTTTGAAGTTCAGCGATACCTGGCAATATATGAGAGATAAATGGTAGTAATGTGAAACCACATATTTCGTCTTTCCATAGTTCTAAAAGTATTTTAACTGAATTTAAGCGAATAGTTTCATTTGAAGAGGTTAATCTTTCAGTAAAAGATTGAATTAAGTTTTCAAGAACTAAATCATGGCCTCTTAATGCTTTAATACAAGATATCCATGATTTCTGTAATAATATATTCCATTGGTAACCACATCCAGATATATCTTGATATGTATTCTTGTCAAACAACGCATACATCTCAATATTTGTAATCATTGAAGTAATTAAATTCTCTTCTATTTCAATAGGTATATCCTTTGTACCACTATTTAAGTCTGACTCTTGAGTGAGATTTAAGAATATCACTTTAATCAGAACCATACAATAAATACCAACATCATACCAGTACCATCCACCATATTTGAAATGATTTAGTACCATAAATTTTCTTGTTTTAAATTTTATATCTCTCTTAATTTCTTTCCACCCTTTATTCTCATCTTTATATTGGTCTAAAATGATATTCTGTACGCAACTTAAGGCCTGTGACTGGATCATATCAATAATACATTTTAGATCCATTGCAAAATCTTCAATTATACAATAAATACCGAAGTCACCCAAGAATTCAATAATTGAAGTTATAATAAGTACCCACAGTCTACAGCTGTATATATCACGTATAGAGTATTCCTTTGTTAACCCACTATTTGAACTGTTAGAATTATAGGCAGTTCTTGTAAAATCAAAGTCTGGTTTACTTAATTGGAAACCACTTGTATGAAGAGCTTCCTTTTTCTTTTGTTTTTCTTTTTCTACTATCTCAGAAAGTTTACTTTGATTATTACGATGAATTAATCTCTTAACCAACTGTATAAATTCCCTTAATTGCTTGCCATTTAATTTTAATACGAATGAAGAAGTCAAAGTTGTTAGAGCTCCTTCAATAAGCCAATAATTTCCAGCCAGGTTATTACACTTGTTTTTTTCTATTAAGCTTGAAGAATTTTGTGTGCTTGTATTTTTTGAAATATATATAGATTGTCTACTTAGATCGTCATCAAGCCAATTAGAATGTATAAATCCATGAGTTGTCTCTAAACCACTTCCCAATGTAGAACTTAAATATTTTGAAACTATGATCTCTTTCCTTAATTCATTATCCTCATCTTTAATAAGAGATTGATATTTATAATAACTTTGTGAGATTGATATTATAAGTAGATTAATTATAAGTAAAATTAATCCTGATGCTTCCTGTACAAATCCGCAATTTTTGGAAATAGTTTTTGGATCCTTCATAACAATTCCAAAGGAAGAGATCCATAGAAGAAAGCTTATTTGCTTTTGTATTTTCATGCTGGAGTTATTTTCCTTGATACATAAAAACAGCTTACTTGACAACTCTTCCATAATACTACATATATTTGGTAAAAATGAGTCTATTGGTAGTGCAACCTTGCTAAATAGGATCAATAATCTCAACATTTCAGAAGTATAAGGATCATCTTTATATTTTTTATAAATCATATGAATATAATAAGAATAAATTCCAGAATGGTCCATAATCTTCAATTTACTCTTTTGATTTATATTGTCCTTAGTATCTTTATTATTGTTCTTTAACTCGCTAATAATTAATTCATACAAGAAAGAAACATCTATTTTCACCATGAAAGTCTCTGTACATAAAATATCCAGTAAAAATTTTCTAGTTAAATTGGAAATGATAAATAAACTTCCAATCTCTGTATCCATTAGTATATTTAGCAAATTTATAAATGGAGTCATTTGTATATATATTGTAGGATCGTTGGAGAAGTCTTTAATTAATAGACTGAGTATTTCTACTAATACTTCCATAATTAAATCCATATTTTCAACCACAAGTGGATCATTTATAAATATTTGATCCACTTTAGGTAGATAAGTCCTATTCTTATTTTTTAATTTAGACTTTATAGAGTTTCGATCATCTGTATTTACAAGTCTAATCATAAATTTTATAACTGGTAACATTAACAAAGAATCTGTAACTTTAATCTGAAATATTCTTACTATTATCGGCATAGTAACATTAATGATCTCTGATTTGCAAGTAGATTCAAATATTTCAAACATATCTACAGTACAACACCATCCCTTAATCCATATACTCCTCTTTGATCGCACTTCCTTATCATCTGTCCTGTTAATCATTTCAGGTAGTAAGCTATATAAATATGTTAATAAACATTGGATAGAATCACAAAATCCACTTATTAATGATTTCCTAATATGTGATTGATTAGATTTAGGAATAGAACTTATATAATTTTGTATCTCACCTTTACAAATAGCTGATGCTTCCATTAAATACAAGAATGAATTTTCACATATATATTTACTATAATACCTTTCAAAAATAGAGTATCCTATAACTTGCGTGCTATTAATAAAACTATTTCTGAATTTTGTTGTGCATAGTTCCAAAATATGGGGTATTAATGTTAGGATTAAATCTCCAGCTGTAACTCCTTTTAAAATATTCGAGGTGAGGAAATGGAGACTTTTTCTTATTTTTCGTAATACATTCGAGCTAAACAATTCTCTGTTTTGTATTAAATGAGAATATTCATTCTCTTCAAATAGCTCCATATAACCATTTGTAGTTGAATCATAACTTGTCTGAATAGCCTTTAGAGACGAAAAATCTGAAGTGTTTCTTTTATTATGCACATTGCATGTGTTTTTAAACAGTTTCTTAAATATCTTACTTTCCATTCTAGATTCCAAAGCAATTAGTTCAGTTACTATATTTGACAAATCTATTATAGAAATTCGCTTATATTCTGAATTATCATCACTTCCTTTATTAATTTCAGAAATTCTGTTAATGGATTTATATATGAAGTATACCACTGAATCTAACAATAAAGGATGAATGACTTCATCCTTTAAAATAATATCTAACAGTGTTGAAAAGTAATTCAAAAGGTCCATGGATCCTTTATAATTTTGTTTGCTTTTTAATATTAGTAAATCGACTATATTATCGAGTAATTCATAGGGTTTCTCTTTACTATAATTAATCATAGCTGCATTAATAGGTGAGATGAATAACCCAATATTTTCAATTCTAATAAACTTCACTGAATAGTGCTTCAATAAAATAGTGAAACCTAAAGCAATCCCATAATTAAAACAATTTACAAAGGTTTGAGGATGGTATGTATTGGATAATATATTGGTATGTTCAGAGCTTTTAGTAGAATTAAGATAATAGTCAGTTTTGAGCTCTAAAGATTTAGTAGTTTCATTACCCAAATCTTCAAAATTTTTGATTCCCATGATATTATATTCTGATTTATTGTCATTTGAACTAAGATAGACAATATCTGAAATTGACTCAATATTCTTGATAAAATTCTTGAGATTTATAGAATTATTATTATTGACAATATCTGAAACTAAGGGATTTACCAAAACCTTAAAAAGTATAACTTTGGTAAGGTGAGAATGTGAAGGGGATATTCTGCTTATGTAAGTCTGTAAAGGAAATTTAAAGCTTGAAGGAATCCATTCAGTTCTATTACTAGGTAGATTTACTAGTACCCATTTATAAATAAAGCTAACAATATTAACACTACGATTAAAGTTCAATTTATTATAAGACTTATTTGATATTATATTCACTAGGAGATATATTAAAGATGATACAATTATAGGACTTTGTGCAAAAATACTTGAATGAACTGTTTGATTTTGGTTTAAATTAGATGCTTCAATTTCACCAATATTCCTATTATGATAACCAATATATACCTCAATGCATCTCAGTGTCAGCTCTTCAGTCTCCTCTGTAATATCTAAAATATGTCTATTGCAATTTAAGAGGTTACCAACAACATTGAGTATTGCAGAATGTATGTGAGAGTTACTTGTAAATTCGCCAGCTACATCAGTTATTTGAGGGTTGACTTCTTTAATAATATCAAAACAAGACTGAATAATCTCACAGCAACATGAAATAGATTCACTTAGATGCTTTTCATTATTAAGTTTGCAACTTCCAACTATATTTTGTTGAGACAAAAATTCGAAAAGTGAACTAGTAAATTGAATCTGGATTTGGTTTTTATATAGGCAGTATTGGAGAAGTTTCAGGCAAATGGAAAACGAAATATCTACAAATATTAATAACTCTTCAATCTTAAAACCATTAACTTTTGCAAATTCCAAATATACAGAGATTACTTCGACAACTTCATCATCAGTTAGACAGTTCCATATGTGTGTTGAGCTAAATGTTTGTCTTAGAATACTCTCAATATCTGCTGCTAATTTCGGATCTGAAAGTTTTTTACTAGATATACTTGATATAGGCTTAAAAATACAAGTCATCTGAATTTTTATTATTTGGTTATAGTCATTTAAGGTTTCCACAGAATTTAAATTTATCTCTTCAGAGCTTTTACATATTTTTTCTAGTAGATCCCTATATATAGAAACCACAATTGAAGTAGTACTATCAATAGAAATATAGCTTTGGTTTGACGAACTTTTTATTGTATGAGAAAAGCTAGATGAAATACAATCAGCCAGAAAATCTAAAAAGGTGATATCAATTACAAGTCCTATTATTTGAAGCTTCCAAAAATTAATCATACCTAGATCTATATTATCTTCTAATTTCTCATTACTATCTTCACTAATATATGTAAATAATCCTATCAATATACCAAAATAAAGATAAGAGATATCACATAATTTGTTAGAGTCCACATTGTCATAGCTACATATTGTATTTAATCTTTTAGAACTTGAAATAATATCCACTTGATTTGTCAGTATTATATCCATAAATTCCTCTATATTACTTACTCTAATTGATTTTTTACTTATTTTCTGAATTAAAATCTCATTAGGATTTGTTTGAATTCTTCTAAATTTCTCAACTCCCAAAATAGCCTCTAAAATTACTGATATATTTATATACTCCAAATTAGATAAAGCTGAGAGTTCTCCTTTAAGAAATCTACAAAGTTTAATTGAAGCAATTCTTTGTTGTGTAGAAGTTTCCTGTAATATCCCAGATAGAGAAAATACTGCAAACATCAACATTATCATAGTCAGTTTGTCAGTTTTATATTTTTTTTGAATGTCTTCATACACATCTTTTCCATCCGAAACCAATCTGAGTCTTTGAACAAGTATTTCTAAAACTGTATAACAATGGCTAATTATTACTTGATAAAATATTGGAGATCCAAAAAGAGAATTAGAAAAGTGCTCAAGGGTACTCAAATTGAAGATATTTCCTTCTGAAGATCCTAAAGCTTTTAAATATACCTTTATGACTTCTATAATAATCTCCTCAGTATCATAGCCTGATTGGAGTATATGAGAAAGAGGAAGTCGAAGTATTTCACCAGACTGTATTCTCATAGTAACATCTAACGTATCTATCAAAGAAATAACGAGTATTCTTGATGTTAAGCCTGTTTTTGGCAATATACACTTTATCATTACAAAACGTAATAAACTAATTATAATTTTGCCTCCAATATTTGATTCATTTTTTGCATTGCTAACATACTTTGCAATAATAGAGTACAATTTAATATATAAAAGTTCCAATATCTTAATTATTTTACCTTTCATTAGATATATACCAATTTTATTCACTCCTGTTCTATAATTTGAGTCTGAATACTTATTACTATTATTATTAATATGGGTACTCTCGCATTCATCTATTAAATTCTTTATTAAACTTCGCTCCTCAGCTTTTTGAATATTAGTTGAATTATGTATTCCATCATTTTCATTTGTAGAATCTTTTATTTCATCAAGTAAAAAAAGCAAGTTTATTATTTGAGAATCGGTCCATTGATTAGTATTTAATATATTTGCCAAATAACTTTGGTTATCTGGGAATAGTAATTCAATAATGTCATTAGATATTTGGGAAATTTCTGGAATTGAAGATATTCTTGATAGATTAAATAATATTGGCATTAGAGGTTTTCCTTTATAAATATATTCAATACTAGTCATTGTTGACCAAGAATTATGTGTCCTTTCATTCATATATGTTAACAATTTTTTAATATTCAATAAGGTACTCATAATATTTTCCTTAAAATTTTTGTTCACATTATTGAGACTATTGATAAATAAGGACTCAAAAGAAAGAAAATCAGTTTTAAGTTTAATATTTATTAGTTTATTTAAGGATATAGATGTAGAATTTGACAAATACTCAATCATACATTTAAGAATATAGGTACAACGCCAATTATTACTATTTAATTGAGTTGAGTCTAGGTAATTCGCAATATCCAAAAGAAAATCCAACTCTATCAACCTATTATATCTGTCAATTGACTCTTGACTTGAATAATTTAAACTAAGAAAGTGTTCGATTGCAATATCAAAAATATTCATCTGCAAGATAGATATATTTATATCTTCTTTTCTAAATATCTGAGACTTGAGTTTTACAATCATATTGTATATAATATCGAAACAAGAACTTTGAATAGCATCATTAGGAGAGCTCAGCAATGATATCAATGTATTCAAATTACCTTCTTGAATATCATCTTCCAAGTTTTCGTTACTCTTGTTTCTAGAGTGGATAATAAAACTGTTAAAACATCTCTGAAGTGAGTTCAAACCGTTACCCATATCTCCATTATTTTGGTGACTACAGACTTTTAAAGCAAATGATATTGCTGCCGATATATCCTTAGTGTTTGATTTATTCAATTTGTCCATTATTATATTTAAAGAATCATAGTTGTCTACAACCTGATACAGATCAATTATACAAAGTATTAAAGCTTGAATATAAACTTCTCCCATCCTATTAATATTATTTTCAGAACTATTTAAGCACGAGATAAGGTTAAAAATAAACTTAATACTGTTTTTATTCTCATCTTGAAATCTTATAACTGACTTGATAATCATAACAATAACATACAAAATCTCACTATCCCACTTTAAAAGAAATGTTATAGCATCTATAAAGTCTTGTTGATGTTCTAGAATATATCTAGTTACTTCGAAATCCCAGAACTCTAATTTATCTAGTGTACCAAAATGATATAACCACTTATTCAGTAAAACTAGAGTTTCAGGCAAATTGCGAAGGATGTACTGATATCCCTTCTTACTAAAAATAGATGCAAAGATACTCTTCACAACATTGTTCTGAGCATCCAATGAAAGTGGAATGGAAATCTGAGCCAATTTAAATAATATACAATATCCTGCACATCTTAGTTCTTCATAATGAGGTTTTCTTATGCATGTATCTAAAACAATATCTTCAATTATTAAACGCAAGTATGCTTCGATTTTTTCTGAATTCTTATCCTTCGTTATTGGCAGTTCTTCAATCATCTCAGCTATGAGCCAAGTTACAAGATTTGTCAGAGGGATATTCTTAGTACTGGAATATTTAGATAGCTGATTCTGCCAAAAATTAACCAAAACCCTAAATGCATCAATATTTCTCAGTAAGTATACAGATAATGTAGATCTTGAAATTATTGGTGTTCTAGTTTTCTTTATAGCATTTGCAATTCCAAAAAATTGACTTGATTCATTCATCTCCAATATTTGAACCATTCTCGCAAATAAACCAGTATCATGATATGGTAGCAAAGAAAAAAAAATATATTCACTAAGATATATATGGATTTCATAAGCTTGGATTAAGTACTCAAAGCACAACTTTACACTACTGTGCATAAAATATGGGACTAAATAATCAATCAAAAGTTTTAAGTGTTTAAATCTCTCATTTGCCTCATCTTTTGTTAATAATTGTATAAACTTTATATCCCCTTTCTTTTGAAACAGTAAATTAAAGTTCTCATCCGCCATCTTCGGGTTAAGCTTAAATAGCTCATCCAAACATTGTAAACATTGATACTGTAGTCTATTTAAGCTCTCATATGGGTCCAAAGTAGTGGTATTTCTAAGTTTATCTTTAATTCCTGAGTTGTATGTATCATATAAAAATGAAACAGCTGATTTCCCTTTTCTATAGGGTTTTAGGGAGTTATATTCAATATTTTCTGCAATTAAATTATTTAATTTGTTACCCCTTAGTTGTTTCTGTAATTCGGAATGCATATTATAATGATTTACAGAGTTTCTTAATACTTATGTCCACCTATTGAGATATTAGATATTTCCCCTTTTTTTTTTTTAGATTTACAAGTTTTTAAAACTTTTAATTCCTGAGTCCACAACAATTAAGTCAAAAATTTCAAATATTTGTGCAGAATTGGATATAAACTCCAGCCTTAGAAGTAAGCAATTTCTATACAGTAGCAAATATACTATAATATTTTCTTTCTTATACCAATCAAAAGTAGACCTCTAGGTTAATTGAAGAGCCCCCTCCCGCCTAATAAAATTTTATTTTGTAGTACAACCCTGGAATTAAAAGTATCTCGTATATTCACAAAGTCTATAATTGTCCATAGTAACAAATTAGCAATATACTAAAACTTTTTGGAAATTTATTATAGGAGACTTTACTTGCTATCTAATAGATTATATTTCTGATCTCTGAATACCTGTTTCTGTAGAATGGATTACAATAGGTTTTGTAGATGTGGTTATAGCTGGATTTTCTTTGTCTTCATCTTGAACTTTAACATATTTAACTACCTCCATTGGCCCAAAGATAGTCAAGATGGCAGGTAGAATTATTGCACCATAACATATCCCAATACACACTACTAGTGTCATCATTTTATAGAATGTTTGTAATATATAAGAATCGGAAAATGCCAATACAGTCACTGCAAATTGAGTTGACATTGCACCATGAAAAATTGGAATGCCCATTAAACCTATAATAAGAGGTGTTTAGTGAATTATATTTAATAATTTAAAATGAAAATATTTTATATTGTGTAACTCAATTATTTTGAGTTTTTTGATAAGTAAATCAGAGATATAGGATCATATTATTAAGAACTTGATACATATTTTGATATAATCTTAATAACTTACCTAGCGTTTCAATAACTCTTATGCTTCTATTTTTACCGGTACAATGAGCAAAAGTATGGCATATATGAGTTGAATAGTCTACAGATATACCAATTGACATGATTAAATTAACCATAGTAAGCATATTTAAATTCAAACCCCATTGAGCCATCATTCCAATAATACAAGTATCTACCATGCACAAGATAATTATGACTATAATGACAGAAGATACGCTTGGCATTAGAATTAATGATGCCTAATAATAATAATAAAAGGAATAAGAATATGAATAAGATAATTGTATGGGCAATGAGGAGCTAGTTATAGCGAAATGTTGAAATATGAAAAGGTATATGCTGCAGCTAGGATTGCTTCAAAAGTTCGGATTGAAGAAATCCTCAAATAACTAAACTGGATAAAGATTGGTAATCAGCATAGACTTCAATAGTGTAGAGATAAATATTGATAATTCTGAAATTTTGTTCAGTGTCTAGTGTTTCTCTTTAGAGATCCATTTTTAAAAGACAAACTAATACTTGCTGAGACAATACCTGAAGATATATTGTAGAGCTTAAATACTCTTATAGATATGCATTTTATCTAGCTCCATATACCCATCTGTTGAATTTAACTTACTAATAGAACAGCAATTAAAGCGCACCCCATGTTGTACAAAGTTTGAGGTAAAATTGAAACATCACTTTCATAAAATATGAAAAGAGGACTATAAGCAATTGGGTGCTTAATATTAGGAGTATTTTCCATTATATGCCTTATATCTGTCATATATTTTCCTCTGACTGAGGTGTCAGGTAGATATTTTGGGACTAGGATAGATCTCCAAGCTTCTAACTCTCCACTTTTTGAGTTGAACACAAAATCATCTTCAAAATGTCTATTATATGGAGATTTAATAAAAGCTTTTAGCATTCTGGAATACTCCTGTGGATTTTGAGGAAGCCCTTTAATTAATAATGAATCATAAAATGCTGACATCCCATCTAACTTTAGTTTTGTAAACCATGCGTTGTGTATTTTTTCTTGTAGGTTTCTATAACTTTCTCTAAATTCTGAACTCCACCATGTATTATCACCTTGGTTATTAATATTCTGAGATGCTGGAAACATTAAATATGTGATATCTCCGTATTTATTGAACAGTGCTTCATGATTTACAAAAAACTTATAGACTTGTGATGAAGGTGGTGCTAATACCTTTAAATCTAGTCCCATCTTTAACTCTATTGCTGAGTATATAGACACTCCAAAGAATACCATAGATAATAAAAGTATACCAATTCTTACAGGTAACATGGTTAGAAACCTTGCATAGTATCGGATAACAAAGCGTCGGCTTTTTCTTCCAATATTTTGCTGAGGTTCCATAGGAAAACTTTCAGTTAATGAGTCTTCTTCAATAATAGTAGATAAGTTGTCTCTTGTTTCTTGTGAAAATGTTGAATAAGCTGTTAATTTTGATTTTGTATTCACCTCATCAGAAAATTGGTTATTCTGTAAATTGGAATTTGATTCTATACTTAATGTTGAGCTAGATTCTGAGCTCAAAGTAAGGTTAGAGCTACTATTTAAGCACAAATTGAAAGCTGATTGAGATTTAGGAAATAATTGTCTCATATCTTCAGTAGTAGAATTTTGCTTTTTACTAAGTATAACAGAATCACTAGTGAAACTATTGGATTTAGGTATATAATCATATTTGGTAGACTCTCCACTTAAATCTTGCTTAGCAGATACTGAGGAGTTTATATATGAATCTCCTGTGGAAAACTTAATATTGGATTCTTCTTTTTGTATTTGATTTCCAATTAAGTTAGAGGAAGGATTTCGAACTCTTCTTGTCTGCTTTGAAAGATGTCTTGTATCTAAGAATTGTTGTTCCTTAATAGGAATAGAGAGTAAGGCTAAAGATGAACTTGATAATAAACTATTCTGAAAATTTAATTTACTTCCAGTACCAACTTCAGAATCGCCTTCTAAAACAGATTTTTTATCACTCTCTGTTAGCTTGCTTCTGTCCAACTCTGTATTATATTCTAGATTTTTATTTGCTCCATTTGGCTTTTCATTTATCTGAATATCTATTTTACTTTTAGATATAGTACTAACCGTATCACTTTGACACATATCATTATTATTCTGCTTAGATTCATTTTTTTCTTTATCCTCACTTGAACTTGCCTCCTTTGTATTGCTTATATAATCTTGTGGTTTTAATATCATTTTAATTTGGTCTATTTTTGATAAGCTATTGGATTTGAAATCTTTATGTAAATATTGATTAGTAAGATATCCAATAAGAAAAACAGTTGAGAAATCTCTAAGCAAAATATTTTTAGATTCATCGATAGAGTCAGAAGCTTTCCGATTTTTTAGGAAAATCTTTCCACAAAACTTAATTCTTCTTTCCTCCTCGAACCTAGCATCGATACACAAAACTCCTAACAAAATAGTAAGGCATGTTACATACCCAAATAAAAGACCAACAAAAGTAAGTATACAAAAATTTCTAATGGCCAAATATCCCGTTGAAGTTCCAATTGCAAAGGATAAAAGATTTGTAAGTGTTGTTAAAGATATAGATAATCCACAGTCTCTAATTGCAGAAACAATTCTGTCTTCTGCACTCTTAAGTGGGTATGTCATATTATAAGAGTTTATCACAACAAATGAATCATCCATTCCAACACCAAGAACTAAGAAAGGAGCTGCAGAAGCAGTTGTTGTATGCTCAAGTCCTGCTAAGTAACACAAACCAGCTCCTCCAACATATGCTAACAAAGCAGCAAATGCACCAAAAACGCCACTAGTAGCTCTGGATGTATATATGTTGCACCCATATCCAACTGACCAGCCGTATACTATAAGAATAGCTATTAGAGATCCAATAATAGCATAGTCTTTAGGTGAATCTATATAAGTTTGTTCAGTCAATTCATCACTAAGTGCTCTTCTTGCATTGTAATATATATTCAAGGGATTATCTGAACTTCCAGTATCTGACTTAAAGGTATCTTGTGAACTTGATTTACTTGTTCTTATACTAGTAATATTGCTATGAATACCCGGTTGATTGTCAGCTTTTGAACTGTATATGTTTTGATTTATTGTTATATTTGTTATATTACTAGAAGTGTTTGGTATTTCTTGAGAAGTTGAAAGCTTAGTATCGTTAATAGAATATGTTTGAGATTTTTCATTTCTATGAGCACTAACTGTAGTATTTAACTTTTTTGTAATTTTGGAATCCTCTAAAGTGTTATGAGTATCATTTTTGATTTCCTTGCTTGAGGTTGTTAAAAACTCATTCTCGGAAATCATACTTAAATCCTGTGGTTCCTCCTGTTTATTGTAGTAGTGGTTCTTAAGTTTGTTCTGTACTTCAGAACAATATTTAATAAATTGTTTCTCCCACAACATAGAATACTTTCTAATAAAATCTTGATCTGACAACTGGTATTCCAATATAGCAGCTTTTGAAGATGTTACATATTCTGTTTTAGGATCATGCTTCATTCCCACTGGAGACAACCACATGTCAGTTCTAAAGGACTGATAAGTATGTGTATTTATGACATATGGAGATGGAATGGGGTTTCCAAAATCATGAATATTTTTGTACATCCACAATATTCCTGAAGGTCTTCTACAGGCTCCTCCTTGAACTCTAGCACACACATGACCAAAATGAAATTTATATTTAGTAACTTTATATCCAGTCTTTTGATCAATCTCCTCTACTGGCTCTGGTGCCATATATTTGTTACTTATGAAATTTGGCGAATCTAAATAGTATTCATCTTTAGAACTAGTATTTTTATCTGTGCTATTTGTATCATTTTTCTGAGAGGCAGGTATCCTATGGGGAAATCTATTTAAAATTCCAAATCCATGAGGTTGAAATGAGGGAGCTAATTGCCGTGGTGAGGTACTTGAGTTGTAAAACTGTATATTAACTGGATCCTGAAAAAAGAGAGTTTCTTGTGTTTTATTCCCAGAAGAGTCAGAAATTATCTTAAACTGTAAATTCCTAAATTTATAAGTATTTTGATGACCCTTAGACTTATTATATAATCCGAAATCCTCATTTATAGGCTGATAAACTGCAGTATTTGATAATTCAATTTCATCTGTAGTTTTCTCAAATTTATTGAAAATACCAGATTGTAACTTTGAAACTTCTTTATTTCCATTTATCTCATCACTATAGTTAAATAAATCCAAATTATCCTGAACTTTTTGATTTCTCAATAAAATTTCGTTACCTATTTGTCTCAAACTTCCATTCTTAGTATTTTCCGATATAATCCTATCACTTGATTCAGTTAAGCTTCTTAAGTTGTTATATTCTTCAATATTAAAAGTTTTATTGTATTCAGATAATAGTGTCACTTTTTTTTTTGATGTAGCATTTCTTAAATCATTATAGGCTTCTAAAAGTCGTTTTGCATCTATTTCATCAACTGTAAAAGTTACGTTCATCAAGCCATCATGAAACATTTTCATTATGTGAAGATTCTCTGGAGACATTACAGACCCTCCATCAGACACCTTAAATAGTACCAGTTCATGACGTGTCCTTGCACCTGGAAATGCACTATTATACTTTAACTCATCAGATTTAGCTTGGCTATTGGGAAGTGCAAATTGTCTCTCTGCATCGTCTACAGGATGCCGATATAAATGTCCTAAAAATAACATCAAAAAGAATTAAAATAATTTTATATGAATTTATATAGGCCAGTATATTCACAGATATAAACTATTTACACCTTAATATAATGAAGTAAATTAAATTTCTTCATAATTGGTTTGTCGTATTTTCAGCAATGTCGAGTACATAAATTAGGAATTTTTTGCTCATATCCTAGTTTATACTGCCTAAAAGTAGGTTTTTTTTGCAAAACTTACCTATACCTAGCAATAGGCAGATTATTGATATCACTAATATTATAACAATTGAATTTCTGAATACAAATCTTGAATATAACATGAAAAAGTTTTCGAAACAGTGCAAAGTTTTTAGTTTCCATTTCCCCCGAAATAATAAGTTTATAAATATCTTAAACATATACCATGGAAAAGATATAATGTGTAGAATATTGTTTATTATACTTTTTTGTTTGCTAGTATTATTCTGGTTTATAATTTCGTCAGATACCTGACGATTTTCTTCTTCCTGTACCTCGTGACTATTTGATAGTTTCTCAGGTGAATCTTTTTGATCTGACGGAGTTAAATCTTCATTTTTGATATCATCAAATTCTTTAGCATGATCAGACTCATAAATCCGACTCATTACTTAATAAAGTATGTCTCTTGCAACACAAGACCTCGTGTTCTTTTGCTAGCCGCACGAGTTCCCCTTATTCAATTTATTCTGAATATAAAGTTTTATTTCCCTAGACTTACGTTACAATTTTAAACTTTTAAATTAAAAATTGCATAAAATACGAAAATTCTTACTTTTTTATGCATGCAGATAATTACCGGTATATTGATACCGGAACCCTTTGACCATTATAGCACATGTGGGGTTTTTGCGCATAATAAGCAAAAGTAGACAAGTAAAAAATTTGTAACTTTTATTCACTAAATTATGTATTAAAGCTAAACTTATTTAAAAAAATTTATATATATGCATAGTTTTAAGTTTTAAACTGCTCAATATGAATTTGAGCTTTTTCCATGGCATCTATAATCCAAGATGGGATTTTTGGTTGCTCATAGTTTATGGGTAAATGATCTAAATTTGTAGCACTATAATACTCTAACAAGAACTGTTGACAATATTCTGGAAAAGTCTGATCTTTTATAGATTCCCTCATTTCAGAGCAAAATTTCATCATAAATGTAATGTTGTGAATAGTTATAAGCTGACTTGATAATGACTCTTTTGAAACTATACTATGTAAAGCAGCTCTAGTATAATGCTTGCAGCAATAGCATTCGCAACATTTATCAATTGGTTCTAAATCTTTGCTGTATTTAGAAAGTTTTAGTTTAATAAGACCTCTTTTTACCATGGCTGTTCCGAACCTTGCTGTTCTACATGGATAAACACAATCAAACATATCAGCACCCAAAGCAACACATATTAGGATATCAACTGTATATCCAACACCCATAACATATCTGGGCTTTGAGTATGGCAATCCATACACAGGATGAGTGCATAGTTCTATAATAGGCCAAAAGTCATCTTTGGTTTCACCTCCAGAAAGGCCACCAATTGCATATCCAGGAAGGTCTCTAGCAATAAGATCTTTTAAAGATTGTTCACGTAGCTCTTTATATACCCCACCTTGAACTATACCAAATAAATTCTGCTCATATGGTCTTTTGTGAGCTTTTATACAACGATCAAGCCATCTGGTTGTTCTACCAACTGCCTCTTTGATACGTTCATAATTAGTGCATTGGGCACTAACAACATCATCAAGCTGCATAATAATATCCGCTCCGATAGAATTCTGATATTCTATAGATTTTTCTGGTGTGAATATCATTGTAGCATTTGTGTATGGATGCTTAAAGGTAACACCTTCTTCAGTAATATTAGCGAACTTGAGTAATGAAACCATCTGAAAACCTCCACTATCAGTTAATAAGTTTCTATTCCAATTCATAAATTTGTGTAGACCACCAAAATCCTTAATAACCTTTACTCCAGGTCTACTACTCAAGTGATATGCATTTCCCAGTATTATTGGAACATTTAGTTCTTCAACTTGAGCGGTTGATAAACCTTTAATAGCTCCATGTGTTGCAACTGGCATAAAAATAGGTGTGTAAATTTTACCATGAGGTAACTTCAAAATACAGCTTCGAGCTCTATTACATGAATATTGGATATCAAATGTAAGACTTTTACCTCGTATAAATTGAGGGCAAGGCAAGATACTTTGGTCAATAGAATTAATATGCTCACTTCCAGATGAAAACTTATTTGTCTGTTGGCTCATTAATATCAGTACTAAAGATTTTAAATTTATTTCGGGAAAGTATTGGTTGTATTAAACTATTATAATACTTTAAGTACTATTGTTCAATTTAATTAAAAGTGTCAAAATTTAACTTGTAGCGCTAAATATATATTATTAAAAATCTCCTATTTATATACAAGCACTATCCCATAATTTTCATTTAGAACTTGAATTTGATATATAGAAGTAATAAGTAAAGTTTTATATCTCTCAGAGTATTATAAAATAACTCTAATAATTAGAATAGGTGTTAAGACAAATAAATATTTATTCAGAACTTGTCTAACCAATTAGCTAAAATGGTACGGTTCTTTATAGAAGAAGTTGAGGTTTTTTTCCCTTATGATTATGTATATCCTGAACAGTTGGAATATATGAAGTACTTAAAGCAAATTTTGGATGCCCATAGTCATGGAGTTTTGGAAATGCCAACTGGGACAGGAAAAACAGTTACTCTATTTTCCTTTATAACATCATATCAGTTAGCTCATCCAAATTTGGGAAGACTAATTTATTGCACTCGTACTGTAGCAGAAATGGAGAAGGCACTTTTAGAGCTAAAAACTGTAATAAATTATAGGATAAAGGAGTTACAAAAAGATAAGTTGGCACTTCAAGAAACTAATAATATAAATATTTCTACTAGCGAGAATCAAATACTAAACGGTTCTATTTTAGCTATAGGTATGAGTGCTAGAAGGAATTTATGCATAAATTCTTCTGTTATTAGCAATAGCGATAGAGATAAAATAGATGCAATGTGTCGATCAATGACTGCTCCTTGGGTTCGTGCAAAAAAATCTTCTACAAGGCTTGATAATGATAAATCTGGAACCCAAGTTATAGATCAAAGTAGTCTCCAAGATATAGAAGATATTATTCAAGGTAACTGTACCGATTTATGTCCATATTATGAAATATTCGATAAAATATGGAGCAGTGATACTATTCCTATTGGAGTATATACAATAGATGAATTGAGAAGGTTTGGAAAAGAGTGGGAGCATCCAACTCTGAAAAAGAATACACCATTTTGCCCATATTATTCTACTAAACGTCTGATTCAAGTAGCAAAAGTAGTTGTATTAAATTATCAATATACTTTAGACCCGAAAGTAGCTCAGGCTTCCTTATTAGGTGGGACTGTCTCTCAAGGATTCAGTCATGGATCTAATATAAATGGTAAACAAGCAGGAAGCTCATATGCAGCAGCTCTAGATCCAGAATTATTGGGAAGCAAAGAACCGAGTATAGTTGTATTTGATGAAGCTCACAATATAGATAATATTTGTACAGAAGCTTTATCTGTCAATATAAATAGGCAGGTACTAGATGGGGCTTCTAGAAATTTGAAGAGTCTTAAAAATGAAATAAATAAATTGACTGAGATAGATGAGAAGAGGTTACAAGAAGAATATAATAGACTTGTCAGAGGACTTAAATCTACTGGTCAAATTGAAGATGATTTGGTTTTAGAGGAGTTACAAAGATTTCCAGTGTTACCTGCAGAAGTTGAGAAGCTTAAAAAAGAATTGATACCTGGCTCTATTAGAAAAGCAGAACACTTTCTTCTTATCATGAAAAAAATAACTTTATATCTTCAGAATTATATCCGTGTTTTTACTCCAAAAATTGAGGGTCCACTAACATTTCTTAATCACTTGGAGTCTTCTTGTATGATAGATGTAAATATAATTCGATTTTGTGATGAAAGATTAAGGTCTTTAATGAATACTTTACAAATAATTGATATGGATCAATATTCGCCTATTGAATTAGTATGCACATTCTGTACTATTCTTGGAACATATTCTAAAGGATTTGTTATCATTGTTGATCCATATCCTGAAGTTACTGGCTTATATGATCCTATTATACAACTGAGCTGCCTAGATTCTTCTATTGCAATGAAACCTATTTTAGATAGATATCAAAGTATAGTACTTACATCTGGTACACTATCACCTTTAGATCTATATCCAAAATTACTAGGCTTTGATCCAGTTGTAAGCGAAAGTTTGTCTATGACATTAGATAGAACCTGTATCTGCCCAATGATTGTAACAAGAGGTTCAGATCAGGTGCCATTATCTTCACGTTATGAATCTCGTGAAGATTCTATAATACAACAAAATTATGGAAAATTAGTTTTAGAGATATCTAAAAAAGTACCAGATGGGATTGTATGCTTTTTTCCTTCATATTTGTATATGGAACAAGTTCTAGGACAGTGGTATGAATCTGGAATACTTGCTCAAATAATGGAACATAAATTAGTATTTGTAGAAACAAAAGATATTGTGTCAACAACTTTAGCCTTACATCACTTTAGAAAGGCATGTGATATTGGGAGAGGTGGTATATTTTTCTCTATTGCTAGGGGTAAGGTTGCAGAAGGTATAGATTTTGATAGACACTATGGAAGATGTGTCATATTAGTAGGTATCCCTTATCAATATACTCTTTCACGTATATTGCAATCAAGATTAAGTTTTCTGAAAGAAAACTACAATATAGAAGAAAATGAATTTCTAACATTTGATGCTATGAGACAAGCTTCACAATGTGTAGGACGAATTATAAGATCCAAAGCAGATTATGGTCTTATGATTTTAGCAGATCAAAGGTATAGCAAAAAAGATAAGAGAGAAAAATTACCTCCTTGGATCCTAAAATATTTGAAACAAGAGTACTGTTCATTATCAACTGATATGGCAGTCAATATTGCTTTAAGTTTCCTTAAACAAATGTCTCAACCATATAAAAAACAGCTTTCAATGGCTGAAATTAACCAAAGAAAAATATAAGTAAAAATAATTTATAACTTTAAGGAATTAAAAATGATATAAAACATAGGCAAACAAACTTTGTCAATTAATTTTGCTTCATTATAACCACCTCTTCATTGCTTATCTGATTAGTTTCTGTAAACCTGTAAACTATACAGAAATCTTCTAAGTTTTTATTTAAAACTATTTAGAATTGTTAACACCTTCAAAGTATTGGATCTAAATTTAAGAACTTCCATTTGAATATCAATTAAAATTTCTGAAGTTAAAAAAATATTTCATGACTCTTTGAATAATTTAATCCAGAAATACTTATTACGAATCACTTTATCTTTTATCTCTACTTTTTTTTTATATAAAGATCTTATTTTATATAATATCTTTATAAAATAAGATGAATTTTGTTGCTGACTAGATACTGATATTAAATCCTAATATTACCAACTTTTATAGTTCCATATAATTTGCTCCAAGTAATTTACTTTAACTTTTACAATACAAATAGTCTGGATACTTCGTAAAATTCCATTAAAAACTTTAAAATATGCACTTTAAAGTTTTTAATAACTTTCTAATTTAATAATTTAAATAATATCAATAAACTAAATAATCATCCACCTCACCAATCTAAAATAATAAATATCTAAATCTTATTATTATCCCCAAGTAATCAAACCATTATTAAATATTTAATTATTTCATTTATTAACCTTGTACAACTTTTTTATATATATAGAATAAAAAAAAATCAATTCCTAATTATTCTAATAGCTAGTTTAAAATAAGCTTACTATATACCTTCTAAAAAGATATCTTATACCTAATGTCATGTATCAATCAAATAAAATAATCTGGAATTGATAATTGATTTTCATGTCCAGGTACAAGCTTTTCAGGAGCGTGATCAAATTGCAAAAACCTAAAGTTTCCAATTTCATCAATCTTTAAAATAGCAGCTTGATTACCACAGCGATAGCAGTAGTTTGGAGCTGAAAATACAGTAACAACATTTTTGTTGTGCGACCATTGATAACCATCAAGAATTAATTGATGTGCTCTACAAATCAATTGTAAGCTATTAGTATGGTTAAACATTTCACTAACATCTTCTCCAAATGTATATCCAGCACCTCTATGAGATATACCCCAACCAAATCTATCATCAGGATCTGACCATAATAAATCACACATTGGACCTTCATGAGGAACTTCTTGAAATCTATCCAAATTCTTAATAGAATCTAGTGTTGGTAAACTTGGAGATAAACCTGCATGAGGGCAAAATATTTTATTGTCTATTAATGCAGATAAAGGAAGAAAATCAAATAAGTCAGTAAAGTACCTCCAAACATTTGGATTACCATATTTCCTTAAACACTCATCATAAAAACCATAAACTTGAGTAATTTGACGACTTTCATGATTACCACGAATCAAAAATACTCGATTTTTATATCTGACCTTTAATGCTACTATTAATGTTACAGATTCCACTGAGTAATATCCACGATCTACATAGTCACCAAGAAATAAAAAATTCACTTCAGGAGGTATACCACCTATTCGAAATAACTCCTTTAAATCAAAAAATTGTCCATGAATATCTCCTACAATTGTAACCGGTAAATTTATATTCTGTATATTATGTTCCTCTTCTAGAATACTCCTAGCCATATTACATAATTGTTTAACATCACTTTCTGGTAGAAATCTACATTCTAATAATGTAGAAATTTCTCTATCTAGTTTCACAATGTCCATATAATGGTCTAACATACTTTTCGTCATTCTATTATAGATATTCAATTACTTAGCAAGTAATCTTGGATTTCCTAAGTTCAACAAATTTCTGATCTTGTTTTATTTCCAAAAATGAACTTTCATGCAAATATATTTTACTTCTATCCAAATTAAATGGAAAGTTTCAGTCTCTATTTTATTAAATAACATTCAACTACTTTATATTAAACTATCCAAAATTTAGTATTATACAATATTTCGGAATACTTAGCGCTTGCTAAGATTTTTTCTTCTTTTTTTACTAGAGTCTTTAACCAAGTATTAATTTAAGTAATATATATATATATTAAATAATATATATAATGATTAATTTTGGAATATCCAATTAAGGTAAACTTATATATTCATTTTATATAATAATATTTATAATAAAATAACTCTAATCAATGTTGGGACATGGTCTTATTAATATATATAATATTATATTATACTCCTTATTTATCATCTAATTTTAATGAATTATTTTGAATACTTGCAATTCTACTAGAAATACATGGTCTCCAAAAACTAATAGGATGTATATTTGGATTTTTAATGAAACTATCTGAATTTCTCAGAGGTTTGGAAGATGTTACTAAATATTCCTTTAATCCTGGTTCTAAGAAACTTCTAAGTGAATTACTAACTGGAAATATATTCATATCATTATTAAGATGTAATTTTGCTCCAAGATAATTCCTCATATATATATTGGATTCATTTAATGTATGATAATGTATGACTTGTTCATTATTAATACACTCATTCTTTGTTAATTTGTCTAACTTTCCAAAATCAAAATCATTCCAATCTTCAAAGAATGGATATATAAAATATGCAAATTCCTTAATAGTAATCATTACATCACTAGTATTGTCAGTTTGACTCGTTTTCAACTCCCCATATAGATTTAAATTATTAAGATTATTACTTTTATATGTCTCTATAAGACTTTTTACTCGTTTTATTGCATTTTTAAATATAGCAATATTATTAATACTTCTTGAATCTACTTTTAGAATATATCTAAATGGATCCTTTATAATATCTTCTATCAAATCTTCAACTATTTTTAATGGTATATATCCTTTACTATAATGATCTAATATAGAAAAATATCTATATATTTTATTTAATACTTTTGTTTCGCTTATATTAAAATAATCATAATAAGTTTCTTCTTCAGTTCTTTTCCTATCTGACTTTAGTAGATATTTCCAAGCTATGGATTTTCCTTCATCAGCAATATCTTCAAATCTCGCTATATACCAATAATAATTATCCATTACTTTTATTATTCCTAATTTTTATAATTTTATTCTTGGAATCTTGTGAAATGCATGCAACGGTACTTATATTTGCATTCTAATAAAAAGATTTACATTTACCGCCAAACAGGGGGTACTAATACCGTTTTATGAAGAAATGTAAAAATAAATATTTGGAATATTATGAAAATAAATATCAATATATACATTCCATTATAATGAAGTAATATAGGAGATAAAAAGGATAATAAGATAATACACCACCATTTCTACATAACTCCCTTCTATCTTTTTTAATAACATTTCAAAAATTGACTAATGAAATAGATAAGAGGGAATTCTAATCTTATTTAATAGATATCATTAAACTAGAAAATACTTAAAGATGAATATTTAGATAAGAAAAATAAAGTGACGTCACTATTATTTAACAAATATACTCTAAATTGTAATGAATGCCTATAAAAAAAAATATTAGTTTACCACTTTTATAGGTAATATTCATATTACCAATCTAATATTAAATTCAAATTTAAGCCAATATTACTTTTGCATATTAATTAGTACGTAAATCTTTTGTGCAGTTTTATTAAAACTATGATCAATGAAGGTTCAATAATATAATTCTTTGACTTTGATTATTTTTATTTATTATTAACTAAGTAAGAACCTCATTCATCTTCTTCTTCCTCTTCTTCTTCCTCTTCTTCTTCCTCCTCTTCTTCTTCTTCCTCTTCTTCTTCCTCTTCTTCTTCCTCTTCTTCCTCTTCTTCCTCATTATCTTCTACCTCATCAAATTCTTGTTCTTCATCATCATCATCATCCCCTTCATCATCACCACCTTCATCATCTTCATCTTCATAATCCTCTTCTTCTTCAGGTAGACCATCAAAGTTATCATCATCTTGGTGTGAATGTTTCTTATTTGTTATCTCTACTTCACTATTCTCAGAATCTGCATTTTCATTTTCTATATCTCGTTTTCTTTTATCTCCTGCCATTTTCTAATTTGTTCTTATGTAATCTTATAAACAAAGGTAATATTAAAAAAATTTAATTATAATAGCTTAAATTTAAAAATTTACTGGCATTTATTTTACCACTATGTATTATTAAACAAATACTTGATAGACCAATATTCTAAGCTATATAAATATTAAGAATTCCTGTATACTATTACTATAGGTCTCACTACAGGTCAGTATAGTAATAGTATTAATATATACCGCCATAATAATATACCTCTATAAAGCGGGAATAATCCCAATATTAACTAAATCTTTAAAAGTTAGTAATTTAGGATATATTGAGTTATATTTTATTTAATATTAAATATATTGAGATAAATTATATAAGATTGATTATATGTGATATATAATTTCTTTTTAGATAAATAATAAAGTAACTAGAAATAGTCGTTTTTTAATTTTTTAAAGAAGTGATGAATTTAAATTTTGATTTTCTTCTTTATAAGTTATAAACTCATAATATTTCTTTAATTAATATTATAAAGTAAATAAGATAATCTTATAAGAAACTAATATACTCAATAGTAGTTATAGCTTTCCTATAAATATTGTCATTTAGAGGCGCTATTCTTAGGCTTATATATGTTATATTCTTGTATTTATAAATAAATTGTACTTTTTTTTTTAAGATTTTAATTTTAGGATTTATAACTTTAAATAATGCATGGACGTAAAAGTGTAAGTTGAAATATTGTATATCATTTTGTGTGAATTATTTTTACTATTATATATGTAATGTATCACTTGTAACAAATTTTGTATTAATTAGACTTTATCATCTGGATTTGGAAATGATAATGTAAATATTGAAACTTCTAAAAATATTGATAACGCAGTAAATACTAACTTAAGTAAAGATAGTTTAAAATTAGGGCTTAATGATATAAATAACCAACCTACATATATAAACTCTAATGGATATATACAAACAATTAGCCAGAATCCAATTTATTTTCCAACAATGAATGAAGAAATAGCTCAATATATATATAAGACAGAGAATAAAATAGATAATAATTCAAATATGATAAATAAGAATGAAAACTTGAATAATAAAACAAATAATATTAGTTTTCCACAAACACATGTATTTAATCAATATCCTACTCAAGGTACTAATATAATAAATAATCCTACTACAAGAAGAGACTATACAATAATGGATATGCCAGCTATAAATTTTAATTCACAAATATTAGCCCCTAAAGTATTGTTGCAGAATGGGAGAAATATTACTCCAAGAAGATCCGTAACTGGATCAATAGGTTCTTTAGGAGTAAATATAAATTCAAATATAAATGATGGTATTAATTTATCTGGCACAGAGATGATATCTAATCAATTAAAGAATCAGAATCATAGTTCATATAATAATTCTATTTCTTGTATTAATCCTGTTGAAAATAGTGGAATATTTAACAATACTCCATTTAATAGTATACATACTCATTCTAATCCACCTCAAAATGCTATTTCATCACAATCAGCATTTCCTATTGATATAAGTTTAGATTCTTCGTTAACATCACAAAAATCTATGATATTATCAGATGATAAGTCATATAATCAATTACAAAATACATCAATTGATAGTATACTCCCTAATAAATATATAAACCCCAAGTTTCAAACTATTAATGCTCAATCTTGTATATTTAATAGTAATCAATCAACAAATTACAATATTTCAACTCCTTTTGGGCATAATATGCAACAACATACAACATGGCAACTTCAATATATGAATTCAATTCCTTTGTTAGCTCAGATTCAAATAGAAACTATTCATGATATACCTAATTCAAATCAAACATTAGGCTTGTATAATTCTGCATCACATATGTTTGATTATTCAATTGTAGCAAGTTTTAATGGATATGATGATAAGAATGAGACATTTAAAATTGGTCCTTTTCCAAAAGTTGATTTACAAAATTCTAAATATTTATCTTGCATTATACATGATGAAATAAATATTCCATTTTCATGGGATCAACCTACGCTTAAATTGAAAGTTATTGAAGAGAATGAATTTAAAGCAGATGTTATTGGATATGTGACTATTAATATTGATCCAACAAATATTGGAATATTAAATCAATTGCAATTAATTGATCCACATACTAATCATTACAAGGGTACAATATGTTTTTTTATTAAAATAGTACCTAATAAGTCAAATCCAAACTTTAGATATGATCAATTACATGGTCCAAATTCTATATTGAATAAAAAGAAATACCAAGAAACTTCAGTTCTTAATATATTTAGGGGATTCTGCTGTGCAGAGTAATTATTAAAATTATTCATCTATAACTTGTTTTTTTTTTTTTAACAAGATTAAAGTACTATAGAAGACTTCTTTGTATCACAAATATTACTGTAAATTCAAGAATAAAAATGAATAAAATTTATTTAACTATAAGCACACAATAAGTTAAATTAAGCAATAATATATTTAATATAATTAGGTTATAGATTATATTTATAAAAATGAGATCTATAAATTATGCCTAAGTAAGCATAAATCTGGTTGTATTATCGTCTCAGTTTTAGGTATCCGCCTATGCGTGGTAGTATACCAGAGGTATCAATTATCAGATAAGTAAATTGTAAAATATTAAGACAATTTATATTATTAAAAACTAACTAATATTAATAGTTGTTTATTAAAAATGATAAAGATAAGAGTTTTATGTCTAATCTTTTTGTTTGTGATAATAATTAATATCAAGCTTATAATATTTTGTGGGTGTTCAACGGTAATAAATGACTTTAAAAAACGAGTAATAAGAAGTGAAGATGATTGGGAATTAATTTTAAAGTATTTGGGTATTCCTTGGCAATCTTCAGATGTTGTTGTGCTTAATAATACAGTATCCTGTAGAAATTTGGGTTCAATTAATAAGTGTCATGAAACTACAGATAGTGATTTAGATAGTAAATGGAAGTATAATAATAGCATATTAGAGAAACAAAGTTTAACTACTGAATCTAAGGACAGTGATTTTCTCAATTCTTTAAATGAAAATCCTTCCAATACTGATAATCTTAGTTATAAATTTAATATAAATAACTCGGATGAAACCTCAGTAGATGGAGTTTTTGAATATCGTAGATTGGATATTCCATATTTTTTACATTATAAATCTAAAATGATAGCTTTACAGAATTGTCAGAGTGGTATGACAGTATTAATTAAAAAGACAAGAACTATGATTAAAACGGATATTTCCTTGTATATTCCGATTGGATATAGTCTTGATTCTAATAACTATGAAGGATTAGTATATTTAATGAATATAATAAGTTTAAATTTAAGTGGTAAGAATTCAATTTATAAGGAATCTCATGAATATATTGAAACATCTCAGAGTACAACAGTTCCAAATATTTCTGTATCTGAAACATTTTCCAAGATAACTCTATCTATACCAGATAACATTGTAAAATCTAAGTTAATTAATTTTTTATCTTCGGTAGGATATTATCCATCATATTCTTATGTAGAATCTAATATTAGGAATGATGACAATAATTCAGAAAAATTACTTGACAGTTTACACGGTTTTAATAATGAAGTCCTATTATCGTCATTGTGTAAACTTCATTATATATATAACTCCTGTCTAAGGAATAGTGAATATCGTAAAGAATATATATTAACTATGGATGGAAGATTGGATGGTAAATTAAATGATTATAGATGCAATATATTATCTTTTTCATGGCAAAAAATCATTTTATCTTTGCCAGCTAATGGTTGTAATAACATAAAAGAAGTTTTACAATTTGGTTACTTATCTCCTGATATAATTACTGAATTGAATGAATTATCAAAATTAATTCAAAGTTATTTTAATAAATATTGGAAATCTCATCAAATGGTACTAGTAATAGATACATCTATTGAAACTGATATTATTGAGAGCTGGTTAGCACCTATATTTATTACTTCAAATAGTAGTTGTAGTAAAGGATATCCCAAAAATATGAAAAAGATTTTTGACTCAATTGTAGACTTACCAAATTTTCAAGAGTTATATAAAAACTCTTTAGAAGATTCCAAAGATACAAAAAGAAACTTAGAAATAAATTTTAATAATGAATTAAATGGAGAATTAAGTGAAAAAATAGATAATATATTAGGAATATCTTTTGAAAATTCACTTAATGAGACATATTTATTAAAGTATATAGATAATGAAGAAGTTTTAAGTAATTTTGAAGTGTTACCTAATGAACAAATAAGATTAGATAATAAATCTACTAAAAGTAATGAAATTTTAAATATTAACTGTAAGAAATGTGATTCATTTGTTAATAAATATTTAAAAAGTACAGATGAGTTATATTTAAACAAGGAAAAGTTTCAAGATATAGACCCTAGTGATTTTATAAAGGATAAATTGGAAGTATCTCAAGAATTAAATAGTTCTTTAGAAAATAACTTATATATTAAAGCAGAAAAATTAGATAAAAATATGAATATAGAAGAAAGTATGTTATTAGAAGATATTTCAATTGGTAGATTGGGAAATTCTCTAAGTACAGATTATGAAGATCATATATCAAATGACAATAATGTTTACTTTATAGAATCTAATTATGAAGATCTGAATAAGTCAAGCATATCACATATAGTATTGGAAAATTCAAATTATACTGTTGCAAGTGAGGAAGGTAAAGTATATCAGATAGTCCCATTAATATATTTACAAAATACTCTTGATATTGAATATAAAATATATTTACCTAATATAATGTCAGTATTCTTTATTCAATTCACAAAAGTAATGGATGTATTCACTGAATTATACAAATGTTCATCTTTTTTTAAATATCTTAGAAATTCAAAATACCAAATTCAAGATATTCGAATTATTTGGAGTATAAATTCACTAAATAAAATATTAAAGATAATATTTAAATTTGATCTGGGTAAATTATATGATGAAAATAGAGTATCTTATATTAATTCAATATTAGTATCATTTAGTAAATTCTTGTTAAAAGCCATATTAAATAAGGGCTCAGAAGAAAATAATAGAATTTTAATAATATACGATGAAATTCAACGTTTATACGAAGGAACATGGTTACTATTAGGGTTAAGCGAATTAAATAATTTAATATTATCTTCACCAGTTAATATATGTGGATTATTCTCATCCAATTGGTTCAGTTCTAATATTTATGAAGGTGAAAATGAAATAAGATACTTTAACTTTTTCTTAGTTATACTTTATCCAGATCTTATATTACAATATATGTATCGTGCTTCTAAAAGGTTTCTAAACTCAACCCCTGATAAAATAAATAATTTTCATTGTAAAGATGCAAACAGATCTTTTGATGTAATTTCAGATAGGTGGCCTAAATATAGAGATGATTGTGATTTTACAAGAAAATCAAATCAAAATGAGAATTCATTTACAGAAAATGAATATTTTTATTTAAAGAAGTCAAATAATTGGGATGAAATAGGTGAATTACCTTATTATTTGCTGATATTCATACTTGAAAATATTATTAATCTTAATGCTACAATTATTATTACAGACTCATTTTTTAGATACAAAACAGAAAAAGTTATAGATATTAAGTCACTTCAATATCATGAATATATGAAATTGCAATATTCGGTTCTTCCAAGTAATGACTTTTTTAAAAACCCCATAACAGACATTTCATATAATTGGAAATTACCTTTACCAATAGGGGAATTTGAATTAAAGCTTCATATCCCAAGGATATATAATTCCAGAGATACAGGTTTAATAAAAAAGTGTGAAATAAAATCAAAAGATATACCAAAAATTGTTTTTAAAGATAAAAGAGGAGTTATAATACACTATAAAGGAGAAGAATTTAATTCTCCACTAGTATTTATACAATCTGCATTAAGGACAAAATTAGACATGTGTGAAATAATGGAATTAGAAGAAAACTGTGAAAAAAGTGTTCATCAGACTTATTTTAATAGTATCATTGCAGGCATATTTATCTTTTTATTTAATAAATCTATTTCTCATTTTTGGAATGATGGATTAATGTTTAATTTATCAAGAATGCAGCAGATTATATATAATTTATTAAATGGAATGAGATATAAAGAAAGAGATAATATTTGGAGAGATTCAAAAGGTTTTTCTGTTCCATTTCACTATGGTACTTTATTTATAACTAAATATTCAATAGAATTTATTTTTATAGGGCTAAAAAACTCTTTATTAAAGTATATGGTAGAAATGATAAATTTATTAAGAGATAATTTTAATCCATTATCAAAACCATTATTTTTTGATATTATAAAATTTATTTATAATACAAGAATACAGGTACGAAATAATCGTAATCCTTTAGATATAATTAGATATTATCAAGGTTTACTACAATATGATGTATTTGAAGATAATATTTTTCTTGAAATATTGTCATCAATAAAATATGAGCACTATATAAATTTTCATTTTTATATACTTAATAAGTTATTTAAAACTGATTTTGATGAAGTTTTTGATTCTAATCAAGTAAATATTATAGAGGAAAAAGACCAGGTTAACTCATTTAGACAAGGATCAGAAGAAGTTATTAATGACAAAGTAAACAAAAGATTTATAGATAATTTCACACAGTTATATGAAGATGAATTAAAGGGAAAATCCATACATGACACTATATATGAACTAAATAATACAACTCTGGAGTTTACTATAAATAAATTCTATAATGAAACTTATTATAATAAAATTCACACTTCACAAAATATAGATAATAAACTGAACAAAAACTATAGTAATATATCAAATTATAACATAAATTCAAATTTAAATCATTATTTGAGTTATAGATTTAAAAAACAAGTAGGATTTATTGAAACAATCGTACTAGGAGATATAAATCAAACATATATTCAAGATATTAATTATATTCTACATAATAAAACATTTAGTTATAAAACTCCAAATTCTTATATAAACGATATTTGTATTTTACAAGAACAGTATTATGCAATACCAACTAATATGGAACCTATAATTACAAGACAAGGAAGTTTCAATTATATTGTAGCTACTAGCAGTGTTGCAATTAGATTCCAATTACCCTGCTTAAATACATATGGAAGAGAAATTGATACTTCAATGAATCTACCTACTGACGTAGATATGACCAATGAATATTGGGATACAAATAATGGAATTAATCCACGTTGTACTTATACTGCAGTTGTATCCAGGATATTAGAACGTATATTAAATAAGCACTTTCAATATTTAATAGATAAAGTTCAGGATGGGATGATCCATGGAATTAATATGAATAAAAAGAGCACTGATAGCATTATTCATGAAAAGAAAGGGAGCTATATTAAGGCATATGTTGAAACATCATTTCAAAAACTTAATAGCATTCCACAATTTACTTTCTATCTTCTATCTTCTAATTTTGACAGTTTTACTCTATTAACTATCTTAAAAAAGGCTTTGGAACTAATTAAAACGGAAATTCTTCAAAACCCAAAGAAATTTTACAGTGCATCAAATTTGGAAAAAGAGAAACGTGCATTATTAAGTCTTTATTGTGAATCTAATTATTCTCAATTGACTATGTTTGTATTTTTATCACGAGAGATGTCAAAATGGCGATATGACTTTACATGGAAAGAAAAAGCTTGTAATATTATAAGACAATTAAGAAGACGTCATATTATTCAATTTTACAGTGACTACTTTACTGATAATTCTGAATATAAAAGATCATCAATACTTTTGATACAGGCTCCACCTCTTAAACAGCTATTTGAGAGTTTTAAAAAAAGAAAGATACCTAAAGTAGATTCACCACTTCATAATTTCATATTACGACTACTTACAAAACAAGGTATAAAAAGACCACTATGTCACATAAGAAATGTTGTAGCTAATATTAGATCAATAAATGAGCTCTCTCATCCAAAAGAGCTTATTACAGATAAAGATCTTGCATTCTTTAAATATAATTATCTTAATAAATATGGTCCAAGATGTCCTAAATTTATAGTCAACTCCAAAGTACAATTATATACTGATAATAATAATAATTAATTTTCTAAATTTTTAAAAATAAATTTTTAATTTCTTAGGAACATTAATATTAAATCTCTTTCTTTTTATATAGATGCATGCAACATGTAGCGCTATGTGGATCATTTGGCGGTTAATTAAAATTAAGGTAATTGGAGAAGACGTCAAGATTTAGCTTTGAAGTGTCTTTTGCGGCATAACTAATAATAACGTAATATAATAAATAAGGCTAAGTTAACTAGTGAATAAATTTAAGGCGGGATTGGGGTAGAATACTTTTAAATAGTATGAATATATTGAAAGATTTAACAAATCAGCGCTAAGTCTATATTAGAAGTTGATAAACAGACTATACTTGTATTTTAAGCGTCAGGGCTTGGATGTCTACGAAGTAATCCTCCCGGTAAATTACTTATCTAGCTAATTAGCTGAAAAGGGCAAATTTGAATTGGGATTTTGGAATAAAAAAAAAATGAGATTAATTTGATCTTAATGACTGAAGATAGGATCACTTGGAGCATGAATGTTAATGAATTTAATTGGAAGGGAAATGACTTAGTGTCAGACTTTTCATTACCATATTCTAATCAATTAGATAGAAATATTATTGATAATTCGACAACACAATCAATATACAATCGTAGTAATAGTTTTCCAATGGGATCAGGGACTGTTAATGAGGAGAGCTACTTTGTAGACTTCAGTAAGTTTACAAATTCTATGGGAACGAGTATATCATCCGTATCAGAATCTTCACCACTCAATTATGATGTATTTGCCCCAAGTGAATACGATTATCTTATGAATTTGACAAATAGTGGATTAGATAAACCTATTGGTGATATTTCAAAATTTCAGAGATCTTCCACTTTAGACTTATCATGTTTTAATTTTGAATATGCATATAAACATACTAAAAATACTTCAATGGTAGATAATACAGTCACAAAACAGAGATTAAGTGATTATTCTGGGGATGGTTTTGGATTCGGTATGCAAAACTTTAATAATAGCAAACGTAATAAAACTAACTCTAAATTTGTACAATATCACAATACTCAAAAAGTTGATAATAGTTTCACTCCAGTTAAGCTATTTGTTAATAGAGTTCCTAAATGGATGAGGAATGAGGACTTAATGAAGATATTTAGCAAATATGGAGTTGTTGTTGAATGTAATATAATAAGAGATTCAAATGGACCGAAAGGTTGTGCATTTGTTCGTTTTGCTACAATTGTTGAAGCCCAAAATGCTATTTTATGTATTCATGGTAAGACTGTGTTAAATGAAGAAGCTGGGCCAATTCAAGTAAAGTATGCTGATGGGGAAATTGAACGTTTAGGACTATCACCTGATGTTCAGCCATGTGGTGAATCAGTGAAAGTATTTGTTGGTTGTCTACCTAAAACTTGTACGGAAGCGGAGTTATTGACATTATTTAGGAGATTTGGACATGTTGATGAAGTTCATATTATTAGAGATGATAATAGACAAAGTAAATGCTCTGCATTTGTTACATTTCCAAAACGTTACATGGCTGAAAATGCTATTGTATTTCTAGATAAGAAGTACATATTAGATAATGGCAAGAGACCAATTGAGGTTAGATTGGCAAGGAGTCGTTCTAAGCAAAAACAGTTGAGTAGTAATCATAATAATGTACGTCGTACAAATGAACCAAAATTGACAAATACTAATCCAAATAATAATACTAATAGTTATAATATTCTAAATAATAGTGGAAATTATAGTAATGCAAGTGGTAGAATGCAGAATATGGACAATTACCAATTTACAAGTCAATTGAATTATCAGCATAATATAGATTTTATGCTTGATAATACTATTAATGAAGTTGGTGCTCAGTTGGAAGATAATCCTCAATCAAGTAACTTTATTACATCTGTGAACAATTCACTTTATAATGATGATAATGGTAATAATAGTAATAATCAGGTCAAAACGAAAAATACAAATGATGGTGTTCCACAATTTGTCCCACCAACATTTCTTGATTTTTGGAACAAGCCAATTGTTCAAGTCTAAGGTGTATTTAAATTTAACAGGGTTATGTGATTGGAAATATTAGATGGATATATATATATATTCTTCTTTCGTACTTATTCAAGCTTCTTGAAGAGAAATAAAAGTTGTGGTATATATCTCCATCTTATAAATATATAATTTCCAATGTAAATTGCAAATTTCAATAATCTATTTAATATCAAATTCCTAAATGGGAATTGTCTTTTGGCATCTACACTTTAATTTTAAATAATAAAGTCCGGAGTACTACTTATTTGTCTGTTTTGCCATAGTATGTTGAGGTTTTTGTGGATTATTTATTTACTATGGGACTATAGGAATTGTCTTGTGTGTGAATGAGGTCAATACTTTTACTCTTCAAAAAGTGAGTATTGCAATTAATAAATTATCTCAGCTGTATTTAAACCAAATATTCTCAATATAATTTGAAATAATGAAGATAATCAGTTTCTACAACTATCCACTTCCTAATATAAAACCTTTGCGTTTATTTAGTATTTAACTCACTAATTTTGTGTCTTCCATATCAGATGTCCACTTTAAAAAGAGACCGAGGAATTTCTTAATTTTCTCTATGTCATTCATATTTCTTGAAATTTTTGTAATGTGACTAACACAAGTCTTATTATTCGTCACTTTCATAATTATCTTCTTATCTTTAGATTTAGTAAATCTTACAACTAGTCGAGCCTGAAATATTAAGATATTTAATTATAAGTTTTCAATGAAATCTTTAATATACTATAAATATCAATTTTTGCTGGAGATAATCATATAATAAACAACTATGATAATTAATAAATTGGAGATATTAATATTATACTAAAGTATTCTTCATCTTATCATTTAGTGAGTTAAAAGTAGTGTTGTAGTTTTATCTTTGTATTTTAAAAGCCTTATCGTGTAAATAATATTAATAAGATATTACTCCAAGTATATAAATAGATCTATATATATCTAACTTCGATTATAATATTATCAATAAATTATTTAGATAATATTAAATAATTAATAAAGATAAGAGAAATATCTCATTATTGCCAATAAAACTATTAATATTCAACTTACTTGTATGGGATTACTTAAATATAAAGATTTACTAGCCACTATAAATTCATTAAAATTCTCCAATAAAACCATAGTGTAAAACTAAAAGATAAAATTTATTATAATATAATTGATATATTTCTTAAACTTCGTTTTAATAAAAGAGGGGTATCAGAAAATTGGCGCACGCGCCAACAAATTTTTATTTAATATCGTAGGTACTTTTAATTTAAATAATTTTTTTAAAAAAAATTTTATTGAATATATTTTTACATAAATTCAATATTATATAATTTTTTAGGACACAAATTATGATTTTAAATATAATAATTAGCTAATAATTAAATAATACCTTCTTATTTTTATTATTAAGCGGCTAAACTACCATGTAATGTACCTAGTTTAATAGTTCTTGTTTTTCTAGTGTTACTCACATTTATATTTAAGCATTGATGCTTATTTTTAATCTTATTATATTTATATGTTTAGCTAATTATATATTAGCAGATATTTTATTAGCTCCATTTAATAATTCTCAGGGTAAAATTCCTTTATCATTACAAGACAAAGAGTTATATATAAGATTCTGGGAATATTATGAGGATGAAAAAAATTATGATAATGAAGATGTCTGTTTAATTATTGGACACAAATTACAATGTAATGTTAAAATTTGTAATAATATACATTATAATAATTATATGAAAGTATGTAATTCGTCATTTGGATTAGAACCAATATTAAATATAAGTATCCCATCTTTTATTAACAAATATAATGGTATTCCTAGAGTTTTTACTATCGATAAAGAAAAAATTTCTTTATTTAATTCTATACATAAAAATTTAACTATTTGTAGATGCCCAATAATATCAAATATAAATGAAATAAGTCCACCTATAAGTAAACCTAGTAATGGATGGGAATTAAACATAGATGAGACTAGTGATGATTTATTTATTCCAAAAATTGGAATTGAAAATAGATTTATTGTTGATACAAGGGTATTAGTAGATCCTGGATGGAATTTAGAATTTACTTTGGAAGGATCTAAGAAGCAAGGCTTCACATTACATTCTCTTGTATCTTTAAAAAAAGATCCGAATTGTCTTGGATTTCCAGAATATAATTCATTATATATAATGACACCTATTCAAATAATGGATTATATTAATGTTGATCATTTAATATTTTTATTTAAGTAAGATTTATTTTATTATAATTTGTTATATTATAATATTTAATTGATATTTTAGATGGGAAGTAAAGAGACTTAATGATTCAAATATATTTGACTATATATTTCCAGTTAATCCAAATAGTACTACTCATTATTATCTTTGTTATTACAAGCATTATAATAATTTTATTGGACAAAAAGTTGGAACTGTATATTTCCGTTTGGGTATGTTTAGAGATATTAATTATAACAATATTAATCAAATGTAAATTTGGACTTTTTTCTTCCTAGATCCAATAGATTCTGCAAGATCACTTTCACTTGTTATATTTCTTATAATTTGCCTACCAATTATTTGTGTTGGATTATTTATCTGCATTAATACAAAACATAAAACTAATAGAGAACAACTACAAAGATTAATTATATGGAAACATAGGGAACAGGTATGAGACAACAATATTATATACTATTAAAAAGAATAATTAAATATATATAAAAATTATTTTATAATATTTTTTTTAATTTTTAGATCCAAAACCAACTGATGACATTGTCACTAGAATGAATTGGCGCTCTGTTTCGACTATGTCACTTAAGTATATTGTCAATATTATTTACCGCTCTACTGTAAACACCTATTCTATAATTATAATCTTTCTATAATATTTTCTATTATAATATTTATATATGTTCAATAGTGACTTTTTCCCCTCTTTAAGAAATATCACATTTAAATTATATATCTTGATGGATTGTTATTTATATATAAGGGATTATTTCGGCAAAAATAGACTTAAACTCTAAATATATTGATTTTGGAAGATATGACTATTTTACAAGGTCAATATTTCTCTAGAGTAATGAAATATATACAAATGTCCTATTTGTTTATATTTCCAATATCTATGTTTGCCATAAAGTAAATATATTCAGAATCATAGTACCCATATTATTAATATTATTAATTTATGGGCCTCCATTTTCTGAAACAAAGAAAGGAAGTTATCAATATATTAATTGTTATAATGTAAAATTTCCCATATACTTTCTTTTTAGTCCTTTAGGCGCCAATTCTCCCCACACTCTAAATTTTTTTAATATTGATTAATATTGAAATATCTGATGAATATTACTACATAACCTTATTCGATTTACTACCTATATATTAAAAAAAAAAAAAAAGCTTTTGGAGTATTGTTTCTATGATATAAGATAGGGACTTATAACTAATAATAATTAGATTTTCTGGATATATTTTGAAATATTATATTCGAGATTATTAAATTTTTTTTTATACTTATAACGGAGAGATTTAAAAGAAGTAAGGGAAAAGGCGAAATAAAAAATTTTGTAAATTACTATTCATATTGGGATAAATATATTTATATATGGAATTAGACAGAATTTCATATACTAATAACTTAAAAGAGAAATCTATTAAGCAAATTTTAAGAGAGCTTATATATTTACAGTGGGATAATGCGCGACAAATATTAAGTCATAAACAATTGAGTAACTATAATAAATATATAAAACTATCATTAGATAAGTCTTGGCAAATAATTCTTAGTAATAAGATAAAAGCGCAATTTTTGGAATTATCCAAATTTATTGATAAGATAGATTCTTATTTAGTTAATTATACTATTAAAAGTCAGTGGTGGAATTTTTTTGCCGCCCAGGGATTTGCATGTAAAACATCATTAATTGAGGAAAATATGTCCCCCTACATCCCATTGTATATACTTTTTCAGATATTATTTTGTAAATTGAATAGCTTGAAATATAATAATGATATATTGGATATTACCTCAGTAATTTATTTATTGTGTGAAATATGTAACACAAATATAGGACATTTGCTAAATTTAGATTCAGTATTGTATAATTTTGGTTTGGAATATTCATATAAATTTCATGATGAAATAAGAATATTACTTAATTCTGATTTATTATTAAAGAGTGATCTAAGAAAACTTCTTCCATACTTTTCATCCATTATTATAAAAGACGAATATATTAATAAATCATATAAGGATTTATGGAACAATATATTAAAAGATTTAAGTCTTTTTATGAATAATTTGAGAGGGAAATTTCGAAATAGAGAGATTCCTGATGATAGTTATTTAGTTGAATCAAAAATAATAGGGATAAATAGAATGATGAATATTGAGAAGGAAACAAAATTAATTGCAGAATTAGCTTTTGATATAAAAGATGAAGATAAGACATTTATAGATAAAGAAATAAGTAATAAAGATATTATGATGGCATCATTTATGGGAATTAAAGATAATAATAACTCAGAAATTATATCATTAGAACAAGAATATAAATCTAAAATAATAATAAATAGAAAAAATAGTGATATATTGGAATATAAGGATAAGTCAAATTTATATAAAGAAATAAATTTAATAAATAAAAGTAATAAATATATTAATGAGATAGGAGTAAAAGAAATAGAAGTAAAACCTTCAAATCCTTTTGAAAATTTAGAATTATATGAAGACAATAAGAATAAGATAATATTACCTACATTATTACAATATATATCAAAAAGAAAATATATAAGATACAATACTAGTAAGATAGGAATACTTTGGGATCAACAATTTATTAATTCAAAAAAGAATGATAATAAACTTTTTAATTTATCTTTAACTAATGTATTTACAACACAAAGATGTATTAATTTGACCTCAATATTACCATCAGAATATTCTATAGAATCAATAAAATATAAATGGGTATCTATAGAATCTATTAAAAGATTATTTCAAGGATTACCTTCTATTGAGTTTTCTTTACCTGAAAAGATTATTAATAAAAGTATAGATAATAATATATATAAAAAAGATATATATGAAGATGATATGATTTATATATGTGATAATTATATATATATATCTAAATATATATGCCCTTGGTTTCAATATAATGGAAAAGGACTACAGTTTATTCAAAGAAATGAGATTTTTAATTTAGAAGATAAATTACAAGATTTTGATAGTCTAACATTATTATCTAATACTATGATTACTGAAATGTGTATACTTGGAACTAATATTTATTATTTAAGACATTTTGTTGAGATATTAAAATATATAACTGAACAAAATATAAATATTAATAATTTAGCTTTGAATTTGATTAATTTATCTACAAATACTATAGTAGATCCAACATTAAAATATTTAAAGAATTCATTACAACAATTACTTGAAATATATGAAAATGATATAAATATATTATTTTCTAAAATAAAATATGAAGATTTAAATAATATAAAATCAGAAAATAATAGATTTATATCATCTACAAATATTAATGTATTATTAAATTTATTTAATCCTTGTATGATATTATTAACTAAAATACTTGCATTAAATAATAATAATTCATTTACAAGCAATTTATTACAAGATGAAAAATATTTTAAATATAATAAGATGAATTTTTGGAGATTTCCTCAAGGATTTACTTTAGTTAGTTATTTATTTACTTGTTTATGGCAAATACAAATAAGTTATACATGGATGTCAAATAAAGATATTTTAATTAAAGATATATCAAATAATAATAAGTATCAAATAAATAATATATTATATAATATATTTAAAGATGTATATGAAAGTTATTTTAGTTACCAAGAATATCTTTTAAAGAATAATAAAATTACAAATATAAATAATATAAGAATATCTGGATTTTATAATCCATTAATTATAATACAAAATAGAATAAAATTTCTTATAAGAAATTCTCAGATATTTGATAATCAATTATTATATGATTTTAATAAAGATATTAATGGAATACATACCTTTTATGATAAATTAATAACTCCTGATATATATAATTATATAGAAATATTCAAAAATAAATCTATTGTACCAATAAGATTTCCTTCTAAGGATTATTCCAATTTTTTTACTATATTAGAAGATCAAAAACTTGAAAATTATTATTTATTTTCAAATGACAATAGTCTTATACATGTAATTTCATCAAATTTAAATCATAAAATTTATAGTATTTATTATTATTATTATATATACTTAAATTCTGTATATCAATTATTAATTCATAATATATGGAATAGTAAAGATTTATTTAAAATAGCACTTTATATAAGCTCTGAATTATCTGAAGAATTGAATAGAAGTGAAATAATGAAAAATTTCAATTTAAATCATCTAGATGAAAAAATTAAGCAATTGTGGAATAAGATTTATTTAAATTTATATCAAAAACAATTAGGAAATCAATTAATCAATATTGAAAAAATTGAATGGAAGGATTTATATTTTAAAAAGAATAATACAAATATTCATTGGTTAATAAATTTTGTACTTGGAATAATACCACATAAAGTAAAGACAGAATTATTTTTATATAATAATCAACAAAAATATCAAATGTATTTATTTCATATATTTATAATATTAGATATTATTTCAAATAAATTATCTCAAATATGGTTATATATGAATCGTTATTTACTTTATATATGGTGTAGAAAATATACTACAGATTTTAATTTATATATAAATTTTGATCACGGCTTTCTACATGATAATTTTACTGAAAATTTGTTTCAATGGATTCTAAAAATAGAAAATAATATACAATATTTTAATTTTGTTATAAAATCAATTTCTGAATTTATTATATTGAAATTAGATAATGCTGAATTAAATAATATAATACACAATATTAATAATCCTAAAGATAAGTGGGATATAATTAATAAAATGCTTATTCAACAGAATATATCTAAAAATCCTTCAAATCAAGATAATTTTCTTACTATATGTAATATGATTATTGAGATAATCTCATATATTTTGGAAATATTATCAAATATTGATATATCTTATAAATTACCAAAAAGACCAAGTACATTTAGATCTTTTAGATATCATGATAATTTAAATAATCAACCAAATGATGATATTAAATGTAAAAAAGAAAGTCACTTACAAAGATTAAAAGATAAGTGGATCCAAAGTGATGGAGATTCTAAAGTTATAAAATTAAAAAAGTCTATTTTAAAATTATCAAGCTTCTTAATTCAAGTAAATAAAAAAAGTGATTATTCCTATCTAATATATAATTTTGAAGCTTGTTAATTTCTATATAAATATTTATAATTTAAATAGTAGAATATATATATATATATTAAATACTACATTTCTTAAATTATTAAAAGGGAGAATTTATATTTTTATTTAATTAAAAAGAAGAGTCAATATATATAATATTGAGGATTTAAATAAAAAAAAAAAAAAATTTAATAAGATATTGAATGTGTTTAAATAATTTATAATTTGATCAACTCTTATTAACTAGAAATCAATATTTAAAAATATTCTATATTTATCATTTCTAAGTAAACTCTCAGATATTATTTACTTGTTACTATATAAATTCATTAACAATATTTATTATCTAAAGGCTACCTTTATAAAATTTCTATTTTAAATTGGTTATATATTTATTATAATTCAAATTTCTTCTTAACTTGTTAGATCTTTTTTACTATTAGAGTAAGATTAATAAATTTTATATTAGATTATATTTAAATAATTTTAGTTTGAGCTATAATGAAATTATTGTAATAATAAAATAAGAATTTTAAAGACTTTACTACTTAAAATAAATAAGGAATTGTAGAAACTTTATAATATATCAAATTATTAAAGATTAAAGTTATATAATTTTTGAAATTTAAAAAAAATCAGATTTCAAGTTATATATAGAAATACAATATACTGTCAAATTCTATACTAAAATATATAAATATTTTTGTAATTTAATCTAAATTGATTTATAAAAAAAAGTTACATATACCTAATAAGACAACTTTTCCTATAGAAAAAATAATATAATTTAAATCTGCTAAATTAAAATAAAATAACAAATATTTATAGACTAGACTATATCTTTATAGATAATTTAATTACATGAAATATTCCTGCTAGTTCTAGAATCATAATAAGATGTTATTATATAAAAATAACAAATAATCTTAGGTTATTTAGTATCAATATTATTATTAAAATAATCAATTCTAATTACTTTACTAATAAGTCCGAATTTTGTCCAATTTAAATATCTAATTTGCACCTGTGTGTGTAATATAGGCGTCTTATATACACACAACCGCTATAACACGGGGAGGTATCTAAATATTGTTTTAATTTATCTTTTGAAAAAAAAGAAAAAAAAGAGGAACCAATGACATTTTTAGAAGCTGAAGATTCTACAGAAAATGACTTTATATTGAAAAGTTCTAATTTATATATAAATTTCATTAATAAGCATATTATAAGTAATAACTCTTTAGTACAAGAAAACCTTTTAATTAATGATAATGATAATTTGGAAAGTTGTAATTTTACCCAAATTAAAAGTGAAAATGTTTATTCACAAGCTTATGAAGATCTTTGGAATGATTATTTTAAAGGTAAGTTTTTTTTTATATCTAATATATTACTAGCAAGATTCAACTATATATTATTATTTATGTGATATTAGCCTTAAGTAAATATAATCAAATAGACAAAAGTAATGATAATTTTTCTGAAAATAAAATACTAGAATGTAAAATTAAATATGAAAAATTTAATGATCTAATTTGTAAATTTATAGCTAATAATGATGATAAAGTTGAAGATTATAAATATAATTTTATAATTTCTGAGGATAGTGTAAATGAAGAGAAATATTCTAGAAGAGAATTTAAATATTGGCTACTATATAATATAAAATTTTGATTTACTTCTAATTATATTAAAAATTTAATTTATATTACGTTTATTATTTTTATAATGAAACTTTTTATTAATTATTAGTATATTAATAATATAATGTAACTTATTTTTATTATTTAATTATTTTAAGATATTAAGTATTAGTTATAACATTTTTATATATCTGTTATTTTTAATTTAAAAAAAACTGTATGAATATCTAATATTTTTTTCTGTTATAAAAAGAAAAATACTTTTTTGCTAGTTCTTAGTTAATAAAATTAGACTTATATATTATTACAATATAAATATTAGATTTTTTTTATTAATTTATTTATCATTATTAAATTGTGTTTATTATAATATAATATATTAATAAATTCTTTTATCTAAATATTTATTTTGTATTTTTTTTTTCTTAATATCTTAGGATTAAAATTTTATTAAGAATTCTAAACCTAAACCTATATAATTTCAACATATCTATTAGTACTTAGTACTTAATCTAAATTTTAATAATATAGAATCTAAATTTTATATATAATGAAAAGTTTGATATTCTAAAAATGATATAATTTTAATCAAATTTATAGGAAGATAAGATCATTAATAGAAATTTTGTACTTGAATATAGATAAAATATATTTGCGACATATTAAAGTAATTAATATTGTATTATAATAACTACCAACTAAATAATTGTAGAATATGGGTCTAATTTTGATCAAATAAATAAGTATTACATATCTATAATAAATTGAATATATGCTAAAGCTTTAAAAGTAATATTTTAGAATACATATATTTATTATTTTAATTATATACAATGAAAAGTGGCCACTTATAAAGTTATAGAAAAAAACAAAAGAAAATGAAATACTGATTATATATCTTAAAAGTTCTACTAACTGTTTAAAACTTTACAAGGTATTATATTATAATCTCCACATGTTTATATTTACATATCTAGTTAGAAAAAAAAAAATTGAAATATATTGAACCTTTACAGATTGTAAAATATATAAATTCTAATAAAATACCAAGACATTATAATTTCAATATTTTTGACTAATATTTATTAATTTGATTTTTGTTTATTTATAAATATTAACACATAATATTAAAATTTACAAATATTACATTTTTCTAGCGCCAAAAAAATGCATGCATTTAAAAAAAATTTTTTTTAAGGATATCAAGATTTATAATTTATAATTCTTTTAGACTATAATAAAAACTAAATGATCTTAGAATATTTTTTAAGAGTTAATTTATAATTTATTTTATATTTGGGAATATTTTTTTTTTTTTAATAAAATGGCAACATATATATATACAGAGTAAATAAATGAATATACATAATAGGAACCAAAATTTATTTTCTAAAGTAAGTAAAATATAAAGATTCTAGTATTTAAAAAAGATTTTATTTCAAATCTCAAGATAACTATAAAATTATATTAATGGATATTAGCGCTGTGTGCAATAGTAATTCATGGGAAATATTGTGTGAGTCTTTGTTGTATTATTTAATAAAAAGAAAGGATCTTTAAATTATTTAAATTACTAAAGTCTCATATTAACAATAAGACTTATAGATTCATAAGCATGAATAGTAGTGTAACTAATAAAGAATTCATAAAATTACTAATAAGTGATATTGCAGCTGATAAATTATTGGATAATTCTGCATCATTACTTAAAGATATGAAATATAAAAAAAAAGTATATATATTGGTGTCAGGGGAAAAAAAGTATTTCCCTGGAACATGTTATAGGGTTACAACCATAGAGGGAACTGAAGAATCTATATATGAAACAGTAAAATTGTTGAGCAATATTTTATTTTTAAATAATAAAAAGAATATGTTTAATTTAAAAATTGCAATTCCTAGAAATATTGTTGGAAGTATTATTGGTATAAAAGGAAAATTTATACGAAGTTTAAGAGTTTCTACAAATACTCATATTAATATATCTCCTATATTTGTTACTTCTGATAAGGCATGTAATGAAAGAATAATTACAATATTATCTGAAGATATAGATAAGATATATAATGTATTTTTGATATTACTAAGGAAAATTAATGAGTTTCCTAATAAATCATGTAGAGGGATATTGTATAGAAGAAATAATTTGGATATAAAGAATTTGGAAAGTAATGAAGAAATAAGTAATAACATACATAATAAAAGTATTGACCAAAGTGAAAATGATTCTATTTATGATATTAATTTTGGTAAAGATAATAGAAATAAACAAAAAGTACTATTAAATAAATTTAATAAAGAATTTTATGTTATTAATGAAAATAGTAGATGGAGAAATAAAATTGGTGAAAATAATATAGAAGATGATATTTTTGATGATATACCTACACAAGATTTAATTATTGATGATACTACAAAGATTAAATCTATATGGAGCTTAATAGGCTATAGAAGAAAAGATATCTCAACTGTATTGTCAATATTATCAACAGTTGCAGCTGCAACAGGCTTTTTACTTTTCAGATATCTATTTAATCAAGAAAATTACTTAATAAAGTAAGATATATATTTTCAATGAGGTAATTTCACATTATTTGGATATTATATATATATATATATATATCAAAGTTTACAATTATCCATATATACTCAATATTAAAAGAAGGTGGTTATATTAGAAATGTGTTTATATTAGCATTTATAATTTTAATCACTTTAATATTAATAAATATTTGATATTTTAAAAAAAAAGATTTAGTTTGAATATACACTTATAGAGATATCATTTATTTGAAATTGTTAAATAATAGTTTGTAGAAATGTATTAATATGAATTACTATATAAATTATGTATAACTATTGTATATTAAGAATTTGAGAAATTTTACAATATTAGCTGCCGCAATGCTTACAAGATCTACTACTTACAAATTATATTTTATATTACTAAATAATAACTTTTATAAAGATTAGGTTATTTAGAATGAGGTGATTTGTCGTTTATTATCATATTAATAAATATGTAATATATGTATCTAAGTTATCTCTTTTTTTTTTTTTTTTTTATATATTGAGATTGAATAATTATTGAATCAAATCGTATATAAAGAAATGAAGAAGTCTGATAATAAATATAATACTAAAATGATTAATAAAAATAAGATATTAAAGATATCTCGTATATATATGTATTTAAATAGTTTTATTACTGTTGGCTATAGAAGAAGAATTGGTGTATGGAGAAGAGCTTATGATACAAATGGAAATGTAGTTAAAGCTTTTACAAGTATATCTGGAGATATTATATTTGAACCAGACTGTTTTAATGTTGCAAAGCGTGAAATAATGTTATTAGAGAATCATGGTATTAAATTAAGAGGGAATAGATCAGGTATACACAATGGATTAATACTAGAACCATATTATTCATTACAAGGAAATAATATGACTGATTTATCATTTTGGTGTGTCCCTAAATCTGTTCAATATATATATGAAATGAAATTTGGTATTAATAAATTATATGATTGGCAAGCTGAATGTTTATCACGTATATTTCATGATTTGGCTACAAAAAATACAAATAATAAGAAATTTTCAATTAAATCTCCTTTCTTATGTATATCTCCTAAATATTTTGGGAAGTCATTAATTGCTGAAATAGTATCCCTTTATGGTCTTTTATTTTCAGGTAGAAATACTTTGATTATACTTTCTAATTCTGCAAAATGTAAAGAATATGGTGAGAAATTATCATGCTTATTTGGAAAGGAATCAGTTAATTTAAGAGTAGAAATTTTATCTGGAAATTCAAGAAATATTTCTAACTGGTCTCCAAATATTGATATTGCTATATGTACAATAGAAAGAGCAAATGCTCTTATTAATAAGCTAATTAGTGATAGAATGTTAGCAGAGTGTTTAGGTACAATAATCATAGAAGAAATTAATATGGTAGGATCAGATACAAAAGGTCATTTATATGAAGGATTTTTGATGAAATTATTATCAACTGATTTAGTATTTTCTAATATTAATGAATTTCATTTAGAGTCAAATTTACCTTATTATTTACCTCGTATTATTTTATTATGTATGTCCAAAATTCTTCCATATGAATCAGCATATATCAATTGGCTAAAAGCTACGTCATATTCTATTAATAATATTCCAATTAGTTCTAATATTTATATAAAATATGCAAAGGATTTATGGATGAAGAATTCAAGATATTTATTAGAAGGGATAAATATAAGTGATAGAAATGAGAATTATAATACTGAGTTAATTCAATGTAAATCATTTGAAGATATATTAAATAGTGATATTGGATTTTTTGATTCTGAATATTTAAGTAAATTGGTATTTGAAACATTATTAATTGGACAACAAGTTTTAATATTATGTCCAACTAAGCAATGGAGTAAAAAATCAGCTAGCTTAATTATAGAGAGTCTTCCAAAATTATTATCAAAATTTGAACTTGAAATCTCAAAAATTCAAGATTCTATAGAGAAAAAAAAACTTATAGATAAATTGAACTTGTTTAAATTACATGGAAATGGAATGAATAGTAAATATTATAATAAACGTTTTGAACTTGTAGAAAATCTAAATATCAATAGAAGGCATTCATTAACTGGAAAAAATTTTGGATTTTGTAATATATTAAAGAATGGAATTTTAGAAAATGGTATTGCCTATCATAATTCAAGTTTGTCTATTAAACAACGTCATTTAATTGAAAATTCAGTTAGAAATGGAGTGATAAGGGTTTTATGTTTAGCAGCATTATCTTCTATAAAAGCAATTCCAACTGTTCATACTGTTATAATTAGATCTATTAACTCTGCAGTACATAATAATTCATTTGGAAAACCAAAAAATCAATGGATATCATCTCATGATATTAAAGAAATGATTGAAAAGGTTAAAATAATTGATCCTAGATATAATTTATATAGAGATTATAGAAATAATTTTAATATTAAAGATTCTAATTATTATTTGATACAAAGAAAAGATGTAAATTTTTTTAGTGAAGATTCTATTCAAAAAGATATAGAATTATGCAATAACTTGAGTATAAACGAAACTATTGATAAGTCAAAACCTGAATATAATGCAAATAATCCTAATGCTGTTATATTTGTATCTGATAAAGCAGAATTCGAATATGTATCAAATATTTTAAAAAGCAATTCATTTAATTTAGAAATGGGCTCGAAATCCCAAATGAAAGATTTAAATTTTGTGATTATAATCCTTGATTTAGTTGTGACGAATATTACTCAAGTATTAAATGATTTATACATTATATTGAAATATGCAAGTCTTAGTGAATATATTAAACAAGAAAATAAAAAAAATGGCAATTTAAAATTTATTTACAGTAGTGATAATAATCAAATTGAAAGTGATAATATTAATAATCAAATTGAATTTTCTTTATCTTATCTTTTTTCAAATTTTATGATTGATATTATAGAAAGAGAAAGTCCAATATATAATACTAATTATACAAAAGATATTAACATTGAAGAGGAAAGTTGTTTATTATCTAATTTTTATATAATTCCTATTGATGATCATAATTATGTGAAATCTCCTATTATTTGTTCTAAACTTGCTCTTGTTGGACCAAAGACAAAACAAAATACTTTAGGTGTACTTCCAAATACATTTAATAAGCAACATAAATACTTACAAAAGTTAAATACAGGAAAAGAATACTTAGAGAAAAATATCCAAATAATAAAAAGTGAATATATTAGATCTTGGATAAATGAAAATGACTTCTTAAAAGATAAAGAATATCAATTATATATACGGAGTACAAATCTTGGAAATTCTATAGTTCATGCTCAAATAAATTTAGTAGATGGTCAAGAATTATTTAGTGAATTATATAAAGCTAGATTTATTGGATTAAATTTCACAAATGAATTGCAATTATTCTATACTATTCTTATTTGTTATAATGGTTTTCTTCCATTTATTAATTGGACAAACTACAAAAGAATTTTTACTGAACTAGAACAAGATGAAATAATATTTGCAGATTTCCTTGGAATTACATTCAGAATTCTTGATAATACAATCCGATCAGTAAAAAGTGGTGTTTTTAATGCACCTGATATTAATTACTTATTACCTGAATCTTTACATCATGCTTATTTTATATCTGGAATTTTATCTTATAAAGGTTTAGTTGAAAAATACAGATTAATTGCACTTTATAAATTTTATTATGCTTGTTTATTAAGGGATATTTGTAATCCCATAATCTCCTATGAACTAATTCTGGAAAAATATCAAATTGATTATAATACAATTCAACAATTTATTCAACAATGTAAAATATCATCGTTAAAAGTTTCTAAATTTACCAAAATATTAGGATGGAATGATTTATCCGAAATATTTCAATATATACCACAGAATATTGATATAAATATGGCTCTTAAGAATATTGACAAAATTTTTGATTTATTAAGATCACAATGTAATAAAAATATTAATGATATACAAATTGATACTAATTTAAAATTTCAGTTTATACCTGGTGAAATCTCTTTAATAAGAAGTACAATTAAAAATTTTAAACAGTTTTCTGAGCTAATAACACCGATAAGAGCTATTGCTTTATATTTACAAGGTATAACAACACCAGAAAAGTTGGTTTACTCTCCTCAGGAAAATATCTGTCAAGCTCTTATTATAGCAGATTCTATTGATTATTCTTATTTAGTGAATACAAACTCTTTTAAAAGATCAGATACCTATTATATTCAAGAAGTTGCAAATAATCTTGTTCAACAGGCTAAGACTTTTATTAGTACTAAACGACTTATAAAAGAAAATGATGATTCTACTGAAGAGGATATTATAGATTATATTAAATATGAAGATAATATATTAGAGGATGACAATATCTTATTAACTTATTTTAATAAAGATGACTTAAATAATATAGAAATATAATATACATACTTAATTACTATTCACTAATAGCTTTTATAATTGACTTTATTTTCTTTTTCTATAAAATTTTCATATAAACTATTAAAGTAAATTAAATTTAATTGATAATATAATTAGTATGTTTAGTGTATATATAATAATGGCGTCTTATTTGTGTGGTAATTGTAAAATTAGTTTTTCACCTATTATCGAATATATTATATTAATTATTAAAATAATATTATAGTTCTTAATATTATGTAATAAATGAGACTTTTAGATCAATATACCTCATTTTGTTTAATAATAGCTCATCCAGATGATGAAACATTGTTTTTTGGTCCCCTAATTAATCATTTCTCAAATCAATCAAATATATCACTTTATTTACTTTGTCTATCAAATGGTAAGATATCAATAGTTCTAAATTTTTTTAGACTTTATATTAATATTTATAATATATGGCCAGGTAATTATTACAACAAGGGCTATATTAGAGAAAATGAACTATTAAATGCTTGTAGAATAATTGGTATTCAACAGGCTAATATATATATACTTAATAATGAAAATTTACAAGACAATCCATATATATACTGGCCTAGTGATGTAATTATAAAAGAAGTTTATTCATTTATCAATAAACATCATATTGAATGTGTAAGTTAAATAATAATTTTATTAAGTGATTCTTATAAATTTAATAATACAGTAATCTTTGAATATTTTTAAAAATTTTCAATTAATTAAATAACTTTTATTAGATTATTACATTTGATTGTTATGGAATTTCATATCATTTAAATCATATTTCAATATATAATGCTATTAAAATAATAAAAGAGGACAAATCTCTATTAGAATCATCAAATCTGAAAATTATCCTTACTTTGAATACATGTAACGTATTTATAAAATATTTAGGTATATATTCATTATTTTGGTTATTAATAAAAAGAAGGTAAGTTTAATTTTTACAATTTATATTTGGAAATATTCAAATTAATTTTATTTAAATAATATATTAACTTTATATTGAAATTTTATTTTTGAAACTTAAAGTGATTTGGATAATGTGCTAATATTTAGAAATTACTTTCCATTTAGATCACTGAGGTAGGTTTTTGATATTTAATGTATATATATATTGAAGTAATATTGAAATATAAATTAAATTGACAATATCTTATTATAATTTCATTTTACTTAGTGCTTTACTATGTCATAAAAGTCAAATAACATGGTATAGAATAATATTTTCCTTAATATCTTGTTATAATTATGTAAATATTTATCAATATCACAAGATTTAGGAATCAGATAACTATTAGTTAATACTCAAGCCTTAATAATGCCTATATTTATAGCTGGCTTTACTAATATGACCAAATCTCCACGTAGAAACAGCATTTCTATACGCCTTGTGACTTTCATAGTACTTTCTTCACCAGTTACTTCATCTATAGTTATTTTCTGGCTAGTCTCCTTAACATTACCTAATACCATATTCATATGAGGGTCATATGCATACAGTATACCTTCTAATTCTCTATCACCACGACATTTAACATTAACCTTTTCATCTAGACTTAATCTAATTAAGTCAATAGGTTCTAGAAATAATACATATAGGAGTAAATAGTACAATTTAGTATACATTAATATACAATATAAAATATATACCTACCTGTTATTAGAGAAGAGGAAATTGGCATTATAGTCACAGTTATACATAAAAAAAAAGAAAGTTTTGAGAATATATTAAATTGGAGTTTGGCGGGTGTAATAGTAATAAAATTATCTAGTATCGATATTAGGGTATTGAGTGTGTCAGAATAGTATAGTTTTAAGATGCTAGAAACAGTTCTTCTATCACTCTAGTTAATGATGGATTGTGAAATACATAAAGAAGATGGAAAATCTGAAGAAATAATTGAAGATGAGTTAGTATTTGTAGATATTCCAGAATTTTTATGTTTTAATATTTTGGGAGATGCAACAATAGAAACCTCACAGCTGGTAAGTTACTTCCACATATTTATAGTCATATTCTTTTTTTTTAATACTAAGTACTAATAAAGTTTTTTTTATTTATCCATAAGATATATGATGATAAAAAAGATCTACATCATATGAAACTAAGTTTAAATGTGCCAAATGAAGATGCAATTCTATTTCATCTAGAAGGAAAGCGTATTGAAACAAAAGGTACATGTATGTTCTTTAAAGTATTTGAAGAGAAAGATACTTCCGAAGAAGATAAATTAAAAATATCAGATATAGACTATATAGGATGTTGTAAATATGTTTCACAATTATATATTAAGAGACCAGATGAAATTTAATAAAGGTAATTATTGTGAATCATACAAATTAAATATTCTATTTAGTATATAGAACATTAAAAGTACATAAATAGGTGCTAATTATTTTATTCTACAGCAAGTAATTACTCTATTTCATATTTTAAAGAAATATACTTTGTATATTGTGATAGTTATCACTCTAATGAATATAACACTATTATTATTTGAGCCAATCAGAACATGTAGATTTAATTTTATTAAAGTAATTCATTCCACTATCTATCCAATCCTTAGTAGATTTTGGTATTGATGGATTGTAATCTTTATTATTTATGTAATTCAAATAATCTTTTGATGATTTCATACTCCAGCCAACTCCTATACCAAATCCTAATCCAGTTGAGAATCGACGTAGTGATGGAATTTTGAAAAGAATAGAACCTAAAGCACTTGCACTTATAGTTCCTATAACTGTATATATAGTTGTACTTATTGCAAGTCTTTTATAAATTTCAGAAACAGGTAATCCTTGACTAGTCATTGTATTATATTGAGTATCTAAAGTCTGCATTTTAGACCTTAACCAGGATTGTCTAGAATCTACACTCATATTATCCCAAACTTATGTATTGAATAATATATAAGATTAACTTCGTTTTATTATAATTTCTTCCAATATTATTTCCTTTTATTTTTAAAATAAATTCCGAGATCTCAGGATTAGAGCCCCACAAAAATAGTTGGAGTTTTTAGCGCCTAAAAAAAATTTACCTATAAAAAGGGACGTGCTTATTAGTATTGCAATAATTTGTATCTTAAGACAGAGGGGATATAAGGAGAGATTTTTTTTTAATGTTTTAATAAAATATTAAGGAGTATGCAAGATTCGCACCTGCAAATAAATAATGGAGAACCTTTTCCAAGTATATACCATTATAAGAGGGCTAAAATTATTGCAAATTACTTGGAACTAGCTTGTATAGACTTCTCAAATGTATATGAGAAATCAAAAAAATCTGACTCTGTTATAATGACTTATTATAGTATTGTAAGTTGTTGGAAACTTTTGTGGTGTTTATCAGTGAGTGAAATTATTGGCGAATCTTTAAGAAATAAGATTGAGATATACACTACCAAGGAAATTGAAGAGACGGAGAAATATAAAATAAAAAAATTGGATATTCCACTAATGTCTGAAGGAAATGTACCTCGATATGCAATGGCCTACTCACCAGTCTTCAGGATAGTTTTATCCCTTTTAAGATGGTTAAGATGGGAAGCAAGAACTAATCCTAGAAAACAAATATCAGATGATATAAATAGCCAGTATTTTGGAGATTATGCAGAATCTAGAATATATCATAAAGAGTATAAAGGTGAAAAGAGATTTTATCATCTTGATTGGCCACTATTATTAAATAAAGCTGATATATCAAGAAATGACTTTGAAAATATAGAAAGTATATTCAGAATAATATTTCAACTTCTACGTAGAGGTTGTAGAATAGAAGCTGAAAAATTTATATATGAAAATGCAAAGTGTCATTGGATTATGAGTTTGATAGATGGTGCTGACCCTTATTTATATTGTACTGATCCAAATAATGATATATATGTAGATTTAGCAGATTTTATAAGTATTTTACCAAAAATAGATGATATTGGATCTAGTAATTATAAATTTGAATTATATGGTTCTGAGGTTTTAGAAGGTTTAAATAATGCTGAAACTGGACATTTAATTAGAGAGAGCTTGGAATTTGTTGATGGTATTGAAAAATGTCTAGTATTCCCAAGTACAAATGGCAGATCTGAAAATATTATTGCTGAAGGAAATATTTGGAGACAAGATCTATTTAAGATTTTAAGATATATATTAAATGAGCCTGAAGATGCATATGAACCAACATATAATATAAAACCTACATCCCAAATTGGTCCTTGGGAAAAGGCTGTATATGGATATTTATCTGGAGATTTTAATTCTTTAGTAAATATTTCTAAGGATAAAATGGATAAGTTATTTGCATTATTTCAAACTGAAAAATTGAATATATGTAATAAATGGATAGATTATATGGAAACTAAAACTCAGGGTAGACATGGAAATTTATTTATTGGTAAGACATATCCATTAGATATTTATGAGAAAGCATTTCGTGAAGAAATATATAAAGAAGTTATTACTGGTGAACGAAAATCGCAAGATTCCCAAGAAATAGCGAACTTTGAAGATTTGGAAAATAGACAACTTGACTTAAAATCAAATAAAGTTAATTTTAATGAATTTATAGATGATGGTTATAGTTACTCTGATTTTAGTAATGAGGATGAATATAATATCTTACAATCTATATTAACACACTCAGAAAATCAAGAAAATAATATAATACATACATCATATAATGAGGGCCCTAATATTCAAGGATATCTTGAAGATATTTCAAATTCTGAGAAACAAATTATAGATGCACTAGTAGATTCATTAATATCTATTGAATACCATGGGATCTCAGAATCTGAGGAATTATTTTATAAATTATTTATATCCATTACATGTACAGCTCTAAATCCACATGAATATGAAAATCAGATCTTTAATATTCTAGAAGATATGATTAAATTTGTTTCATCTACTACTGATATTGATTCAATTCCTGCAATAAGGGCATTTTTGGCTCATTTGATTGTAGCTCATATTGAAGTAATTGAAAATTCCTCAAAACTTCAAAATGAGGAATTTTATTTTGTTTCTTTTATCAAAGATAAATCTAATGATTATTCAACAAATATATCAGTATCTCCTTTAATATATTATCCATTTGTTTCCATAAGCCCTCATTTTGCTGATATTCTTATATCTCAGTATATCGATTATATTATATCAAGTAAGATTGAAGCTTTGGGTATAGCATTATTACTTTTAGAATATACTTCAAAGGAATGTAGAATTGTTTACATAACTAAAGTACTAAATATGCAAAAAATTGGTGTAAATACTTCATTTTTACAAAGAATTATTCATAGTCTTGTAAATAAATTCCCAGTTGATATTATTATTGCATCTTTAAATATGTCTGATAATATATATCAAGAAATTAATGATTTAGATCATTACAACCTTAATGAATTAGAAAATTTCATTACTAGTATAGAATTTATTATTTTATTATATGGTACTTTATATCAATTCCTAATTGTTCGTCAGGATTACATACCTGAATTTGGTAATATTTATGAAATTATTCTCTCGTTATTACAAGAATATGAATTTAGTGAATACTATTCCTCACAAGATAAATTAATAAATCCAGCTTTATACTCTTTATCTACAGTTATGGAAGTAATGTTAGGAGTTTTTTTCCTTTCAAAAATTAATCCTCTATGTCTTATACTTGAAAGTTTGGAAATTAAGAAAGATAAATTAGGTTTCAATATTAGTGATAACTTCCTATTTCTAAAACATTCTACTTCATGTTTAAATGATTTTCTTATTCCTATTCTAGTTGAACCAATTATGATTAGATTAACAACAATTATCCAAACAAATATTGATCAAATTAAACCGGAATATGTGAAATTTCATTTGTCAAATTCACTAATGCAGAAATCTTTATCAAGTGTTAAATGGGAAGAATTTCTAGTTAATTTAGTAACTTTAAATACAAAAATATATATTGATGATATATGTATTGATATTTCTCCTTTAAGACTTTTATGGTCTCATATTACTTATCTTGAAGCAGTTGAACGTCTCTATAAATATCAGAAGTCACTTGATGATCTCCATATTTTTGTTATTAGATATGATCAACAAAATATTGAAAATTCTCTTCGTGATGATATTAATGGAAATCAAAATATAAATTCACTACAAACTCCATATATATATAAAAGTGGAAATAATGTTGACTTATCACCATACACAAGTAATTTTAGGAGAAATTCAATTACTAAAATATTAGAAAAGTCTGACAAAAAGTTAGAAAGTATACTTTCTAATTTTTTGGAAAATAAAGACTTATTTATATTTTTTATTAAAAATTGGTTCTCTTGTTTATCTCAACATTACCATATGAATATGTTAGTTATTTCAGAATATTTTCCTTTTGAAACTAATCTTGGCAATTACAAATATTTTACGATATTACAAAGTGAGTATTACAGATATAAGAGTTTACTCTTTAAATGTCGTTCTTTAATATTACAAACATTTCTAGATCATTGTATTCTTGTAATAACTTATCATCATGAGACTGAAGTTCTCATGAAATCTCTCAAACTAAACTGTAATAATGAAGATATTTATAATATTTCTAACTTATTATTAAAAGATATTATTCAATGCTGTATATCTAGTAATTGGATTATTTATCAGCTATCACAATTAAAATAAAATCTGGAATTTATTCTAAAAACATAATATACTATTAGGAAGTATATCACTTTGTATTATCTATTTTTATTATATCTACTTATTTCTTCAAATAATCTAAATTTAATATCTTAATATTAAAATCTTTAACTTTTTTTTTTTTTTTTGTTTCTATCTTATTCTACAAAATAATAAAATTCAAATTCAAAATATAATTCTATAAGTAATATAACTTTCATGAATAAATACAACTTAATAACAACTACTTTCTGGTTAGTATTTTCTATTATTAAGTTTTTTTTTTTTAAGTAAATCTAAATGCATCCTATTTAAATTCCTCAATAGAATCATTATTAACTTACTGTATTTAAATTCTTTAATTAGAATTTGGAATTCTTAGAAAATATAAACTTAAATTTCTATTCATTATATTATTAGAAACTCCATTATATTACAATATTATTTAATTTATAGTTACTTATAATCCAATTCAACTGAAAACAAAATAGAATTAATGAACAATAATTAGGTATCTAATAATATAGAGGTATTAACCATAAAATATACTATTACTAAGAGCCACATACTTAAGTTATTTCTATATAATAATTAATGATACTAATATTTTAGATTAAGGAGAAATAGATATATATATTTATATTTTCTGTTATATAACTAATATATTTTATTCTAATATTAAGTCATTAAAATCTATATTTCAGTGGTTTAATATAGACTTAATAAAATGACCTATTACTATAAATTCATTAGTCATTTATGAAATGTTAAAATAAATCAATTTTTACTTAAAACAAATATTCAGAGTAATTATATTGAAATATTAATGTAAATAATAATTTAACTTTATATTATTAGTTATTAAACAATTGTATTAGTTCATTCCTAATTCTTATTCCAACACTTTTTTAATGAGAATGATTTATCCAAAAATTGTATTTGGAATAGCCAGAACTATTAAAAGTTATTAGAAATGAGTAAATATTGAGATTATATATTTTAAAGAATAATGAAATAAAATAATAAACAATAATATTAGATAATTATAAAATATCTAGTTGCCAAGTAATTCATATAAATAGAAATGACTGTGAATTCAATATAACTATAATATTATAGTATAATGGACAACTGATTATATTATTAGGGCTAATATAATTTTTTTTATGGTAAAAAGTAAGATTTTAGTAATTTAATAATTCTCCAAAGATATATTTTATAAAGACAAGTATTATTGATAATACCATAACATTAACACACATCCCAAACTCTGTTTATAAAAAAATGACACAATCTTGTTACTTTTGGTGAGAATTTGAAATATAAAATAATAGAAATTAGAATTATAATAATTACGGAGACCTATATATATCCCAGAATTAAATAGAAAGCTCTAATATAATAGTACATTGTGTATAATATAGGCGCAATAATTTTTTTGAATTTTGTATTGTAACCTAAAGTTAATCCATTAACCGAATATATCAATGATACATAATGCAAATCTAAAATATCCAGAATACTCATTTATAGCATCTTGTAAGGAATTTAAAGAGCGTATAAATTTCTGTGAACAAGAAATTTTACCACGCTTAAAAAGTAGGAGAAATGTTAGGAATGAATTTATAAGTTTAGATAAAGAGAAATCAACTTTAGATATTGAAACTAGAAGGTGCATTTTGAACATCTATTCCGAACTAAAAAGGAGGGGTCTATTAAGTGGTCTTACTATAACAGAGATAATAAAAAAGATTATTGAATTAGCAAATATAAAACGAACAGAAAAATTGGCCGAATTTAGAAATATTGAAAATAAACTAATCGATTTGCAAGCAATTAATTTCTCTAATTTTGTAATATTAGGGAATAATTTAGATAAAATTGTTGATGATCTTAATAAATCAATGATTAAAGTTAATAATTTAAACTTTTCTGCTGATTCAATATTTGATAATATTAATCCTAGTATAATGAAAGAGGCTCAAATAATAATAAATCTAAAGTTTTTTTTGGAATCTATTCATAGAATATTTAAGATATTAGAAGAGATATCAGATAACCTTAATTCAAATACAAAATTAAGAAGTTCATTTATACAGAAAATAATTTTAAAGCTAGAGTATTGTGTAAAGGAATATTTAAATATCTCAAATAGTATATCAGATTTAAACTTTTATAAAATAATTTCGGTGAAAATTAAAGAGTTTTTAGATAATATACAAACTTCATTAATTAATGAATTCAGTAATATTTTAAAAATATTTTGTAATTGGGGTAAATATGATAATATTGTTGAAGATATAATAAATAAGAAATCTATAAATATGTCTAATATGGATCCTGAAGTTGAAAAAAATATTGATAATGGAAAAAATATATCATTGGCATTTGCATTATGTATTATACTAATTTTATTAAGTGATTGTGAAAAGATATTAAGATATTTAGAGATGAAACAATACAAATATAATATAGATGATAAAATTACAACATTATCTGAATGCTTATATATGAAGATTATTCCATATTTAGTTTTAGATATAACCTCTAATATAAAACCTTTATTTTTTTCAAAAAATTGTCCTTTATCAAATATTGAGAAACCTGAATGGTTTTTACAAACTCTTTTATCAGTATTTAATTGCCATTCAATTTTCTTAAAAAGACTTTGGTCAAATTGGGAATATATAAGTTGTAACTTAGATTCTATACTGAATAAATCAGAAAATGTTTTATTAAATTTAAATATTAATCGTTTAAATATATTTTTTAATGAAATACTTTCTATGGATCCAATTAAATATTTCAGCATTTCTTTTATTGGAGAACTTAGGAAATTTATAATATTATATTTGAATAAATTACTATTTAATGGAAAAGATATTGTCAGGAATCCTAAAATAGATTCAATATTTGAAAAGTTTGTAGAACAATGGTTAATACAATATAGAACTTGGTATGATATACACAAATCTACTGCTTATTTAGTAGTTTATGATTTAATAACTAATAGTAGAATTGAATATATTACAAAAGAATCTATGAACTTGAATTTAATAGGTGATATGAAATTTAGTGAATCTATAGATATTACACAAAGTGCTATTTCATGGGCTAAAAGTGCATTTTCAATTATTATGGGTGATGCAGAATTAGTAGATTTAGAATCATTTATTAGTAATTCAACATTTCCTCCAAATTATGGACTTTTAACTTGGTTGTATACAATTAATCGCATATATATTCATACTGAATTAAAATTTTATATGGATAAATCTTTAACAAATAGTTTTACTAATACATTTAGCACTAAGAGAACAATAGAAGATTTGTATATATCTATATGTAGTCATTCTAAAACTGTAAATCGTGAGAAAATTATTGAATGGTTTTCAGAAATTTTATCATCTTTTGAATATAATTCTACAAGTCAATTTTCTGGATCTCAACCTTTCTTAATTCCAATAAAATCTTTTTCAAAAGATAATAAAGAAGATTTTATTTCAGTATTAGGGTTTTCTATAGAAGTTGTAGAACTTTTAAATGCTCTTGCTATGAAATCCCGTAATTTGATTGATGCTGCTAAGCAAGGAAATTTAAATATTAAAGATGAGATAATATCAATACTTTGTGATAAAATAGGGATTTCAATAAATGAATCTTATTTTAATATTGTTAATAATAAATATATATCACCTCTAATAGAATTAAGTATTATTGGAAAATTTACTGATTATATTCAAAGTGAATGGAATTATATAGGACGAAAAATTAGTGTATTTACTCCTCTTGTATGTATATTAATTGAATCTGTTGAAATTGTCAAAATAGCACTGCAAAATCTTGAAGATGAATGGACAGAAACTTATAAGGATTCAATTCTAGATCATCCAGATAATTGTAAAAAATTAGAATTTGGTGAATCTAAAAAATATGAATGTAAATCATGTTCTGAGCTCTTGATAGAATCGGATTATAATGAAAAGTGTTCAAATCCCACTTGTAATCAATATAATTCTCAATTAAAAGAAAACCATAATTTATCCATTTCTATTTATCAATCTTCATTAAAAAAAATTCAAGATTTAAAGTCTTATCTCTTAAAAGACTTACAATATGAATTAAATGATGTTTTAATTCACCCATTAAAAGATAATGAAATTAAAATTCCAACATTAGAAGAGTTATTGAACTCTGATTCTCTTTCTATTACTGCCGGAGTGATCTTTGATGATAATTTGGCAAAAATCATATCAAATTTAAAATATGCATTTATTTTCTTTAAGAAATTTTTATCTAGTCAAAACTTAGAATATCTGGGCAATTTTCTTATTGACTTAAATATTGGTTCTATTGATAATCAATAATAATAAATATTTATTTACAAATAATTTAATTTAAGAAAAGAAAAGTTTCTTAGAATAATAAAATCTTATTAATTACTAGTTCAATATTATATTAAAGTAATCTTCTACAAATATACATCTAATATTATTATACTAAGAGATTCAAACAAATTGCACCTAAACAAAGAATTAATATCAAAAATCCAATAATTAATAATCCATATGCCATCAAATTTGTTATTGTCAAACCATCTTCCTCAAATATCTTTATATATAAAATTGGAGGTATAATAAATGCAGTTGTATTACTACATACAGTACCAATTAATTCATATGCAAGACCAAGGTTTGTAGAAAATATAGCACAACTAGTAGTTATAAATAATATCACTATTGTTATAAGATCTAAAACCCTCTTCTCAGTATTAGGCTCCATTTCTTTAACACCACTATAAAGTAATATAGAGAGAGATCTTCTACATGGATGACATTGTATAGGAAATGAAAATAACATTGATACTGCAATGAAAAATCTCCCTATTAATAATTCAATTGAATTTTCTACAAATAATTCTAACATATTTGCTTTTGTAATTAATCTTCCAAATAATAAATATCCAGATATACCAATTATAAAATAAACTAATATACCTATTGTAATTGAAATAAAAATAATAAGAGATAATCTTGGTAAAGTTCTATAATGTAATTCATTACTCACAGTAAAGATATTTTGTTGACATGCAAATGCAAATATTAAAATTGGAAATGTTTGTAAACTTTTTATTATTGAATATGTACTAAACCAGTCAATATTATTTGAAAAATAAGCTGGTTTATCTATACTAATTGATGGATACCCTAATGCACATAAAACAAATTTAACTGCAACAAGTAAAACAACATAAAGTATACATCCAACACTTATCCAATTGGTATATTTCATAGACTTTAATTGGTGTGGGAATGAAGCTGGTGCAATAAAGAAAATAACAGCTGTTAATAATAAAATTGCTCTTATTATTTTTGGATTTATACCATGTGGGAAAGATGAAAATGAAAGAGAATATAATAAATCTCCTACAACCATTAAATAAGATGTTGCTACACCTAATGACTTTATAACAATTGCACTATCAACAACCCATTTAAGACTTGGCATAGCTATGGCAGTTACAGCATAAAAACTTACATCATCACCAAATTTAACTGCTATACTAGATAATAAAAATAATGAAAATGATGATAATAAAGCACATATAATAGTCATTATCATACCTTGAATTAAACCATTATATGCATATGCTAATGGAATTGCTAATGTTCCAATACCAATCATTGTATTTATCATTGCAGATGTAGCAGCACTTAAAGATGAACCCTCAATAACACCTCCTAATCCAGGTAGAGTTTCTGGCTCTTCTACAAATAACCCATAAATAGCTAAAGACTCAGTTCTAGTCATTGTCTTAAAGCTAGAAACGGATCCCCTTTCAGAATAAGAATAAGAACCTCCCTTTTTTTTATAAAGTAATGATGTATTCATACTCTTAATACTTAGTGGATCTGGCATATCTAATATAAACCTTGAGTTATATAATAAGTATAAATCCCTTATTTTTTTTTAATTAATATTTTATGAAAAATAAGATATTATAATCTTTTATAACCTAATTTTATTATTTATTTAATAAAGAAAAAAAGGATTTACAAACTTAATTAAATTCTTATTACGGTACCTAAAGTAAATCCAAAATAGTAAAAAAATCCTAACGCGGTTTAATTTGGTAGAGTCTTTTTTAAGATTGTTACCGCAACTCAATCCTGACAAATATTACTCAATTCAAGTTTTCCTATTTAGAAGTACTATTGGGGATTTTTTTTATCTAAATAAGGAATATAATACCCTCATCTATTTGGTATATATTTAGATCTATCTGAATTTATGATATGGTGATGATTTGGATGATTTTATTATTATTCCCATTTATTAAATGTCAGCTTACAACATTTAATATTGCAGATTGGGGGAAAGTTAATAAATGCCAAAGTGATGTAATTAAAGGGATGTTGAAACTTTGTGATACTTTAAATCCTCAATTTATCATTGCTGCTGGAGATAATTTTTATGAATCAGGTGTAGACAGTATCAATGATACAAACTGGGAAAGAATTTTGGAAAAACCATTTTCTAAGTTACCTAGTAATTTAAAATTACATTCATGTTTAGGAGATCATGATTGGAGAAAGAATCCAAAAGCTCAGGTTGACTATACAAATTCTCCTTTGAATAAAAGATGGAAAATGAATGGATATTGGTGGTATGAAGTTATTGATTTCAAATCATCTTCTAAATTTAGTGATATTATCAAGGCAGCTGGTTTAAAGTATGATGATCAACTACATATTCGTAAAGAATCCATTAATTTAAGATCTAACTTAACAAATAATAATTTTAGTGATTTTATATATTTAAATAATACTAAATCATATATTAATGAAACTCATATTAAAATTTTTGAAGGTAATTCAAAAATAAATAGTTCAAGTAAAGAAGATGTAACAGCTGTATTTATTTATTTGGATAGTTGGGTATTAGCAAGAGATTCATTTAAGAAAACTCCCAAGAATTTTTGGTATTTACAATTGAATTTTCTTGAAAGAGTTTTAAGAGCTTGTATATCAAAACAAGTAGATTGGATCATTATAGTTAATCATTATTCATTATATTCTAGTGGTATTATGCATGGTCCTCATATTAAACTTCGAAGTATATTATTACCACTTTTAAAAAAATATAAAGTAGATTTATTTATATCAGGTCATGATCATCATATTGAACTAATTGAACCTGAAGATCATACAACTCAATACCATATTGTAGGTGGTGGATGTTGCCCTAGGGAGGGTTTTTGTGAAATTGATAAGGATTCAATTTATAGATTAGATTCTTGTGGATTTGGAACTCTAACTTTAGGTAAATCAATTGCAATAAGTCGATATTTCAATAAATATCTCAATTTGTTTAATTCTGTGCAATATTCTTCTAAAGAATTACGTGACTTAATGGATATAGAAAATGAAGAATTTCCACCTCAAGAAGCTTCTGAACAAATAAGACAACCACTAATTAGAATATCTGGTTGGGGAATACTTATATAATTATTTCTCACTTAAATATATAATTCTAAAAGTTAACTAATGAAACATGAATATAATTTTTATTAAATGGATAATTGTTATTGATATTGATATTAAATTAAGAATATGTAACTTTAATTTTTTTTTCTAATTCTTTTTTTAAAGATACAAAAACAACTTTTGATATAAAAAATTTAAGATATTATATAAACTGCACTTTTAAATGATATTTAAGTGAACGAAATATTATTTATTATATTTTCATTGAATAATTTTTTATATAATTTAAAGTATTCTCTTTTTCTTTAATAAGTGGTAATATATTATTAACCCTTAAGTATAACAAATTTAAAGTATAATAAATAAGTTATTATTTAAATTTATTCTTTATTTTATAAATATAAATTATTTGATTATAAAGAAACAGTAACTTTCTTTTTATTAAGAAGTTTCTAATATTTGTTTACTATAATAACTATATTAATATAACTTGAAAAAAAAAGTTATTTAAAGTTTATTAGAATACAATTTAATAATATAATAATCAAGTAATAATTACATCATTATTTTATACTAAAAACATATTAATATAACTAGTAATTATTAGTAAAAAAAAAAAAAAAAAGAATTAATAAAGTATCTTAATTCTTTATTACTAATTTACATATTCTTATATTCTATATTTATTAAAACTTTATTATTATTATTATCAATTTCATCTAAATAATGTGAATTCTTATTATTTATTTCTATATAATGATCAAGACCTTTAAGACGTTTATGAATAGAAGCAAGTTCAATTAATATTGGCCATTTCTCTCTAATAGATGATAATATCCAAAGCATATTATTAATTACAGAATCTGCAGCTTTAAAACTACCAAAATCTAATTCTTTTCTAAGTAAAGGTGGTATTAAAATAATTACACTAATATATCGAGAAGATGTATTTGTAAATTTAAAGGCTGCATCAACATACATTAAATGTCTATACATAAGTAATGAATTACTTCTAACCTTTGAAAAAAGAGTTGAAATTGTTATCATATTAACTGTTGTAAAATGATCATCTTCACTAAGTACTAACTCTTTACGATATGCTGCTTCTACAACTTGATTATCATATTCAATTTTTGGAAGTTTTCTACCAGATATAATTAATGGAATATAACATAAACCTTCTGCAAATATAGATGCAAATAATAAAGAATGAGAATTTGAACCAAAAAATGGAATATAAGATATCATTTTACCATATATTAATATAAGCCTATAAAAAGTAAAAGCTTTTACTATTTTATATATTAAATCAACAGCTAATAATTCAACTTTAGATGCAAAATCCCTACAATCTTCTTGTATCCTTTGTGATACACCTTCAATATCTTTTAAAATTGGCCACTTTGATATATAACAATCATTTAAGGCCATTCTCCATTTAAAAGCTATATGTTGTCCAATAAATTCACGTCCTGAATTAGTTAAAGCAACTCCAATTAATTCTACCCATAATAATCCCCAAAGATAAATAATAAAATCTTGTCTGGTTGGTTTATATGTATTATCTGTTGGATTTAATGCTCCTTGTATATAGTTTGCAAATGCTTGGTTTAAATGATTTGATAGAGTATCAAAAAAACATTCAGCTAAACATAAAATAATTACTAATATCCATCCAAAATAAGCCCAAAAAATATAATCCCGATTCTTAAAAAATTGCGAAAACATCTATTTTTAATACTTTTATTTTTTTTTATTAAAAAAGGAAAAAGTAAGTAAATTATTTATATTAAATATCAAACCCTAAAGGTTATTTCGAGATCTGCGCCTTTATTAGCGGGATTAAGGTGCAATTTTACCTAATAACTTATAGACAATATTATATTTTGTGTGAGACCTATCCTAAAATAAAATGATCTAATATTAATATAAATATTTATATTAATATTTTAAAATCTATTATTATTTAATTATATACAATTTATTAGGATTTTTTATTATATTAATAGTTTATATACATAAAATTTTAATTTACTAGATTCAATTTCATGTATTTATTTATTAGAAATATACGCGCTTAAGTTAGCGGGACTTATAGCAGCATTTAGACAGGTATCTAGAAAAAAAAAACATACATAATCTAAAAGATAGGTATTAAATATATATTTGCTTAATTTATAATATAATATATATAGATATAAACTTAATCTCTTATTTTTAAATATATAATTTGATATATTTCTTTTTTTTTTTTTATAAAAAAGGATGATTGCAGCTTATTTATGGAATAGAAAATATTTTCTAAGGGCTTATTTACTTTTTTTTTCTTCACTACTTCTTATGTGGTATGAAAGCTCAACAAGAATTAGTATGTCAATATTTGTAGCTGAATATAATCAAATATTATCAGATTGTGTGACTGCAAGGATTAAATGTGAAGTTTATGAAACTACAATGGTTGTTATAAAGGGTATTGTTCCTATTGCTTTATCTTTGGCTGTATGCTATTCTATTAATTCATATGTTGTAAATGTATTTATTTTTTATTGGCGTCAAGCTCTCTCAGAATATTATTTATCTTCATGGCCATTAGTTAGGGGTATTGAAGGTGCATCTCAACGTATACAAGAAGATACTAAAGCTTGGGCAAAATTATGTCAGGCTACTATTACTGATTTAATTCAAAACTTAATGATGGGTATTCAAATCCTTCCAAAATTAATTGAATTAGCATCTTCTGTTCCTGAAATATTTATATTTGGGAAAGTAAAATATGCAGCTCTTTACCCTCCAACTTTACTTTTTCTTGCTCAATTTCTTGTTATTCTTTTAACAAGTGTTAAACTTCCATATTTACATTATGAAAATCAAAAAATTGAAGCAGCACTTCGTAAGGAACTTGTATTAGCTGAAGATAATAATAATTCAATTGATAACAATTTAATTAAATCTATAACAAGTGATTTACAAAGAAATTATTATGCTACATTCAGATGGAATTTTCCATTTGCTTTTGGTAATCTTGCATGTAGAGAAGCAATGATTTTTATTGGTAGTATTTTTTTATGGCCATCTTTTTTTTCTGGAACAATGACTATTTCAGATTATTATAGTTTAGATCTATATATGATGCAACTTTTAAATGTATTACAAGTGATTCAAAGAAGATGGAGAGAATTTACGGAGATAATGGCTATATATAGACGTTTAAGTGATTTTGAAAATAAAATTATAGCAAATAAAAATAGTAATGTAGATAATATGGAAAAAATTGGACTTTTAGATGTAAATTTAGAATAATAATTAGGAGAAAATTAGATTTATTTCTATGTGAATAATTACAAATAAATGTTTAAATCATTGATTATTTTATATACTTTTAAATTTGGATTATTAACTAATATTAAAAATTCACTTTGTATATTTTAAAGTGATATATATTATATATTATTTAGTATTCTAATTTTTTTTTTTCTTTTTTCTCTTATTAAACCTAAAAGTATTGAAAATTATATTACTATTTAGTAATAATATGAATGAGAATAATCATAAATTAAAAATTCTAATTTTTATTATTGTCAAATAATTTTATTATTAATTTAAATCATAAACTAAATAAATGCTTAAACAATTTAATAATAAAAAATATTCATTTATATAATATAAATAATATCATTAATAGTATTATATAAAATAAGTGTATTAAATATTTAATCAATATTATTTTCAATTATTATTGAATTTATAAATATATTAATATAACAATAATATTCTTATATTAATAAAATAAAATATTAGATAAAAGTAATTAAATCTGACTACTTCTAATATTACTAAAAAATAATTTAATTGTATATTTAAAATAAAAAAAATAAATATAAAAATAATAGATATTCAAACATCATATAAAGTTAAAAAGTCGAGAAATACTTTATAAATTATACATCAATGGATTTACCTTTTCTATTATTTCTTTAATAACCTTTCTCTCCTATCTTTCATCACTTTTTCTAAATTTCTTCTTTCAGATTCTCTTCTTTCTGTTTCTTTTCTTTCTTTTTTTAAACGTTCACTACATATTATCTCTTCCCATCTTCCATTAATTCCTCCTTTTTCACCATGTTTTTGTTGTAATGACTTTCTTTTCTCTTCTTGATTTGCCTCTTTTCTAGCTATTATTTTTAACCATTCCTCTCCAAGTGATCTCTTTCTTCTTTCCATTTCTTCTTTCTTTTTTTCCTCATATTCCTTTCTTCTTCTTTCCATTTCTTCTTTCTTTCTTTCCTCATATTCCCTATTCCTCTCTCTTTCACTTTGTATATTCTCCATTACAATGTTGCAATATTTTTGTTGTCTCATATCTTCCTCACTTATTTCCCTTTGTAATTGTTCTTGATACTCTTTACATGCTTCTGCTTTGTAAGTAACTTCTAATTCCATTAATTCTAACTGTTTTAGTCTCTCCATCTCACTTTTTAACAATTTTTCTTTTTCAATCTCTTTTTCCTTGTTATCTCTTCTTTTTTTCTTTTCTGCAGTAGTTTTTTCCCATAATAGACTAAATTCAGATTTCGTTCCCTTTAATCTATTCAAAATACTTCCTAGATCACTTTTTATTTGCATTTGTTTTTCCTCTCTTCTTTTTCTATTATATTCTTCCTTTTTTATCTCTTCTTCCTCTAGTCTTTTTATCCAAGAATTTGATGGGCCTAATTTTACCTTTTTCCTATGTAGATCACATATTTTATTATAAAGATGTCCCCTTGTTATATCTTCTTTTTTCATTAGATATTCCATAAGTTGTTCTTCTTTCGTTCTTTCAGCTTTTATTGTATCTAAATATTGTTCTTTCATATTTTCTAATTCTTGTTCTTTCATATTTTCTAATTCTTGTTCTTTCATATTTTCTAATCTTTGTTTTTCTCTCTTTGCCTTTTTCTTTTTTTCTAATTTTTCTATTGCTAATCTATCTCTTTCTAATATTTCATTTCTTAATCTCACTCTCTCTAATCTTTCTAATTCTTTATTTCTTTGTTCTTCATTTTTGAATACTTCTTCTCTATGTTTTTCCATTTCTGATATTTCTTTTTCTAATCTTGTTAATACTGTAGCTTCTAATATCTTTTTTGATCTTTCTCCTTCATATATCTGATCCTGATCCTGATTCTTATCTTGATCCTGATCCTGATTCTTATCTTGATCTTGATCCTGATTCTTATCTTGATCTTGATCCTGATTCTTATCTTGATTCTTATCTTGAGTTTCTTTTCCCTTATTCATCCCTAATTTACTGCTTATATCATCATATAATTTTCTATAACTTTTTTTTAGACCAATTTCTAATATATTAGACTCAAGTTTTAAAGATGATTTAGCTACTTCTTCATTATTTTTAATCCAAGTATTTCCATCTTCTATTTGTTTTTTTAAATTACGATTCATTTCTTCAAAATTTCTATTAACTTCAATTGATTCAATAATTAGTTTTAAACAACTATATAGATAACTTTGATTGCTTTGAAACTTATAATGTAATTTCATTAGTTTCCTGTCTATTTTCTTATCTATAGAATCATCTAAATTCTCTTTTAAAATAGAAATACACTTTGATCTTGATTTAAATAATTCTTCCATTAAATGATAATGATCTCCTACTATAATTGAATGTTCACAATATGCAATCAAAAAAGTAGAAAAACTACGTTCATATTTAATACATTTCCTTAAATTATCTAAAGCTAGAGCTTCCAATCTCTTCATTTCATCTTCAAAATAAGTACATAATTTCCGCATTTGTGATTTAGATAACTTCAATTTTTTTAAAGCTAATTGTTCAGATTGAACTTTTATTAAAGAATAATCTTCTAAAACTTCAATTAATTCTAAAATACTATCTTCAACTCCCATATGTTGAATAATATCATCAGCACTAAATATATTAGTAATATAAGTATCTATAAAAGATGTTGTAGTATTATATAAAAATTTATTAATTAAATTATCTCTCAATTCACTTATGTAAAAAATCGTAAATATTAATATTATTAAATACTTATTAATTTGCATCATATAATTCCTTTTTTATACATTGCAAAAAATAATATTCATTTAAAAGATAAACTTAATCAATTGTTAGATAAATAATGAATTTTAATACAATGAGATATTTTAAGAATTTACATTAGCGCTTGGGTACTAACAATGTTATTGACATTTTAAATTATATAAATTCAATATTATTAAGTCATGTTTTACCATTTTCTTATATTTATTATAATTCAAGAACTAACTTTATAATAATTTATATCATATCTTTTTTTTTATTACAATTACTATTACTGTTAAATAATATTATTATATTGAAATTATTATTAGAAATTAAAAGAAAAGGAAAATATATTATTATATAAATTATCATTTAAATAATATTAAAATAAATTAGGATCAATTTCTTTCTAAAAATTCCTAAATAATTCAATACTCTTTATTATATTTAAAATTTTATCCTATAAAATCCTTATATTAAAATATTTCCATCATCATATTATTAAATAATATTTTCAGTATTTTATTCATCTCAGTTATAGTTCTTACTTTTCTTTTCTTTTAAATATTTACTAATATATCTTATAAATAATATATAAGAGAAAAATCTTCTCATTTATTCAATTAATCAAGTAATTTAATTAAATAAGAGATAAATTATATATAATTATAAAAAGTATTATCTTATTATTTATATCTCCTTTTTTCTGTTATCAGTTTAAACCCTATAAAAGGATATTATGTTCATATTTGTCAAGAATAGAAATTTTTCCAAAGTTACCGTTAAATTATATCACGAGAACTAACAATGATATTAGTAAAGAAATTTGGATTTTTATTACTAATATTATCTAATTGTATTCTTTTTTTAATTAGTTTAAAATATTTATTAAATAAAAATTTTAAATTAAGAAATTTTTTATTATATAAATCTGACTGTATTAATTAAATTATTATTGATATAAACCCTTATTTAGAATTTAATAATATAAATAAAAATCTATTTATAATTTGGGAATATATAATATTAATAAATTAAACAAAATTATAGAATATTATAAAATATCTAAATATATATTAAAAAAAATTAAGATATGATCTATAAAATGTGTTAATATTAACAAAGTATTGGGTAGATCTAATAATCCCCTTTAAACTATTGCAGCATTACCGCTCTTTATAAAAAAAAGAATATGACATAAGTAATCCAAAGGATAAAATAATAAGAATAATTTAATAAATAAAAAGATTAGTTTATCAAATATAAATTTCTGATAAGATTTGGTTTTGTGATAATGATATAAATTGAAGTAGTGAGGTAAAATTTGGTAGTGAAATCTATTAATTGAGAATGAAACTTATACGTAATAAAACTTCATCTAATATTAACCCTCATGTCTAGTCGTATTTTTATTTTATGCGGTATTATTAATAGATAATTTACCCATAAATAATTAAGAAATAAAAAAAAAGGGAAAAAATAAAATATATTAAGGTAAAATCTCATTATTAATTTTTTTTTTATATTATATTAGATAGATCTTTAAAAGTTAATGGTTTTGGTAGTTTTTTCATTAATTTAAGTTATATATTGGAGGAGATATTGAATATATTAATCTCTACTATAATTTTATATTTTTTTTTTTTTTAAATAATTTTATAAATATAAATAATCTATATTTATTATTATTTAATTATTTCTATAAGTATAAAATCTAATATATTTGAATTATTTCATTTTTTAGTCAGGATGTTGATTTTTGAGATTAGGGTTTATAAAGAAAAGATGTATTAGGATAGGAAAAATAATTTTTTTTTTAATTATTAAATTTATATTTATATTTAAAAAGAAATAAATCTATTGATTGTTTTCTCTTTCTTATTTCTTTTTCCTTTTATTTTTTAATATATATTTTGAAATTAGGGTTTTATATTTATTATATAATACTAAAATATTTTATATTAGAATTAAATTTTAATCATTTATATTTTATTAATATTTAATATTATATTTATTTTTTACTTTTATCTTAAAGACTTAAAATATTTTTGGATAAAACTTAACAGTTATGTTAAAATTATAAAATACAATAGTACAAATATTAATATTTTAATATTTATTTAAAATATTATTAAATAAAATAAATTAACACCACATAAATTAGAATTATTACATAAATTATTATCTAATATAAGCTACTTATAATCATATCTAATTATTATTTATTAAATTTATTAAGAATCTAAAATAATTATAATTATATATATTATTTCCATTTTCCATTTTATCTTTATAAGATTTATTATATGAATAAATTTCATATATAAAATAAATAATATATATAATATTGATTATGATCAAAAATAAAAAGAAATATTTAAAATAAATAATAGATGATAATCAATTTAATAATAATAATAACCAAAACCACAATATTTTATTACGTCGTAATATCCAACTATGTAACACAACAAAATAATAAATATTCAACTTACTTATTTTTTATTAGCCTCTTTTTTTTTAACACTCTCTATTTTTACTTTGATTTCAGTTAATTTATCTCGAAGATGTGAACAATATCTTTCTGACATGTTTCCACCACTTTCACAGAATTGTGAATATTCACCAAAGTAGTCATAATATTGACCATATAATCGATCTAATTCTGATTGGTCATTTTCATTTTCTTTTTTTGATCTTGTATTCCCATGATTTGAACTAGCAGTTAATTTGATGAAAGAATAAACTTCTAAATTATTATTATTATTATTATATAATAAATAATTATAATTAAGAAAAGTTATACATATACATATAATTATCCCCAAAATAAAATTATTT